ACCCGCGGCACCAAGCCCAGCCCCACTTTCTCAAGGCTGCTGCTCAAGGTTCTCCTGCCTCCTCGCTGTTTCCAGATGGCCTTGTGGAGCTAAGACTGAATGTGTTTCAGCATAGATGGCCATCACAAAATTGTACATTGGCTCCCGGCCAGCCTGGGCCAGGGTCAAGGCAGCGGGGGCCATTCCCTCACTGTTTCCAGGACGTGAAACCACATCGCGGGCCGCATCCGGGCCCCGGGCCTTGTGTGTTTGACATGTCTAGTTTAGTGCTTAGGATTAGAGGCAGAACCTGAGATGAAAATTGATCAGGCAAGTCACATTTCTTTGGATAGAGTTGCCTGATCAATACTAGAACTTTACTTGGTTTCTGCTCCAACACAGGGAGCAAAGAGGCTAATCTTTGTTCTCATGCTGTTTTGGAGGGGGAGTATATAGACTTTCCACCTCTACGTGTCCATATTTGCAAATAAGGACATTGAAGCGATTGTAGTTCGTCTTTCCAAGAAAACTAACATTCTGGGATTTCCCCCCCCCCCCACGGCATGTAGGTCCTGGAGACGATTCCTTTGCCTTCCTTTGCCACTTCGCTGAGCCTGTCTCCTGTTGCCTGCACCATCGCTGTCGGCTTCAGCGGTACGTATCTGGAGAGGTGAAACGGTCATGTGTCATTTTCTCTCCAGGCTAGTTGGCCCTGGGTGTTACTAGCCTATTACCGATGCTCAAGAAATAGAGCATCGGTGCAAACAGATCAGATAGTGGAGCTTTCGATTGATGCTGAGGATTTCAAGCATCCGTTTAAGAGCGTCAGACTTGAAATTGTGGCAGAGGATGGGGAGTGAGGCAGTTGTCTTGAGGCAGGTAAGAAGACCCAGAGAAATCTAGACCCTGGGCAGCTTTCAGTTGTCTTCTTTGTTTGGAGCTTAAAGTCCCATGTCAGTTAAAAGAAACAAAGACATTGTCCATGACTCGTGTAGCTTGGCTTGCCTCCATGAGTCATGGCGTACCTAAGTGCTTTTCTCTTTAACCTGACTCTTAGAATAATAGAACAATAAAATCAACAGTGAAAAAGAGAACGAGATGACCTCAATATTATAACAAAAAGTTGGTAAGGCCCCAGGTACAGATGGATTAACAGCAATTTATTATAAAATGTTATTCGAAGATATGATAGAACCATTGAAGGAAATTTTTAATAATATTCTGTTGGGAGCAGAGGTACGTCCATCTTGGAGAACGGCTTTTATATCACTGATTCCAAAGGAGGATCAAGATTTGACCCAGCCCAAAAATTATAGGCCTATATCTCTTTTGAATACAGATTATAAGATTTTTTTCAAAAATATTGGCAAATAGATTAATGCAAGTTTTGAAGCAATTGATCCACAGTGATCAATCTGGATTTATAACTGGAAGATATATGAAATATAATGTAAGACAAATGGTTAATCTAATTGAGTATTTGGACAAGAACAATCAAATCCCTGCTGCTTTGATAGTTTTAGATGCTGAAAAAGCTTTTGATCAATTAGATTGGCAATTTTTATTGAGAGTAGTAGAGGAAATGAATTTTGGGGATAAATTTTTGTATGCCTCTTAAGGCTATATATCAACAACAATCTGCACAAATTATAATTAATGGGGGATTAACAGAAGCATTTAAAATTGAAAAGGGTACAAGACAGGGATGTCCCTTATCCCCAGAATGGTAAAAAGTCCAGAGGAATCTGCCAGCATGGTTTCTGGAAATGATGCGACCAGACTCCCGTTGATGCTTTACTTTCCCTGTAGTTCTACGACATTTCCGCAGTCCACCCAACTGTAAATGTATCTTCTCTTAAGCCAATCCCTTTCTCTGCCGCGCAGAATGTATGCTGAGGCTGATTGACCGCACCACAAGGAAATCGGAGGACTACGGGGGACACAATGACACAGTTTGCCTCTGCAGATTTGCCCCCTCCGGGAAACGCCTCTTCACAGCCTCCTACAACGAGATCCTGGTGTGGGAAGTCCAGAGCAGGTGAATGCAGACCAGCCCCTTCGCCATCACCCTGGCATGAGGTCCAGTGGAATCATGCTAAGATGATGGTTGCTTGTGAACCCTGGAAAGACACTCATCTCCAGTTACCTTGGACCAGCTGCAACTTCTAGCCCCAGGTTGAACAGCCCCAAACTTGGGGGGTGGGGTGGGAGCAAGCAGGGGTCTCTGTTAAAGCAGAGCTATCACTTGAATCCCAGTCAGAATGGATTTAGCCACTAGCATAGCAGTCAATTAGGAGCATGCAGGATTTGGAAGGAGACCTTCCCCTTTTATTTAGGCTTCAGGATCCCTCTTTGTAGGTTACAGGAAGTCCCAAAAGTCCTGTTATAAAAGGCAACTGGACTTTGGTTTTCCTTGAAGAAATTTTGCTTCTCAGTTCAACTGCAAAGAAATTAGCTTCTTCAGTTCAACTGCAAAGAAATGTGGAATGGAAGAAGCTTCTTGGATGAGAAGTGAAACGTTCCCAAGGAAAGACAAAGGAAGTCTTTGAAAAAGCTCCCTTGGGACTGAGAATCTCCATAGACATTTAGGTGATAGATAGTTCTTGATTTACGACTGTAATTGAGCCCAGAATTATGGTTGTAAATCATGCCCGTCGTTAAGCAGGCTATCCTGTGATCAACCTGATTTTATTACATTTTTTTGTGGCAGCTGTTTAGCAAATCTCTCTGGTTGTTAGGGTTTATTTAATGACCATGGATTTGCCTGTTTTTAAGCAAACCCATTGTCTGCAATGGGCATTTTTTTGCTGCAACTGGAAGTGAACACTAGTTTCCATCAAAAAAAAGAATAATTCGCGGTCATGTGTGATCACAGAGTTCTGCAAATAGCTCTAAATGTGGGCTGGTCGCCCAGGGCCCATAATGTGATCATGTGACTGCGGGCGGGGAGCAGCCATTGCAGCTTTGAATCCAGGATGTCAGTACCTTTTCTGGGGTCCATTGTAAGTTGAAAATTATCTGTACCACATTTCTTTGCATTTGTAGTAACGATGCTAAATTGCCTCCCTTCCCAATACTTCCGCAGACACTCAAGTTTATCTTATTCTTTTTTCAGCTCAGCAGAATAGCTTGACCAGGCCATCTGAACCAGGAGCCAAAAAAACCTTGGCCAGGTGTTATGGGAATGGCTGATTCTCACTGTTTTTTTGACCCGATACAGTTGGCAGACGCATCAGTTGCGAGAGATCTTCTTGTCACATTTCGAATTGGCAGGTGGCATCTATCCAAGTGCCTTCTTAAAAGAGGGATCATTCATAGATTCAGTGGGCCAAGCCACTGCTCTACTCAAGCCAATTGGCTGGGCAGATTGCACACTAACTGATCTCCATGCTTCTGATGTCCCTCATAGAAATATGTGAGTTTTATCTACAATATTAAAGTATCTGGCCCATGGAAGGTCCTGTTGTAAAACGGGGAACAGAGCAGCACAATTTTTGACTCTTTTCTATTGCAGTTGGTTTTAGTCCCTTTTAGCACTGTTAAATGTATATATGTATATTTTGCATATTTTTCTATAACTAAAATAGCCTTTTTAAAAAAAAAAAATATCATCCTCTCCTAGGACTAGATTTTGATTTTAACAGTTACTGGTTACACTTTCAAGTGAATGTTTAGTTGAGAAGGAGTATCTCTCCCCCGTTCCTGTTTCTGATTTTCTCAGTAATAGAATCACAAAAGGCATTTTTTTAAAAAACAAAACTAAAGACACCCAGCTGAGTGTTAACTGCTGAGTAGGCTTTATACGAATACAAGTTTACCTTTTAAAAAAATATATTTTAAAGATCAGGAACTTTCCAGCTCATTTTATACTCAGAATTTGAAAAGATAAGGTGTTTTGCTTATAGGATGCATGGTTAACTTAGACCAGGGGTAGGCAATCTTGGCTGTTTTATGACTCGTGGACTTCAACTCCCAGAATTCCTTAGCCAGCCACACTCAGGGGGAAGAGAGGTTTCCAAGCTGAGCCATGATGGCTCAGGAATCCTGGGAGTTGAAGTCCACGAGTCATAAAAGAGCCAAGGTTGCCTACCCCTGATTTAGACACAAGGTTGTTCCTCACGTAATGGTCAACAGTACAACAGGTATTGCTTTCACTTCTTAACCTTGGCCTATAACGGGTAGGCAACCTTGGCTCTTTTATGACGTGTGGACTTCAACTCCCAGAATTCTGAGCCAGCCATGCTGGCTCAGGAATTCTGGGAGTTGAAGTCCACGCGTCATAAAAGAGCCAAGGTTGCCTACCCCTGGCCTATTACAACAGAAGCAACAACATTCACATTGGACTTGTTTTCGTTTGTAATTTATAATGAAAGGATTGGGTTTGTTTGTACTTTAAATTTTTAAAAATTCCAAATAAATGAGTAGGTTTGTGTATTCAACCTTTGCTACTTTCTCTGGGTCTAGATGTTAAGACGATCCAGCAAAGTGCTCTCCCTCTTATAAAACCTAAGAAAATCAGTCCCGTTTTATCTGTGCGACCAAACCTAGAGGTGTCTACAGGGCACTGTCAGAAAAGTCAAGATTTCTGACAGCCAGAAAGATGTGATTAAAGTTTCGCCCATTTTTAATAGATGTCAAATATAAAAAGGGATAAAGATTCATTCCCACTGTCAGGGCCATCATCTTGAGGGTTGTTTTTTTTTTGACAGCACTCAATCTGGGTTGATCACCAGGATCAAAGGTTTTGTCTTCCGAGCTTTTGGACTTTGGGTTCTTCTCTATGGTATTTGTATGGTGTCTGTTGTGTGCGGCTTTTTAGATGTAGATTGGGGTGTTGATGGCTGGCTATTAAGTCTTGTGCTGTTATTTCCTTCTGCCGCCAAGCCCTTGCCTCCTAAGTACTTGACAAGCTGGGGATAAATCAGCACACCTGTTGATTGACATGGGGGGGCCCTTTCCAGTTTCAGTCACTTCCCTGGCTGTTTTTGTGCCTGCTCGTCCAACAATCTTAGTAGTAGATATTTTTTTTTTGACAGCACTTTTTATTCTGGAAACAGCAGATCAAGGTCCTTCGTTTTCTTTCCTTCTCTCTAAAGATGTGGGTTGAAGAAAAAAGAAGAAGATGGGAGTGATGGCCAATTCAGATTTCCCCCTTCCATCCCACCAGCCTAAGGATGCTTCCTAACCTGCTCCCAATTTCTATATGCAAATTCTCATTAGATGGTGGATAGTTTTGAAGAAAGGCCTTTGTGCACAGTTGACAAAGCAAGGCAAGAATCGGGAGTCTGAGTGAGGGCAGGCTTCCTGCATCTTATATCCCTTTTTCCAAAGGGCTGGAAATTGCTTGAGAGCCCCCAGACTCTAAGCTCTGTGGTTGTGTCACTGCGACTCAGCCTTGCTGCATTATCAAAAACAGCAAAGAGGTGCTATTCAATCTCTGCAGCCGTCTAAAAACTTGACTGGAGAGCCCAGTCCGGTTCCATCCTGAAGAATTGCCTCGTTATTGTAAGCGAAACTCAAAAAGTCAAAGCTGAAAACTAAATTCACTGCAAGGCGGGTTTTTTTGGCTGCATTTTCAGTCAGGGTTACAAGTGTGTTTCATTCAGGAGCGAGAACCGTACTGGATCTATGTTGAATCTGACTAGCCATTGAAGGAGGTTGCTGTAGGGCAGGCAATGTCACTTAGTCATATATAACTATGAGAAATTTCCTCTTCCCATCCCAAAGGTGTTTTTTCAAGAGGCCCCTGGACTTTCTCGTTTTTTCCTTGAAGACGTTTCAATTCTCTCCAAGAAGCTTCTTCAGTTCTGATTGGATGGTGGGGAATCTTCCCATTTTATTTAAACCAGAATATACCTCATTTTTTCCCCCCTTCAGCCCACTAAATCACAAGGAAGCAAAGAGTGAAGCAAGCAGAATGTGAATTTATTTCTATAAAAAGTTTATTTCCACATAAACCACAAAGCAAAGTCTCCTTAAGGCTTTATTTTCTAGAAGAACTGACATACTCTGACTTTTCAAACGTGGCCCGGGAATTCCACTTTTCACTTGAGTGGTGCGTAAAATACAAAAAGGAAATACAGATCAAAGTGCATCAAAAAGGCTGGCTCAGAAAGAATTAATTTTTGCTTCAAAATATATTATTAAAAGATACTCCTATTGCTATCCTAAGAAAATGTACATCTTTTCAAATATATTACTTAAAAAAACACTTTTTAAGAGATTAACATACGTTTCTCAGAAATCTCTGATAAAAAAGATTAGCAACTAGTCAACACTGGGTCTGCATCTCTTATTATTCTAGCCTGCAGAATAAAATTTGTGACTACTTATATCACCTTTTAGCCTAGAAATCCTGGCTTGTTAAACTACAGTAACCAGTATCACATCCCTGAAACCTTTTCCACCAATTATTTTTCTTCTCTACATTGGGGGAAAAAATATATAAAAAGACAACGTATTTTTCTAAATCAGCAAGAGGGAGTAAAAAAAAGATACAGTCAAGTAGAATAGGTCATTTTGGAAAGAAAAAAAAATGCCATTAAAAAAAGTTGGCAGATAAAATTCCAAACCTTTTCTGCAATTCCACCGAATAAAAATGGATCTACAAATATCAAATATACAAGCCCAGATCATGTTGATATTTTGGGTTGGCTATATGGGGTCTATGACAATTTGCCACGGCAAAACTCGCTGTGGGACAAGAGTTATACTAATATCGAAGAAATGGTGTAATAGAAGCATTAAAAGATGCAAAAGGAGGGACAGAATGAAATGCGAATGGTAAAAATTGGTTTTTATTTATTTTAAATAATTAAATAGAATTGGTTAAATTGTCCCGCAGCGAACTGCGCTGTGTTAAGTTGGCTGTGGCAACTTTCCCCATTTCCAGCTACATGTTCAAACGATTGCCTCCTATGCGTTAAACTGGTGTTTCTCAACCTTGGCGACTTTTCACCTGTGTGGACTTACAATTCTCAGAATTCCCCAGCCAGCATGCTACTGGCGTCATGGACAATTTAAAGTTGAAGTCTACACAGCTTAAAGATGGCTGGGGAATTCTGGGGGTTGATGTCTCCACAGTTTCCAGTTGAGAAACACCTGGGTTAAGGAAACGGGATTCTTTATTTCAACAGAGAAAAACATATTCCTGGATTGACAGAAGTTTACGTTGAAGGATACGCTAAATCATCTTTTAAAAAAAGCAGGGTTTTTTTTGGTTCCAAGTGGTTAAGTCCAAGAGAAGAGGAAGAAAAAGGCAACAAGCGTTATCAATCACACAGTGATGAACCGTATCCTATCGTTCATATACACAAAGGCACCTCTACGTAAGACGTAAGCAGAGAACCACAGGACTGGCTGGCTGGGAATTCTGGGAGTTGAAGTCCACACGTCTTCAAGTTGTCAAAGTGGCTCATCCTTGATTTAGAGAATCAGCAGCGTTCCCAAAGCTGGCTGGCTCCAAAGCCCATTTCTGTGGCCAAGCCACCCCGTGGGATGATGGAAGTTGTGGTCCAAAGATGTCCAGAGAACAAGTCCCCCCCCCTCTTTTTTGTCAGGAATGCGTGTGTGGTGGAGGACAAATATATACTACAGGTAGTCCTTGGCTTACAATCACAAAAATTTCTATTGCTACGCAAGGCAATTAAGGGGTTTTGCCCCGTTTTGCCTTTTTTTTTCTGCCACAGTTAAGCGAATAGTCGTTAACTGTGAAATGAATCATTCGGTTGTTAAGCGAATCGCACTTCCCCCATTGACTTGGCTTGTCAGAAGCTGGTTGGGAAGGCTGATCACATGACCAAGAAGAAAGAGTGCAATGGTCATAAATACAGGCCAGTTGCCAAGTGCCCGAATGTGGATCATGTCACCATGGGAATGCTGCAACGGTCGTTAAGCGTGAAAACCTGTCACTTTATTCAGTGCCTTGTAAATGCTAACAGTCACCCATGGTCACAAACTAAGGGACTATCTATAAACATCTTGAGGTGTCTAAATGCTGCAAGACATGAGGAATCCTCAAAAAAAAAAAAATCATTTCCTGTCTCTCAAAATCATCCGTTTGTGCTTCTCCATCAGGGAATCTTCAAACTTGGCCAATTTAAGACTTGTGGACTTCAACTTCCAGAATTCCTCAGCCAGCGGAGGAATTCTGGGAGTTGAAGTCCACAAGAGTCTTAAACTGGCCAAGTTTGAAGACCCTCGTTCTACAGCATTTCAACTATGAAGATGCTGCTGTCTAGTGCTATGGAAGCATTCGAGAGATGGACATCTCTGGGGACCAACTTGGAGCTTCTCTCCAAAACTTGATGGGACGAAATATTTCCATACCAGTATGGAAGCTCCCCCTGTCCCGGATCCCTCGTAGGCCACTGGTTCCAATTAAGGCAATAGGGAAAAATGGCAACCGATTGCCGAGCGATGGAGCCAAACTTCTGCAGTGAGAAACAGTGGTATCTCCCGAGTTTTCTGCTCCATGGATGAGAAACTTTTTTGGTCACAGCAGCATAACACTTTCCATCTGATTCGAGTCCCAGGCAGTCTCGGCGGGATCGTCGACCTCCCAAGCTGCTGACAGACCCCGGTCTTTGGTCCCCCCATTCACCTCTTCCAGGGGGATAGAGTTATACTGTCCGTGTTTGTGACGCTTGTTGGTGCAGCTGCGCAGAGCCAGTATGACATTACTCAACACGCTGAGCAAAAGCAGGCCAAGCAAAACAAGGCTTATTGCGATCCAGGTTTTCCTAGAAGAACAATCCACGACTCATAAGCAAGGGCCGAGAGAGCCTTAAAGGTGCCACCCATCAAGCTACGGATCAAAATTTTTGCACTTTTATTTCCCTCCAACAGCTCTTCCGTGGGAGGCTGGGAAAAACCGCCAAGAACTTGCAAGGCTTTTTATCAGCAAGCAAAAGTGTGTAACTTACTCGGAGAAAAGGGACTCTTCCTTTGAGGTAGCATGTAGCAGGCACGGCTCAGCTAAAAAGGGGAGGAAAAAAGAAACAAACCAGATCAGGCGAAGCAAGAAAGGGGTCCCTATTTCCTGCTCCAGAACCGAGCCACAAAAAAAAACATGGATCTGGAGAACGAGTGAAGCTCTCTTTCTGTGGGGATCTAAATCGATCCCCCGTCCAGCTTTCACGAGAGCATATTCGCTGGTACAAAAGTGATCCGTTCGGGCTCCACCACAGGGATTCCTCGACGTACGACTACAATTGGGACCTGTTGCTAAGCCAGGCGGTTGTTAAGTGAATCATATCTGATTTTACAATCTTTTGTAAGTGAATCACTGCAGTTGTTAAGCGAGTCACGTAGTTATTAAGCGAATCCAGCCTCACCCATTGACCTTGTCAGAAATCAACTGCGAAGGTCACAAAGGGCAACCGAGTGACCAGAGACACGGCAACGGTTGTAAATACATGCGTAAATACACGTGCCCCAATTGTGATTGTGTGACTGTGGGAATGCTGCAATGGGCATTAAGTGTGAGGACTACGTGCTGTTGTAACTTCAGACAGGCGCTAAATGAAGCAAACCTACTTGGGATAGGTGGAGGCTGGTTCTAAATTACCTTTTTTCAGTGATATCGCAAGTCTGGTCGCTAAACAAACAGCTCTAAGTCGAGGACCACCTGCTCTTACTGCTAGGACAGTTTTCAAGATATACACATGAATCGGCCTTCGTGATCCTAAAGACCGTTGTGTTAACTTTGCATCCAAACCTAGACTTTGCTCATCCTTGAGTGGCAACAATCCTCCCAGGAGCCAAGCAGAGAAAATTAACATTCTGGGCTTTGCAAACCAAAAGACTTTTGATCTGGAGAGGCCAGCAATTTAAGTTGCATCCTCAAGTAGTTAAAAAGCAGGTTTTTTTCCGAGGACTACCTCTACAGTCAGGACCCCCAAAAGCTTGTCCCTCTAGATAACTCACCCAGGATGGTGGAGTCTAGAGAAATATTGCAACTGCCTGTCCTCCGATCACAGTAACACTGGTTTGGGCACTGACAGGTCTGCTGACAGTTGGGTCCGAATCGTCCGAGAGGACAGGCTGCAAAATAATGAAAGAAACAGGCCTTGTACCCCCACAGATCAGCAAGAAGCCAGGATAAAGGAGTTGGAAGAAACATATCCCAACAGATCAGTAAGAAGCCAGGATAAAGGACTTGGAAGAAACAGGCATTAAATCCCCATAGATCAGCAAGAAGCCAGGATAAAGGACTTGGAAGAAACAGAGCTTATATCCCCGTAGATCAGCAAGAAACCAGGATAAAGGAATTGGAAGTCAAGTTCAGCCTGCCTTAAGATTCTGTCCTCAGTACGGGTAGCCTTTGACTTATAACCATTCATTTAGTGGCCGTTCAGAGTTACAACGGCACTGAAAAAAGTGACTATTTTCCACACTTACAACCGTTGCAGCATTCCCAGGGTCACGTGATCAAAATCTGGATGCTTGCCAGCTATTTATGACGGTTGCCGTGTCCTGGGGTCACATGGTCACCTTTGGAGGACCTTCTGACAAGCAACGTCAATGGGGAAACCAGACTCACTTAACCACTGTGTTGTTAATTTAACAACTGCGGCCATTGCCCTAACAACGGTGGCAATAAACTGGGACAAAGCTCACTTAACAACTGTCTTGCTTAGCGACAGAAATCTGGGACTCAGTGGTGGCTGTTAAGTCGAGGACCCCCTGTTACTTCAACCTTCTGCATTTATGGATTAGCCTGAGCCCCGTTGCCTGTACTAGTATTAAGCCACAGATTTTGTGGGGAGCCACAGAATCGGCTCCAAATCCCTCACCTTCTTCGCAGAAGATCCCTTGGAAGCCCGCTGGGCAAGCGCAAGATCCGTGCACAGGGTCACACGTGCCGTTGTGGCGGCAGAGGCATTTCTGAGCACAGCCATCCCCGTAGGTACCACTGGTGCAAGCTAAAGGAAGGGAAAGGCGTGATCAGAACGGTGGGTGGCAAGCTCAATTGATGGCACTCGTTAGTCACAAAACACACACACACACACACAGGATTTTGAAAGAATATAGGATCATGCTTAAGGCTGGCATTTTGCTTGGCAATTTCTCTTATCCGAAAGAAGGGCACCTCTGTAGCTCAGGGTTGAACTGTGGAGATTTTGATGTTCTCTGAGCCTGGCTGTTTTTCTTGCAGACTTTTCATTACCCAACTAGGTAACATCATCAGTGCTAGATGGGAGTGAGGTTTTTTTTCAGTTTCTATACAGTAGCTTCCCCATCCAGGGTTGCCTAATAATTTTAAAGTTAGCTCTAAACCAAAGGGAGTCACATTATTACTTGGGCTACCTCACAAGAGATTTACATTCCATGCTTTAAAAATATATAAATGTTTGACTGGATAAGATATATGTGTGTGTGTGTGTGTGTGTGTAAATTTTCTTCATGCTATGCATGATATTGAAGAATCAAGTCTCTCTTAGTTGCCTTTTTTGAAAGATCAAGAGAGAAGGAGTTGCAGTTCCCCATTCAGTTCTGTTATACACTTCTGCCTTCTTCCAGCTCTTATCATTTGCCAAATATGAAAGCTTGAATTGCACATCCTGTTTCAGAGGTGGATATATTCAAGGTCTCCAACCTTGGCAACTTTTAAGACTTTGTAGACTTCAGCTCCCAGAATTCCTCAGCCTTCCACAGAGTTGTGGAAGGGTATCACCCTGTTGGCCATTCTCCTTTTAATTCACTTCCCTTCTGCATCATGGAATTCAGTTCTGTTATTTCTATTGCCCTGAGCAAAAAGAGAGACATCAATCCAGCAAAACAAATCAAGACTAAGATGGTTAAGTGAGAAAGAGGATTACCTTGGGTGCAGTTTTCACCCATCCAGCCAGCATCACAGACACATCCCACTGGAATAAAGGCAGCAACAAAGGAGAAATTGTAAACTTATGTAGTAAGATCAGAGAACGGGAAGGGATTTGGGACAGGATTAGAACCAGAATCTGATCCAGGTCAAGGAGGACAGCCTCAAAATCAAGGATGCTGATTTGCAACAATTTGCCTTTACTCAAGGCAAACCCCACCCAGCCCCCAAGGAAGACCCGTTTGCACCCGGATCCTTTCAAAGGCGGAGCCTTACTCTCCGTGCACATTCCGTGTAGAGTGCAGTTGGAAGGGCCACAGTCCAGCACATCGCAGGCTGGCCCGCTCCAGAAGGCTCCATGGCAGTGGCAATGTCCAAGAACGCAGTGCCCCTGCCCGCTGCAGTTTTGAGGTTGGCAGGCAGGCTCGTGCACGCACAGGACAGTTGAAACGCTCCGAGGGCAGCGCCAGGTAGAGTCAAACACACTGGGAAGAAAAGAGAGAAAGTCAGATGGAATTAAGGACACAGCCACACACCCCTTATCTTCAAGCTCAGCTGCTATCTAACTCAGGAGCTGTGGTGGTGCAGTGGTTAGAATGCAGTATTGCAGGCTGACTCTGCCAACTGCCAGCAGTTTGATCCTGTAAAGCACTGAAGCGGAATATAAATATCTTCCTTCCCTCCCTCCCTCCCTCCCTCTCTCCCTCCCTCTCTCTCTCCCAGGAGTTAGAATGTAGAATTGCAGGCTGAGCATGCCCACTGCCAGCAGTTTGATCGTGACCGGCTCAAGGTTGACTCAGCTTTGCATCCTTCCGAGGTCGGTAAAATGAGGACACAGATTGTTGGGGGGCAAAAGGCTGACTCTATTAATTGCTTAGAGAGAGCTATAAAGCACTGTGAAGCGGTATATAAGTCTAAGAGCTATTGCTAACTCACCTCCATAACGCTAGGTGGCTAATGAGATTAAAAATAATGAAACGTACACAAAAAAACATAAAATTCACAGCAGAAAAGATGACAAATCCACAATGGAACATGCAATGCAAACTGAGCCGCTAATAACCAGAGAGCTCCTTGGGAGAAGAGATTTATTTAATTATTATTTTGGGAACTTGTGGGGAATGGGGTCAAGGGCAAAATGGACAATTCCTCACCAAATTGTGTCCTTGGGCTGCCCACCATTATTGTGCAGCCATTAACATGAAGGGCGAAGCTTACTGTGATTCTCGGTCAGGGAAAAATGTGCAGTCCAAACACCGGGCAATCAGGCTATTCCAGAAAAACCACAGCAGAGAATGCTCACCAGTGATCCGAAGGGTAGCTAGCAAGGGTTCCATTGACGACGAAAGTAGCTGATCCTCCACCGTCCAGGTTGATTGCATTCACCACACCGCGCTCCTTTAGAAAATCTGCCATTTCCCAGAGGTTCAGGCTGCAGTTGCAAGAAACAGAGATGGTTATCTCTGCCCCAAAGAAGAAGGAGTCAAGCTATTCTCCAAAGTGCCTGAAGGCAGGACAAGAAGCAGCGGATGGAAACTAACCAAAGAGAGAAGCAACCTAGAACTAAGGAGAAACTTCCTGACAGTGAGAACAATTAACCAGTGGAACAACCTGCCTCCAGAAGCGGTGAATGCTCCAACTCTGGAAATTTTTAAGAAGAGACAGGACGGCCATTTGTCTGAAATGTTATAGGGTTTCCTGCCTGAGCAGGGGATTGGACTAGAAGACATCCAAGGTCCCTTCCAACTTTATCATCATCATCATTATTATCATCATTATTATTATTATTATTATAAGAAGCTGATCAGAGGAAGAAAAAAAACAGCGGTTGGTTATACTACTCCAATTAAGATATGAGCTGAGTCCTGTTATTTAGTCAACAAATCAAGTCTTGGCTTAATGTGATGGTCCAACTCAAAGACACACCATCAACATTCTTTTCTCAACAATTGGAATGCAGAAGACACTTCCCTCCAGAAAGATCTCCAATCTCCTTGCAAGGAAGCATCACAAAGCTACAGGACATACCCTCTGACGCCCGTCTGCCCGTCAGCGTGAAACAACACGAGCCGCCCTTGTCGGTCATGCCCCATGGCCGTCCTGGCAGACACAGTATTGACAAAACCTTCAAAGGTCCCTGCCAGGGGAAAAGAGAGATGTTTCAAGCAGCCAAGATAAGAAAGTTGGGTGGGTTAAGGCAAACGTCTCCCTACCGCAGGATGACAACAATCTGGGCAGGACTGCTACCATCTTGGAACTACCTGAAAGATCTGGAGGACATCAGCTCAAAACCTCATTTGATGGGTGGAGAAGGAAGGGAAAAACTAAGCTAAGCCAATCTCTGATACTATAGGTAATTCTCAACTTATAACCACAACTGGGACCAGAATCTCCCTCGCTAAGCAAGGCAGTTTGTTAAATACCCAATTTTACAAGCTTTTTTGCCATTGCCGTTGTTAAGTAAATCATACGGGCACTAAGCGAATCCAGCTTCTCCCATTGACTTTGCTTGTTGGAAGCTCACTATGGGACATTGCAACCGTTGTAAATACAGGTTGGTTGCCAAGCAACTGGGGTCACATGATAGAGAGATGCTGACAGTCACGAGTGGAAGGACCAGTTGCAAGTCATTTTTGTTCAGTGCCACTGTAATTCAAATGGTCACCAAACAAACAGTTGCAAGTCAAGGACTATCTGCATTCCTTCCATTCCTCATTTTGGTACAGACAAACCTGGGGGGGGGGGGAATGTCATCCTGGAGAGCAACTGTGAGGCTGGGCTTTATTTTATTGGGAGGACCCGGCCCAGCACCATTTTCCTTGCCACACAACAGGCCTCTAACCATCTGAACTCATTTTTTTTCCAATGGAAAGTTGATGCTCATTGCAAGGCCTACAATCTTTATCATGCTCCTAGGTGCTATAATTATTCTTGGGAAATGAAATTAACAGGTTGTTGCATCCTAACCTAGTGAAAACAAAGCACCTTCTCAACTGAATGAACAAAAAGACCACACACGCAAAAAAAACCATCTTGCAAGAATTGGGTGGGAAAAGCAATGTCACTAATTGTTCTTGGACAATGGGGAATTCAAAGATTGGCCAAGTCCATCCCAGCAGCCGTTTTGTGAATTTACCAAGAAGACCAGGGATCTCCAAATTTGGTAACTTTAAGGATTATGGACTTAAAACTCCCAGAATTCCTCAGCCAGCTGGAATTCTGGGAGTTAAAGTCCATAAGTCTTAAAGTTGCTGAGTTTGGAAACCCTGAACAAGACCATCTCAATCTCTTTCCAAAGTTGCCAATCTCACTTGGTCAAAGAAGAGTGCAAGATTGGAAGACAGAGGGATTTGGCCCATAGAATCGCCAAGAGTCGGAACGACTGGATAACATCATCATCATCATCATTATTATGTGATTTTTATATATTTTATATGCAGCCCAAGACAATTCTTTTTTACTCAGCCCTAACCCTGGCAAATCAAAAGGTTGGATACCCATTGTTTAGAACAGAGGTCCCCCACCTTTTGAGTACCAGGGACCAGTTCCGTGGAGAGAGGTTTTTCTGCGGACCGGAGGCTGCGTGGTTTTGTGTGCTGCCTGCATCCCGCGGATGGGGTTTTGCTTGTCTGTGCGGAACGGTTGCTGGCATGCCGCGGCCCGGTATCGGTTCACAGAGGGAGGGCTGGGAACCCGATTTAGAACTATTCTCCCGCAGCTCTGGGGGCGAGGGCTGTGGCATCACCTGTTTCCTGAGTCTTGTCGCATTCTGCCATTTGGCTCTGATTCACGTAGACCTCTCCGTCACGCAGAAGCCAACCTACCCCGCTTACAAGCTGCACAAAAGGGTTCTCTGCAGCAAAGACTTCTTCCTCGGAGAGGTAGCTGGAAGAGATAACCAAAAAAGAAAAAAAAAACAGATTAAAAATTCCAGAGAAGCCCAAACGGTTACAGGCAATCCTTGTTTAGTGACTGTCTCATTAGTGACTATTATCAAATTACAGTTTTACTATTTACAATTGGACCCGGAAATCTAGTTGTAAATGATTGCAGTCATAAGTTGAGGCACCCACATGACAAGACCCTGGTTTTTTTTTTCAACCTTTTTGAGAATGGACATTAAATAAATCACTATGGTTATTAAGTAAATCACATGGTCCTTAAGTGAATCCATTCTTCTGGAAGCCAGCAAAAAAACTGCCAGAAACGAGGAAAAAAAATATTGCAGATTGTGGTTGTGTGATTGCAGGACCCAGCAAGTGGTTTTAAAGGGCAAGTGTCTGAAATGCGGTCAGGCTGGCAATATTTTATGAAAGCCAAAAGTCCTTTATGCACCATAAATCACCCGTTTCAAGGCCACTGAAATGCCAAGCCGTCATAAAAAAGAAGATTGTAAGTCAAAGACTTGTACAACAGTGATGAAAAAGTAACAAATCATACGCATAGTGACAGTTTCACTTAGGAATTGCTTCCCTTAAGAATCCAGATACCAGTCTCAATTGTGATCACTAAACAAGGAGTTAAGTTAAGCTGGGACATGACCGTTGAAGTAAAGACAAGGATAGAGAAAGCTTGAACATCATTCTTCAAAATGAAAAAGGTCTTCTGCAGTCATGACATAAGCCTAAGACTGAAAATCAGGCTTGTCAGATGCTATATTTTTTTCTGTCCTGCTCTATGGAGCAGAGAGTTGGTCTCTGACAGAAAACCACCTGAAGAGACTAGAAGCATTTCAAATGTGGATTTACAGGCGGCTGTTACGTATAAGCTGGGTTGACAAGATCAGAAATGAGGTGATAAGCCACTTGGGAAAGCCAAGGGAAATCCTCAAAACGATTAAAAAATGAAAATTAGAATATTTTGAACATGTGATGCGACACCCAGAAAAATATGGCATACTCCATTTAATCCTCCAGGGAAAGATTGAAGACAAACGAGGTCCAGGCAAAAGAACATTGTGGCTTCAAAATCTAAGGGACTGGTTTGGACAAAAATCAACAGCCCTTTTTCGTGCGGCTTCTGATCAAAAACAGGATTGCCAATAGGGTCGCCAACGTCCGATAACGGATATGGCACAACAAGAAGAAGAAAACAAGGAGTTGCAGTTGTAAAACAACAAAACAAAACTATGCCAACACTTACCCAATGACTAAAGTGCCATCTTTCCGGATTCCAAACTGAGCATTCTGCACTCCGCCAGAGGACTGTACCAGCTGCCTGTTGCTGACCACGTTCCCTAAGCATGCTCCAGTGTTCATATCAAAATAGCCTCCATTCTGGGCCACAAGGCACTGACGTCGACTCACCGTCTCTTCCACGGTGGCTCTGTGGCGGAAATGGCAGCCCCCCGGCCCCCCAGGCTCTAGGACAGAAAAAGTCCTCAGGGGGTCTGGCACAACCGTCAAGTGGCCGTACACCCGGCGGCGATTGGAACGGTGCGGTGGGATGTCTGAAACAAATGTATACATAACAGGCAGAGGGGAGGTAGTGCTGTTGTGGCTGGGCCAGGTTTCATGGGTCGCATTGCCATGCAGGAGACCCTGGCAGTCTCGGATGTACCGATGGGGGTGCCGGGGGCCATGCTGAGGAAGGAGATAGGGCAGCAAGACGTCGTCGTTCAAAGAATTCCTGAAAGTTGAAAGGCAACAGGGCAGGTTCGGACAGAAGAAAACAAGGGGAAAGCTTTATCTGATAAGTTCTCTCCGGGTGAGTACAGGTACAATCACAACTGCGCCCAAAATCTCCATTGCTAAGTAAGACAGCTGTTCAGTGAGTTTTCCCCCATTTTTTTTTTATTAAAGATTTTTAAAATTTTACAATAAAAACCCCTTCCCCAATCCCTCCCAACCCTCCCCAAAGCCCTCCCCCATTCTTCCCAGAACTGAATACAGGCTTAACTAGAACTTAAAAGAAAATTTTTTTAAACCCAAATAAACCTTAAACCAATATCATTACACTCAATAAACAGATGTTTTCCCCCATTTTATGATCTTTCTTGCCACAGTTGCTAAGTGAATCGCTGCAGGGTTTTTTTAATAAATATTTTATTAGGTTTTATCTAGGTAAGAAAAAAAGATAGAGTCAACACCGGTATGAGGGGAGTGGGAATAGGAATTTGGGGTAGGAAAGGGGTAAATACAATGATGGGGCAACCCCCATAATAATCCCAAGCTTTAACAAACAAGCTACCGTCCAGATCTAAATATTAAGTAAACATAATTTGTATAATACTAAAGAATTATAAAGCTAAAGTTAACTATAATCATATAACTAAAATTAGAAAGGGAAATAAAATTCCTCTAAATAAATATTCATACTTAATTGCATATCACCAAATTCTAGTCATCACCATTAATATTTAAAATCACTAATGGTAAAGCTATTATTAATCTAAGAAATAACATTTAATTAAGAGTCTATCATTTATTCTATTCAATTTTAAAATTTCAATTCAGTTTTAAGTTCTGATCGTATTCTAGCGTATTTCTAACCATCGATAAAATTTTTCCCAAGTTTTGAAATAAATTGAATCTTCTTTCTCCTTCATCTCCAAAGTTAATCTATCCATTTCGAATCGCTGCAGTTTTTAACGGTTGTTAAATTTTAACAGGGCCGTTCAATTAATCTGGCTTTGCCCCTTGATTTTGCTTGTCCAAAGGTTGCAAAAGGGGATCACGTGACCCTGGGACACGGCGACCATTTGCCACGTGTCCTAAGTTGGATCACATGACCACGGGAAGGCTGCAATGCTCGTACGTCACTTTTTCAGTGCTGTTGTAACTTCGCACAGTCACTACTTGTAGCAAGTAAAGCAGAATGAACAAGTTTTGGATTTGTCTTCCTTTCCACCCTCCAGACTGAAAATCCATCTTTTTTTTTAAACTGGCTTATTCTATTCATCACCGATATAGAAAGCAAATTTTGTGCAGTGATTACAGGACTGGACTAGAAACTAAGAAACAGCGAATCCTCCTTTAGGCATGACAACCAGTTGGGTGCCTTTGGGCCAGTCCCTCTCTCAGCCCAATCTACATCATAAGGAGAAGATAAGATGTTGGAGACTTATAGAGAATGATATATGCTGTTGTAGAATAATCACAAAACAAAGGTGTGCTATAAACCTAAGTAATAAATAAAATACATAAACAGACAGTCATCAAACTTTATAATCACGGAGCCACATACCCAATGTGTATCATAGTGTTATTATTACGACATATATTATACACACACGCACAGACCAGGAAAATCGGTTTTAAAATAACTATATAGCTCAAGCATTTCTCTGCGGGGCAAAATATTGAAATCGTGCAAAGATTTTTTTTGTTTTTTTAATTATACTTTTAGAAACGCAGAACAGGGCTTACATCGCCTTATTTTTCAGCACGGAAAAACGACCTTTTAATGCTAACTGCATCAGGCGGAAGAGGAAAAAAAAACCCGCCAGCCCTGCTAGGTGGGCCTCCTTTCCCCTCCCCTGGCTCGCCCTCCTTACCAGGCTCCGGCGCTGCCGTGAACTCCCCCAAAGCAGTGAATCAGCCCCCCAAAAAACGCGGCCAGGGCAAGACCTCCGAGCCCGCTGCCTGCGATGTGAGACAGGCAATTCATGGGGGCCGCCATATTGAGCCGAAAGGCGGGTCACATGATTCGAGGTCACGTGAGGCTCAGGGAGCCTCGTCCTTCCCGGGCGGAGGAAGGCATGGGCGTTTGGGTTTGCCCTCTGGTGGCCAGCGGGGAGAACTACAAAGCTTAAATAGGGGAAATCCTAGAAATGATCAAATGCGTAGCTTCCAAGGCTGCTTTTCTAAAAGGCAACTGGATTTTTCTTTGTTTTTGTTTGAAAACGTTTCACTTCTCATTCAATAAGCTTCTTCAGTTCCTCATTTGGAACTGAAGAAGCTTCTTGGATGAGAAGCGAAACGTTTTCAAAGAAAACACCAAGCAAGTCCAGTTGCCTTGTTGGGACAACCGTCACCGGGACGATTGAGAATCTCCATAGACATTCAGATGTTGGAAGAAAGGTCTTCATCGTGGTTTCTCAATTTGGCCACTTTAAGAAGTGAGGACTTCAACTCCCATAATTCCCCAGCTGGTCCATTCTGAGATTTCAAGTCCATACACCTTTAAAAGGTGCCAAGGTTGACGAAGACTCGTCTGTCGAAGCAAAAGCACAAAACGGCGTCTCACTTTGGCCGTGTCGTGTGGGGGAGTTTATTGGAGAAAGGGATTATGTTTGGAAGAGTCTGCAGTAAAAGGCAACCAGGATGCCAAAGACCACGATGGCTGGACACCATCAAAGCTGACCCCAGCCGAGCATAGAACAACTCAAAGAAATGCAGGTATTCCTTGACTTAACAACAGTTCATTTAGTGACCATGCAAAATTACAACAGCACAGAAAAAAGCGACTTATGGCCCTTTTTCAGTTATGGCCTTTGAAGCATCCCCATGATCATGTGATCAAAATTCAGATGCTTGGCAACTGGTTCATACTTATGACCGTCGCTGTGTGCCGAGGTCATGTGTGATCCCCTTTTGCAACCTTCCAACAAGCTAAGTCAGCAGGGAGGTCAGATTCTCTTAACAACTGCAAGGTCCCCCTGTCCCTTATTTAAACTTGAGATACCGTATCAATCTAATCAGATAACCCAAGCGGAGATTGATTGATTGTGATTAAAGTACTGATTGCAAGAACAGATGGACAGACTGCCAAAGCTGTGCCTTAAAGAGCAGGCTTTCCATAAGCCCTTTTAAGACTTGGACAGTTCAGGCTACAAGCACTGTTTCACAATATTGATTCTTCTGGTTCAGTTCCCAGCTTAAACAAAGCTGAAGGCCAAGGAAAGGCTCAAACAATGGACATATCCCAGATGATGTAACATCTCTTAAATGTGCCAAGTCCTTGATAGAAAGCTGGCACGACATAAAACAGGTTTATTAAGGATTTAAGCTGCCACAACATCTTAGAAGACCTCTCTGTAGATCTTTGTTTAAACAACTTGAGGGTTACACAGAGTTCATTTTGCAGATGGAGTGAATGCAGAGTTCCAGCTGTTGAACACCTTCCATTGAATGTGTCCTGAATGACCGATGGTGTCAGGGCCTGGATGGGGGCAGTAAACCATTTTTTTCAGAGCCTTCATTGACTGTTAATACTGTCCACAGCAGGGTTTTTCAAACTTGGCCCTTTTATGACTTCCGGACTTCAACTCCCACAATTCCTCAGCCAGGAAGTCCACAAGTCATAAAAGGGCCAAGTTTGTAGACCCCTGTCTACAGTGTGTTGTGGAGTCTTCAGTGCTCTGTAAGATTGGTTGTTTTCATGCAGATGTTTTGTTACCTGATTAGGTGACACCCTCAGTGCTACAAGGGAGTTTATACACTTACCATTTACATCCCATTCAAAAAAGAGACACTAAAAAAGACAGGAAGGAAATAGAAAGATTAGACTGCATCCTCTCCAGCAGCAAATATTCAGATAAGCATAGATTAACACCAGACAAACAATCAAGCAGAAAACAATAGCAGAATCAAGAAACTATCAACTCTGACAAACAAAAGTAAACAATCAGCCTTATCAAGGAACCACCAAGAAGGAAACAACACTCCCACCAACACTGATAGGGCAAACTAACTGCATATAAACAAAGAGCAAACCCCACTCCCTTCAAGCACTGAAGATGTTACCTAGTTGGGTAATGAAAATCTGCAAGAAAACAACCAAACTCAGAGAGCACCAAGGACTCACAGTTCAAGCTACATATAATCATTTCTACTGGAACCATGATATCGTTCTAGACCACCTAACAGAATAACAGAGTTGGAAGGGACCTTGGAGGTCTTCTAGTCCAACCTCCTGCTCAGGCAGGAACCCTTATACCATTTCAGATAAATGGTTGTCCAATCTCTTCTTAAAAACTTCCAGTGTTGGAGCATTCAGAACTTCTGGAGGCAGGTTGTTTCACTGATTAATTGCTCTAACTGTCAGGAAATTTCTCCTTAGTTCTACATTGGTTCTCTTCTTGATTTGTTTTCATCCATCGTTTATTGTCCTGCCTTCTGGTGCTTTGGAGAATAGGTTGACCCCCCCTCATTTTTGAGCCAGCCCCTCAAATATTGGAGCACTGCTACCATGTCACATAGTTCTTCTTTTCATTAAACTGGACATACCCAATTCCAGCAACTGTTCTTCTGTCAACGCTGCTAACATCGGATGTTTTTGCATAGACAATAGAGGGAAATCTAGCCATCTTTTTCCTTTTGCTTTCAGAGTTAGATGATGCTGGGAGGGGCGATGTGAATGAGAGTCCAGCTAGACATAACAACACTAAACCTAGCGTGAGAATCAAGGTTATTGAGCCTAGAACTGATAAAGAATTGGCGGACTGGAGAACTGGAGAGGAGGCCCGCGGAATGTGATTTATGACAGTTAATTGAAGGAGGGAATTGCGTTTTGATACTAGGTGCTCAAGGGAGGGGAATTCAGTTTTTTGCTTCGATTATGCAGTGCCGATATTATGCTATTCGAATAAAAGATTCTTTAGATAGACAATGCCTCAAAGTTCTTTTGAAGAAATTCATCTGTCAGAACCATGACATCTTCCTTCTCCTTTCCTCGAATCATCTTCGTTGCTCTTCTCTGCACTCTTTCTAGAGTCTGTGCTGGGGAAACTATTTTGCGGTGCTGCTGCAGTTTTCTCTGAGGATGCTTTGGGTCTGTTATAGGGAAAGAGAGTTCTGTCCGGTGGCTGCTTACTTGGGGTACACCACAATCCTTGCCTCCTGACCTTTGAATATCTACCTGAAATTGCTAGGAAGGTCATCCAATAACTCAAGAGTACAGTATCTTCAGACTGCTGCTGATACCTAGATTTATGTCCCCAATTCAGGCTGTGGAGGAGAGACTGTGAAGGCCCTTCACAAAATCATTCGTGTCCTAATCCCTTTCTGCAAGGCGCTCCACACTGGGCTGTCTTTGAAGACCATTTGAAAGCAACAACTGGTTCTGAATGCAACTATGTTTTTTGATTAAATAATGTCATCAATCCGTCAGGAACTCCCATGGCATCTGCCCTCTGGAACTCCAGAAAGACATGGGGGCATCCCATCTGGTTATAATGGAAGTCACGGAAATTACTTTGGAGAAACTACACGGGGTCAGCTACAAAATCATAGTTAGTCGAGGTACTCAAGAAAACGTCAGAAAGTATCTTAAACTGATTCTGCTTTAACTCCTAGGAGCGTAAGAGGGAAACAGAAAACATTTTCTGAAAGGCAGGAAATAAAATCCACCAATATGCTGAAAAGCTACTTTATTGACCTAGAGACGATAGTAACAAAATCTTGAAAACTTCTTTTCCTTTCTTTCCTCCTTATTCCTCCATGTCTAAATTTATCGACGAGTGGATTTGCAGGGATGTATGTTGGAGTGGACTTAATTTTGAAATTTTTCATACCTGGGATCCACCTCAAAGTGTTGCTAGGAGTAATGCATTTTTAGAGCCGATGGAAGACTTTTCTATTCTAGCTTTTTAGAGGACTAGAGAGACTAGCTTTCGAATCCTGGAGAGCTCAAGATGCTTCAGGATGAGATGCATGGCTGAATACATCTAGATTAGAGACAACCAGGTTTGGGGTGGGAGCAAATATTGGTTCCTTTCTTTAAAAAAAAAAGAAAGAAAATAGAACAAGCTTTTTTTTTTCAGATGAAGTCAGAAATTTCTTTTAGGAAAGTTGCCCAGAAAAATCTGGGTTTAGATTGTAATAAAGAAAGAGATCCAAAGATGGACCATCATTAGGAGCTGTGTAAGAGGAAGCTCCCAAGTGCTCCAACAGCCACAGCAGTGTTATGGGAAGAGCAGACACCTGCAATGAAAAGAACATAGAACATAGAATCATAGAGCTGGAAAGGACCTCAGAGGTCATCTAGTCCAGCGGTCCCCAACCTTTGCAGCTTGGAGGGGGGGAGAGGGGAACCGGGCTGCACAAGCAGCCAGCTGGTGTGAGCGTGCATGCACACACAGCTCGACTGCAAGTCGGGCTGCGTGCGCATGTGCGTGTGCGCAGGCCCACTTATCATGCTGCGTGCGTCCATGTGTGTGCCATCCCAAGGCTCACTAGACTAGACAAACCCAATTCCTGTGTCCCAGCTACCAAGAGTTTTACCTTCAATAAGTTTCTCTGATCTCTTAGTCCTTCTTCTCACTTGGCCCCCATCATTGGAAGAAGCTAGTAGATTAAGAGAAGAAATGAATCATTTGCTGGAAAAAGAGACTAGTATTATTTCTTTGGGAATCGAATCCTAAAATTCAGGATGCTGCATCTTTGTTTTTATGCGTTATCATTTTCTTGCATTTGCCTAAGTAGTTCAATACTCAAAACACTGGTGTAGGAGATGACCAGACTGAACCTGAGGGAGAGGTCAAGAGAGTCACCAGTTTTGAGACTTTTCATGCCCACAAGAGATTTAAATCCAGCCCACCTTGAATTTCATTGGCTCTTATCCATAGCAATAGCATTTAGACTATATTCTATATTGGCCCATAGTGCTTTACAGCAAAGTCCCCAACGTTTTGGGCACCAGGGACCAGTTCCGTGGAGAGAGGTTTTTCCACGGACTGGAGGGTGCGTGGTTTTATGTGCTGCCTACATCCCGTGGATGGGGCTTTGCTTGTTTGTGTGGACCGGTTGCTGGCATGCCGCGGCCCGGTACTGGTCCACGGACCAGGGATTGAGGACCCCTGCTTTATAGCAACCTCTGGGTAGTTTACAATGTCGAACTGTTATTTGCATAATATCCTCCAACAATCTGGGTCCTCATTTTACCAACCTCAGAAGGATGGAAGGCTGAGTCAACCTTGAGTCCCATCAGGAACAAACTCCAGGCTGTCGGCAGAGCTTGCCTGCAATACTGCATTTTGTCCACCAGGGCTGCTAATGAGCTGCAACTCACTTAAGAACTGCCTCATTTAGCAATGGAAATTTTGAGCTCAGTTATGGGCATCAAGTCAAGGACTACATATTCCGCATCTGGACATTTTTTTGACAAAACGCAAGTCGCTGATGCCCCTAAAGCCATGCAATCTACTTACTGTACATCCAGAAACATCCATTCTCCTGTTTCTGCCAGCTGAGAATGCAATCAAGCCAGGACGTCTGGAAGAAATCTGAGAATCCAGCTAGCCCACAAAACATGACTGTGAGGAAAGAAGATGCAGGTTGAGTGGGGATTTGGTTAGCGCAACTGGAGGATTAAGAGAAAAAAAAAAGACCTATTCCTTACAAAATTAAGGAAGGACTGGAAATTACCCACTTATTTTGAAGAGATCATTGGCTGTGTGTATCCTAGATGAAGCTAAGTCCAAAAAGTGCTAGAGAATTCCTGGAAGTCTGGCACTCAATCTAATCGGCCATCAACGGGCACATAAAGATAAGCAACATTTATACGCCATTTAAAAGAGGAAATTTAAAAAGCTAAGAAGGAAACAAGCAGGCCAGAACACATCCTCTCCAGCAGCCAACCCCCAGCTAAGCAGGGATTAACCTCAGGATTAATACCAGACCAACAATCAAGCAATAAATAATGTTCCAATCAAGGAACTACCAACTCAGACAAACAATCGAACAGCAAACAATCAACCCATTCAAAGAACTACTAAGAAGAAAACAACACTCCCACCAACATGGCAAGCCACTTGTAAATAAATAGACAGCAAATTCCTCTCCTTTCCAGCACTGATGATGTTAGCTAATTGGGTAATGAAATGTCTGCAACAAAACAAGCTCAGAGAGTACCAAGCACCCTACAGATCACTTACTGTTCTCTGTAAAGACATCTCCAAAATTGTCGATCAGATTGTTCTTTTCGAGATTGCGATTGGCTTGCATCATCAAATCACAGAACAAGTTTTCATAATATTGGGTATTTTGGAAGAGAGAATTCGGGCACGATTGCTAGAGAGGGAAAGGTGAGAATACAAAGAAAGGCGGGATAAAATATTGATTGATTGGTTGCTTCCTCTTGCTAACCCAAACGTTCCAGTGGTACCACAAAGCAATTGATAGACAAAAATTAAGAAAAGATAAAGCTTTTTAAAATGCTTTTAAAGCATAAAACATCTGATTCAAAATGCAGATCGAAAATAAAATTATTGCAGTAAAAATGAATGCACTTAAAATTTCTGCAGGTGGAGCTTACAAACTTATTGGTTTTTTTTTTCAAATTTGGCAACTTTAAAATGCTGGACTTCAACTCCCAGAATTCCCCAGCCAAGTCCACAACCTCTACACCTTCCCCCCAACTCTTTGCTCTTCTGTCCAAGATCCTTGCAAATGGATTAAAGATCTCAGAACATTCAAAATCCCTTCCTCTTCATCCTATGATTATTGTTCTAACCACCCTGGCAACGTGATCCAGAGTCACCGTGTGTAAATTGGACAGCTACATACATTTGTTTAATAAACAAACAAATAAACATGGGCACTCTCTTACCATCTTGGCAAACAGAAAGTAAAAGAGTTGATGGGACAGCGAATAACCATAGCAGTGAGCGTTTATCATGAGACTGGTGCAATTGTCGGGAACCCAGCATACATCCGTATCCTCCCTGTTGAAGGAAGATAAAACTCAGATAAGACTTCCTGCCCACTGTCAAGGATGAAACTTTGGCAGCTACATGCCTCTGCATTTAGAGTAAGGGGGGGGAAGGTATTACTTTCAAGTGGATTAGATGGAGAAACCAAACTTCTGTGATTCAGCTGAAGACTATGAGAGCCTGAAACCTTTTCAAGGATGCCATACAAGGTGTGGATTTGAAGCAGACAGTTCCCATAACAAAGTGAACTTGTTTATATGGACTACATGAGACATTGGGAGTTTGGCTGGGAAAATTATTGTTTAAGTCTATGAATTGGGGTTGGAACCTCAGAGTTAGTTTTGTTTCGACATACCCATGCAGTGTATTCAATAAACAGCAAGATTTTTGGAAGCCATCATTGAAATGTCCTAGGGACATGTGATTACCATTTGTGATGTTTCCAGCTGGCTTCTGATAAGCAAAATAAATGGGGGGAAGCTGGATTCACTTAACAACCGTGTGATTCACTTAACAGCTCAGTGATTTGCTGAATAACTGTGGCGTAAAAGGTCGTAAAATTGGGGGTGAATTATTTAACAACTACTTGCTTAATAACAGAAATTCTGGACTCAGTTGTGGTTGTAAGAGCTGGGGGATGCAGTAGTTAGAATGCAGTACTGCAGCTTCTGCCCACAACCTGGAGTTCGATTCTGACTGGCTCAAGGTTGACTCAGCCCTCCGTTCTTCCGAGGTCGGTAAAATGACCCAGATTGTTGGGGGCAAATAATGCGGACTCTGTAAACGGCTTAAAGAGAGCTGTAAAGCACTGTGAAGTGGTATATAAGTCTAAGGGCTTTTGCCATTGTAAGTCAAGGACTACCTGTATCAGTTTTAAATCGAGCAATGTATTGCTTGATTAACCTGCTTTGTATATAATTTAATAGGTGCTCCACAACACAAAGTTTATGAGTGGATCATGCCAGTGGTTACCAAATTGTTTTGGCTAACAGCCCTTCTAAAGATTTTGAGAAAATACCATTGACATATCCTAAACACTGCTTAGTACTTAGAACAGGCCAATTCTTATCAGCTGTCCTTGATCTGGTCTTCAGAGCAGAGGGGCCAGACCCAATTCCAGCCTTGGGGATGATGGGAATTGCTACCTTAATATATTTCGGGAAGTCTACAGACCGTCCTTGACCTACAAGCAAAATTCTGACCAGTTCCCATTGTTGACCAAGGTGGTTCTTGAGGGAGTCATACCTGATTTTATGACACTTTTGCCAGTTATTGAACAAATCCCTCCTGTTTTTAAATGAATCAAGCACTCATTAAGCAAATCCAGTTTCCCCTCATTGACTTTGCTTGTCAGAAGCCAGCTAAGGAGGTCACAAATGGTGATTACGGGACCCTGGAAAGCTGCAACCATCAAAAATATAGGCCAGTTGCCAAGAGCCCCAATTCTGATCAAGTGACCGTGGGGATACTGTGATGTTTGCTAGTCCAAGGAGTGGCTCTAAATGGCTTTTTTCAGTGCTGTTGTAACTTCGAACAGTTACACAAGTGGTTGTAAGTCAAGGACTAACTGTTTTGGGGGAGAAGGTACCCTAGATAAGAGGAAAATCGAAGCAAAATGCCTACTAATGTCACCCGATGAGCCTGTGCCGTTATAAAGATGGTATGGAAGAGAGCATCATTCTTTTACTATTCTGACTCTGAGTTAAAAACACCTTTAAATCAAGTCAGACAGATAACTCAGTAGAAATGGTTTCATAACAAAAGAAATATATTTCAATCAGAAAGATTACAAAGATTACTTGCATTCGTGCTGTGTTGTTACTTCTGGAAACTACATCTTTTGTCCATTCCTACAGGTAAAAGAATGATGCTCTCTTCCATACCATCTTTATAACGGCGCAGGCTCATTGGATGACATCTGATGGCCCATGCTTCTTTCAGACAAAGACATTCCAATCTTGTGTCCAGGAAGTCTCCCAATGCCCTTTAGAAACTTCTCCCACTGACATACTAATACATGCTCTCTAGTTAGGGTTACATAGAACTATACGAGGTTACATAGAGCTATATGATTCAGAATACCTACTGTGTTCCTAATACCGCTGAGAGGCAAAAATCACTTTTTTTATAATCCAGACAGGGGCCGCTTGTTAGGGAATAAGGAATAGACTCGTTAATCTTTCTCCATTCCCGAGGGACCTTCCAAAATCCTGGCTTTAAAGCTGGAGCAAAGGCTGAGGAGGAAAAAACATGGGAAATCTCTCATTTGGGATCTATCAATTAAGTCTGCCACTTCAGTATAAAGCCCACTACCATTAAATGTCTTGAGAGAAGGAGACAGTATTAATGTTCTAGTCCTCACTAGAATTTTTCAGGGCCATTTTCAACAGAAAGACAATAATCCTCTCTCTGTATTAATTAGCTTATCTCACTTTTTGTGGTTGCTCCCTCCTTCCCCAAAACAGCAACTCCTCTAAGAAGTCATATGGGTAGGGAGAGAGTAGCTAGCCTAAGACAAGCTACCATGACTAGTGTACGTGAACCCAGGTCTCTCTAGCCAGGGGTAGGCAACCTTGGCTCTTTTATGACTCATGGACTTCAACTCCCAGAATTCCTGAGCCAGCATAGCTCAGGAATTCTGGGAATTGAAGTCCATGAGTCATAAAAGAGCCAAGGTTGCCTACTCCTGCTCTAGCCCAACACTTCAACTACTTCACCTCTCTCTTTCCATGCTGCCAGCAACTGGTTTTCACAGATCAGGGCCCTGGCAGAACAGATATATTTGCATGCAAGAAAATCCCAGACTTATTTCCCTGGCTTTCAAATTAGATTCCAGAGCTAGGAAGAGCAATTATCTCACTCAGAATAAAATAATCTCCTGTATTCCTTTGGCAGAAGCGGATAATTGCCTTTCCCGGGGTAGATATGTAGTCCCCAAGCTCTCCTTTGTATCTCTCAGAGTCTCTTCTAACAACACTTGCTGAAAATCATTGCAAGTTCCTGGCTGTTTTGTGCCGAACACTCCCCAAAGGTATAATGGAAGCCATCAAACAAATGCATCATTGTTTAAAATAATGAAGAAATCCCAAGCACAAAGCAAGTAACATGGGTGACGAGCTGGGGAGGGCTATCCTGACTCCACGCTAGTTCGTATGTATGTATGTACCTATGAATTTATTTATTTATCTCCTGCCTTTTATTATTTTTATGAATACCCCAATGCGGTGAACGTACATAATACTCCTTCTTCCTTCTATTTTTCCCAAAATAACAACCTGATGAGGTGAATTCAGCTGAGAGAGAGGTCCTGGTCCAAGGTCACCCAGCTGGCTTTCATGGCTAAGGAGAAACTAGAACTCACCGTCTCCTGGCCCAAAGTCATCGGGCTGGTTTTCATGGCTGAGGCAGGACAACTCACTGTCTCCTGGTGATTGGCCCAAAGTCACCCGGCTGGTTTTCATGGCTGAGCAGGACTAGAACTCAACATCTCCTGCTTTCTAGCCTGGCGTCTTAACCACTAAACCAGGGGCAGGCAACCTTGGCTCTTTTATGACTCGTGGACGTCAACTCCCAGAACTCCTGAGTCCACCAGTCATAAAAGAGCCAAGGTTGCCTACCCCTGCACTAGACCAAACTGGTTCTCTGGTTTACATCACTAGCAAACTCCCACACCTGTTAAGGAACAACTCTTGACAATGAAACGTTTTCTTTCCCAGACTTATGAAATGATTCACGTCCATCTTCTGTACCTAGGGAGACATGGGCACCTACCTTTCCCAACCAGGGTTACCTAATTCTGCTGAAATAACATTGGCTTCTTCTACCTTTGTGGGAAACGGGATCCTGTTTTTCAACATCTTGGGTTGCCTCCTCTATGAAAGTCAACAGCTTCTGCTTCAAAAGCTGGATTCTCTGCCACTCCAGGGTTAATTCCGGCCGCCACAGCCATCTGTCCAGGACCATCTTCAAATGTGCTGGAGGTTTGCAGAGGGAGGAAAAAGAGATGGGATTCACACCGTAGTATCTCGGAAGTAAAAAGAGAGGGAAGAAACCCAACCGCTGGAATGACACGAATGGGATGTGACGCATCGCAAAGCTTTTCAATTCATTTTGGTGCTTTTTGAGGGAGACGGAAATGTAACACCAAGGCCAGATTGACTGATTGATTGATTAAGTGCCATCAGATCATCTTCAATTCCTAGTGACCACAAAGATTTCCTCAAGAAAGGGATGGCACCAGAATATTTGACAGACTAGACCTTCTTGGAGTCTGGAAAGAGCTGAGCTATGAAACAAACACTATAACGATATTAATGCAGCCTTTTCTCCATCTGAAAGGGATTTGCATTTCTATCCCTTCACGACAACTGCAGTTCTTGAATCTCTCCCATCATAAATTTCCCAGTCATTTCTAGATTTCTTTATTTAGCACGTACAGAGGTCATGCAATCATTGATATACCAACACTAATAAAACACATGTTAAATACAAACACAACTATAAGTGTTAGCAGCTCAGACTGTCATCTTTATTTAGGTGACATCAGATCAGATTCCTGACTTGTCATTCTGTCCTGCCCATTTCTAGGAATAACATCCGATTTCCAAGCTTTCCTTGATCACATCCATGTTCCTCTTCTACTGCCTTCCTTTCTTCTTTGTCCCATCAACACAATCGGCCTTTGTATCTTTCATCCACCTGTATGACATCCTCAAAACGAGTTTCAGCCTGTCCCCCAACTAACCTTCCAACTTTCAATAACCATCTTCAAACCATTGGTTTAAAAGCATCTGTCTCCTTTTCTTTCCTCTTCCTCATTCTCCAGCTTTCGAACACAAGAACACTTTAGTTCTTGTGATTTTTGTTATCCTCCAAATGCATTCATCACTCGTAATTTTACCCCACTTGTCACTGTCTTCCTCATTTCGGTTTATCTCCCCCTTACTTCTCCCTCATAATTTCCCATTATATGTGTTCCTCAGCCCAAGGACACAAAACACCCAGTTTCCTTTAACTGAAGAACAGAACTGGAAGGGACCTTGGAGGTCTTCTAGTCCAGCCCCCTGCTCGAGCAGGAAGCCCTATACAAGTTCAGACAAATCTTAACCTCCAGTGTTAAGAGCACCCATAACTTCTGGAATCAAGTTGTTCCCTTCTTTGCAGTCAACTTTAAGTTTAATAACAACCATAGCAGGGGCTGAAACTGGTACCTTCCAAGACAGTGTATCCCAGCACCGCGTCTATGTTGATTTTGTCGTGTTTTTCACCCAGGAACGTAACTGCCTTCTCCAAGGCAGAAATGATAGCATTTCTCCTATCTTCCTCACAAGAGGAGCACTGCAGGTTTGCGAGACAGAACAGCAGCAAACATACAATACCCAGCATTTTTTTGCATTGGGGCAAGAAAAAGCAACAGAGGCTTTTTATAGTTTCTGGGAAAAACCTCTAGAGCTCTCTTTGTCCTCCTTAAACCTCTTTATATGTAGGATTTGTGTACACAAGCATCCACGTCAGAGCCCAAGAAGCTCTGATTGACACCAATGAGTCACCAACTTTCAGCTCTACATTCTTTACAAGAAACCATTAAAGTTCTTCCAGGTGCCAAATGATATTTTGTTGATGGATGGAAGTAGTTCAAAAGTTATTTGGAGTTGAGTGACGTACAAGTCCTAGACAAGGAAACAAACTGATGGGTTTTTGGTTTTTTTTTTTTTGGTATAAAGATTATTGAATGTCTTAAAAAAGAAGATAAATACCGGAAAAAACTAATACAAATTAAGAAAAGAAAGGAAAAAAAGGAGAAACAAAAGGGCAAAGGTACACAAAGAAAAGATAAACAGAAAGGTGCCACCAGGTGGCCAGGCAGGCGTCTTGCTTGGCTGTGGCTTGGGGGGGGGGGCACTTTTTTCAGTGCCATTGTAGCTTCGAACAGTCACTAAGCGAACTGTTGTAAGTCGAGGACTACCTGTACTTTAAAACTTTTTTCCTTTTTTTGGTCATCAAGTTTTTGACACCTTGCTAGGCGACTGGTGGTCCTAGGATGTTGCCATATCCTAAAAGTGGTACAATGGGTGAAAACGTGGAAAAGCCCTGATCTAGTCCAACCCCCCACCCAAGCAAGAAACCCTACACCAGTGGTTCTCAGCCTGTGGGTTGGGACCCCATTTGGGGTCGAACGACCATTTCACGGGGGTCGCCAAACAACGCAGTCCGCCATTTTTCCCCCCTTTTCCTTAGCTGCGATACTCCCTTTTATTCTATTGACTTTTGAAAGCCAATAGAATAGACTCTCTTGAATAGAGTCTAATTCTATTGGCTTTCAAAAGCCAATAGGAATTGTCCAGGCTGTCTCTGCCCTGCTGAGCCCGCCAAAAGTCCCAGTCTGCAAACGGTGCTGCACCAGTTGAGTAGTCCTTGACTTGCGACCGGTTGAGTAGTCCTCGATTTACGACTGGTTGGGGGTCGCGGCATTGAAAAGGTTGAGAACCACTGCCCTACACCATTTCTGACAAATGGCAGTCCAGCCTCTTCTTGACAGCTTCTAGTGATGGAGCATCCACAACTTCTGAAGGCAAACTGTTCCATTGGTTGATTGTTCTCACTGTCAGGAAATTTCTCCTTATTTCTAGGTTGAATCTCTCCTTGATCAGGTTCCCTCCGTTCTTCCTTGCCTGGCCTTCAGGTGCAGTTACACCTGAACTTACACCTTCCTCTTGGATTCTCCCTCTCCACGAGAAGGCATATTTGGTTGGAAGTCTTTCCTCCCCCCTCCCACTTTTGCATCCCTCCCTTCCCCGCTTTGCCATTGATAAAAACGACGAGGAGACACAATCTTCCATTCCACCCACGGAATCGTCTGCCGTTTGTCCTCCCGGCCGGCAGGGCGGCGGCGGCGGCGTCCCGACGTGCCTCGCGGCGCACCCGGGAAGCCACTCTGCGCGGCCTCTCGCCGCCTCTCCCAAGATGGAGGCCGGCGATTGGCTGCTCTCGGGGTCGGCGCTGCTGCTGCTGTTCCTGGCGGGGGCCTGGTGGTCGTTCCGGCCCCCGAAGCGGCCTGCCGGCGTCGCGGCACGCGTGGCCGTGCTGGTGGTGGGCGACCTGGGCCGCAGCCCCCGCATGCAGTACCACGCCTTGTCGCTGGCCCGTCGCGGCCGCCGCGTCGCTTTCATCGGCTACGCGGGTGAATCTTCCTCCCGACCCCGAGAGGCGGCGGGCCGAGGCCCGAAAAGCCGCCTTTCTTCCCCGCAGGGCCTTCGCCCCGAAGCTGGAGCCGGGCTGCCTTGCCCTACTACAGCTCCCAGCAGCCCCGGCCAAGGCGGCCGTGCGCGAGGGATGCTGGGAGTTGTGGTTCCGCAGCCGCGCAAGGGTTCCTCCCCAACCTGGCGCCCTCCAGTAGGGGAGTGGGAGCCTGCGAGTCCATCGTCTTCTGACATGCTGGGGAGGATGGGGGTTGTAGTGCTCCCCCTGGAGGCGTCTGTCTTCTTGCTGGGGTGGGTGGGAAGGTCGTAGGAGGAACCCTTCTGAATATTTGGGGTACAACTTATGTGGTGGTGGTATTGGTATTGATATTGGTATTGGTACTAGTACTAGTAGTAGTAGTAGTAGTAGTAGTAGTAGTAGTAGAAGAAGAAGAAGAAGAAGAAGAAGAAGAATTGGAAGGGACCCTGCAGGTCTTCTAGTCCAACCCCCTGCTCAGGCAAGAAACCCTATACCATTTCAGACAAATGGTTCTCCAGTCTCTTCTTAAAATTTTATTTTAGGGTTTCCATTTCTCAGCGGTTTTGCATACTTTTTATTCAGATTTCCGGCTCTCTTTCCTTTCTTGCCCATCCATCGGGTTCGGATCTAATCTCTGAAAAGTTTTTTGCCCATCGCCAACAAAATTGATGGATGCAATTGATTTGCACTTTGGGTATTTAAAATTGCAGAAGCAACAACTAGCCCTTGATTGAGAAAATCAAGGCTTTTTTTTGGGTGGAGAGGGAGTATGAGACAGCCAAAATAAGCAGAATTAATTAACCGGTGTGCAAACTTACTGACCGGCAAAAATATAAAATAAAATTGGCAGGCAACAAAGGAAGAGAGAGCCAGTTTTCTTAAGATTATTCTAGATATTACTTATTACAGTGATGTCCTCCCACAATGTTCTTTGGGTCCTCCTGCTTCCTTTATAATTTGTTTTCTTTTGAACCTGATCTACTGCTGCCATCATCGCAAAACCAGGCCAAAGGGATGGGGCAGCCAAGCTATTTCTGAAAAGCTTGTGTGTAAACTCTAGCTATGCTTAATCAGAATGCAATTAGTCATGGAAGTAATTTGAGGTTTGTTTGTTTTTTAATAAACCTGCCCTGTTTAGATTAGGAAGAGAAGCATAATTGTTCCTGTCTTTCATCTGGTTGAATGGTTTCACAATAATAAGTTACAGCAGTAGTCTTCAGCGCTCATTTCTTTCTTTGAAGTGGGTCAGATACCTGCCACAAGGCAGATCACATTGAGAAGATCATTTAGGGCAGAGATCTCTTTATTCATTATTTCAGAAAGCTTTCTAACCTTCTACAGAACATAGAATTATAGGAGTGGAAGGGACCACAGAGGTCTTATAGTCCAACTTCCTGCTCAAGGCAGGAGAACTTATATCATCCCAGTCAAATGATTGTCTGGTCTATTTTTGAAAACCTACAGCGAAATCCAGTGAATCTGTGGAAGCTTTAATTTGGATTCCTGATCTGAGAAATTTAGACTCACTATCTAGAGCATGTGGCCATGGACAGCTACTAGTGCAGCCCCACAAAATTGTAAACTTTTAATATTATTATGTGGTTTATATGCATTAGCTATATTATATATTTTATATGTGGCCCAAGATGATTCCTCTTCACTCAGTATCACCCAGGGAAGCCAAAAGATTGGACAACCATGGTCTAGAGCAGGAGTCTTCATACCTGGCGATTTTAAGACTTGTGGACTTCAACTCCCAGAATTCCGACTGGATGGATGACGAATTCTGGAAGTTGAAATCCACGAGTCTTAAAAGTTGCCAAGTTTAGAGACCTCTGTCTAGAGACTCAATAAATTGTCCCATTTCCAGCTCTTAGGTATTACACTTATTACTAAAGGAGTCTGGAGAAGTTTTTATACATGTTTTTTCTCTAATTGACTTCAGAGCTTCTGTATGTTCTTGGAAATTCTGGACAAAATCTAGCGCTATTTCCTTTTCTTTCAGGCACAAAACCGCACAATGAGATCATCAGCAATGAAAACATTGAGATTGTTCCCCTTATGGAGCTCAAAATCTGGCAAGGTAGGATGAACGTCGCGTCGTTTCATTTATGTACTTAACCCGTGCAAAAACTGATGTCGAGTCAGACCAAGTTTATTTGTACAGAAATGTTGCAGAGATCTGAATAATCCTTTTATTCACCAGTCTTTTCTCTCCCTCCTCTGACTCTTTCTTTGCTATTTTTGGCAAGACCAGCAAGAAAGAAATGGCATAAAAACAAGGAAGTGTTGGTCAAAACATATTAGTGCTAGTCATCAACGAGTACAGTCAGTGCCATCTTTGGACTGTAACCGGGATGAAATAAGTCTAAACCATCTGCCATCTTTTGGATCTTCTGCAGGTGAAGCTCACCTACTTTCTCCATGACCTTCTTCCCTGTCAAGGGGAGGTTGGAGACTGGATGGATATTGTCAAGAAGTATCCAAAGACTTGGGCTGGCTTGTGGTGTTTTCTGGTCAATTCCACCAGGCACAGCCCTTTTCAGTCTGAGGACATTCCGCATGATGGAATGTTTTGCAGTGTTCAATTTTAAATAGAACATTGAAGGTTCTGCATTTGAGCCTCTCGTCACGCTTTTCAGCTACAGGTGGTCCTTGACTTACAACCACAGTTGAGCCCGACGTTTTTGTTGCTAAGCAAGACGTGAATTTTGCCCCCTTTTACAACCTGGCCACACTTGTTAAGCGAATCACTGCAGCTGTTAAATGTCTATGGAGATTCTCAGTCAGCCAGGCCAGGGTTGTCCCAAAGGTGCCTTTTTAAAAGAGGGAACTGGAGTTCCTGGTTTTCCTTTGAAGACGTTTTCCCTTCTCATCCAAGAAGCTTTTTCAGCTCTGGCTCTTCAAAGAACAACAAGAAAGTCCAGCTGCCTCTTGAAAAAGCACCCTTGGGACTGCAGTTGTTAAGTGAATCTCATGCCTCCATTGATTTAGCTCATCAGAAGGTCACAAAAGGGGATTGTGTGGCCTCGGGACACCGCAACCGTCATAAATATGTGCCATGTCAGAATCCAATTATATTTCATCTCTAGTTATCAACTATAGAAAACCCCATTTCTGCCTTCTATGGATTCTGTCATACAAGGAAGGAAAGGGGGTGAACAAAGGGGCTTTATGGCCCTCACTTCCTTCGGTACACTTCAAAGGGACTGAATGTGGATATCGCCAAAAGGACTAACCATAACAATGGGGCTATTACCTTTCATGTACTCCTCTCTGAAGTCTCCCTCCCGCCGGCAGTAAGGAAAAGGGGGTGGGAGTGTAATGCCTGAGACTGTCGCTGGAAGAGGGGGGTGATTGGGTGGGGCTACTGGGGAACTCCTTAAAACCTTGAATGGGAGAGCTTGGACCCCAAGTCCTGTCTAGAACGCCTGCAACCATTTTCTCTTAATAAAGGATGCCTGTTGGAAGAACAATTCCAAGAGTTCTGTCTTCTTAAGATGCAAAGTGGGGTGGGTCCTTACATGCCAGTTGCCAAGCGTTCAAATTTTGATCACATGACTACGGGACGCTGCAGCAGTTGTGTGAAAACGGGTCATAAGTGGGTTTTTTTTCAGGGCTGTTATAACTTCAAACAGCAAACGCAACGAAGGGCTGTAAGTGAGGATTATCTGCATCCAAACGTTACTGAGCATCAAGCCTTGACCAGAGTTTCTTTTCCTTTGCAGTTGGGCCCAGGTTTTTCCAGTATATCATAAAAGTGATTGTGCAGAGTTTCCAGCTGTTGTACACTCTGCTAAGGATTGCTCCACCAGACTATGTGCTTCTCCAGGTATGCTCGCTTCCAGGTTTTTAACACAACCTTGCCTCCTACCTCTATTTAAATCAGAGCATCGGTCCAGCTTTTTAAAAAGAGTCATAAAGATTGCTGAGAAGTGCTTGTTTAACTTAGTTTTTATTTGACTGCCATCCTGCCCCAGTTGATCCCATTAAGGTTAAATCAAAAAGAACTTTTTCTGAGAGATAGTGGATGCAGAGAAGTCAGGTGGAATCTGAAGGTCCCGCTCAAAGCGCAAAGCAATTCTTTCATTTTCCCCCCAAACCCAACCGTCCCTGACCAGTCCACCAGCAGCCAAAATGATGCCCTAAGTTTGTTTTGAGAATGTTGAGGTGCTGGGTAGATAACAGGTCATTCTCAGGGCACGAGAACCTTGGAACCAGCCTGGAATCGGTTGGGAAGGACTCTGTTTCTTCTCCAAAGGCATTCCCCCTTCCTAATTCCCAAGCGGTTACAGCAGAAGCGAAAGCATGCAAAGAATGGCAGAAACCTTCCCCCCCCCCCCAGCAGAATGGCAGGACATCAGCATGGTGGACCTGACACATCCTGTGAATACTGTATCGGAAGGTGCAGATGTAGGTGTTATTTTATAAAGAATATAAAATAAGTATGCGCCTTATATGGGCTAACAGAACATGTTATAATTACAGCATTGGAACGGAGAGAGAGTTGGATATCTCAAGAATAATTCACACAATCTATGGATGCAATATTTAAATATTGTTCTCCTTGCTGCTCTTAGGAGTCTGTAATATAAAGTTTGCAAGAAGAAAGAGAAAGCCCAAATATCTCATGTAGAAGGATGAGGGATTGGGAATTTTGGGGTTTCCAAGTTAAAATGAACTCTACTGCAATTTTAGCCATGGGGCTCAGGACTGCTGGGAATTATGGTTCAGGAATATTAGACTGGTTGTAGGTGACTCACCTGGGTTAAGTGGGGAAAGGAGGGCCCCTTCGCTGGCGTTGAGTTGGTATTCTGGAAAGAAATGACTATCGTAAGCCGGTTTGGTCTGCTGGTTAAGGTGTCATGCTAGAAACCAGGAGTCAGTGAATTCTAGTCCTTCCTAAGGTATGAAAGCCAGCTGGGTGACTTTGAGCCAGTCTCACAGGGTTGTTGCTGGGGGGGGGTGTGTGGAATAGGTGGAGGAAGGAATATTAGATATGTTCTCTGCCTTGAGTTGTTTATAAAAAATAATAAAGGCGGGATATAAATGAAATCAATAAGGAGAGAGCGTGTGAGTAGAGAAACTAGAAAGGAATTGATCTCATTTACTAGGATTTATCTGTGGAGATTCTCAGTCGTCCAGGTCACGGTTGTCCCAAAGGTGCTTTTTTTTCGGGAGGCAACTGGACTTTCTTGTTTTTCTTTGAAGATGTTTCGTTTCTCATCCAAGAAGCTTCTCCAGCTCTGACTACTCCCCACCATCTAGTCCAGTGGTTCTCAACCTGTGGGTCGGGACCCCATTTGGGGTCGAACGACCATTTCACGGGGGTCGCCAAACAATGCAGTCTGCCATTTTTTCCCCCTTTTCCTTAGCTGTGCTACTCCCTTTTATTCTATTGGCTTTTGAAAGCCAATAGAATAGACTCTCTTGAATAGAGTCTAATTCTATTGGCTTTCAAAAGCCAATAGGAATTGTCCAGGCTGTCTCTGCCCTGCTGAGCCCGCCAAAAGTCCCATTCTGCAAACGGTGCTGCGCCAGTTGAGTAGTCCTCGATTTACAACCGGTTGAGTAGTCCTCGACTTACGACTGGTTGGGGGGTCGCGGCATTAAAAAGGTTGAGAACCACCTAGTCAGAGCTGAAGAAGCTTCTTGGATGAGAAGCGAAACGCCTTCAAAAGAAAAAAGCACCTGAAAAAAATTCCTGAAAAAAAAAAAGCACCTTTGGGATTTATTGGGATTGTTCTAAAATGTTTTCTCTTCTCCCCATAACCAGAATCCGCCCGGTTTGCCCAGCATTGCAGTCAGCTGGATATTTTGCCTACTGCGAAACAGCAAGCTAATCATCGATTGGCACAATTATGGGTACACTCTAATGGGACTGACTCACGGGAAGAGGCACCCGATCGTCCGGATTGCGAAATGGTGCGTTCAAGACTTTTGACATTTACGGGGTGCAGGTGGCCATTGCAAAGTGGTCCAGTGAAAACTGATTTCTTTTCAGAATGTCGCAAAATAATCAGGTAGGTCTCTTACCTGTTCCTGCCAGATCCCACTGGGAGTTTAAACACTCATTAAGGAGGTGATGGTGGACTCTTTTAGCAAAAGGTGCAAAAGCCACATTTTTATGGCTTGTTTCTTAATTGAGCCCAAACTTTCTGTTGCTAAGCGAGACAGTTGTTAAATGAATTTTGCCCCCATTTTACGACCTTTCTCACCGCAGTTGCTAAGTGAACCACCGTAATTGTTAAGTTAGGACCGCAGTAGTTAAGTGAATCTGGTTTCCCCATCGACTTTGCTGGTCAGGAGATCACAGAAAAGGGGGAATCACGTGACCCCGGGACACTACGACTGTCATAAATAGGAGTCAGTTGCTGAGCATATGGATTTTGATCACGTGCAAATATGGGGATGCCTGCATCGGTCGTAAGTGTGAAAAAGGGTTATAAGTGCCGCTGTAACATCAAATGGTCCTTAAACAAACTGTTGTAAGTTGAGGACTATCTGTATTTGTACTTCCAGGTTGGAAGAATTTCAGAAAGTGTCTTGCTGCATGCTTAACACCTAAGTACACTTCTGAAAGTTGCTCTCACATTCATAACTGCCTGTATTTTGGTATCCGGAAAGCAGCGGTTTCTGCTGTGAGGACTTGCGTGCTTTGAGAATAATTTACTGATTGAAGATTTTTAAATATTTTTAAATTTTTAAAATGTGTATGCTGCCCACCTTGTAGTTTGAAGCGATTGAGCAATGTATAAGAAATAGATTGCATGGGCATTGCCTCACTTTGCTATTGATTAAAACTGCCCTCTTTTTTTTTTTTTCAGGTTTCTTCAGCAGCCTGAAAAAAAACATACTGTGGCATCAAGAAGTCAACTCAGTTAAAGTTAGTAGAATTCTCAGTGCAGCACAACATTCCCCTCCCCCCAGTTTTCAGGGAAGCTTGACTATATATGTTGGGTGAAGCACCCGGTCTACCAAATACAAAGCAATCTGTTCTGCGTTTTGCTCTAGTCTAGGAGCACTTTTAGCAGGCAGACGTCACTACTGTGATAACTGTAAATTCAAAATTTTGTGGCTGACAAAGAGTTAAAGTGAGACTAGTATAGCTATTTCAGGCTCTTTAGCTTTATGACTAGCTGATGAGAGCTAAAGAGCTTGAAATAGCTATACTAGTCTCCCTTTTTGTCAGCCACAAAATTTTGAATATATGTATGTATGTCTAAAATAGTTTAGACTGTGTGTGTATGTATGTATGTATATATGTATATCTAGGTATGTATGTATGTAATGTATGTATATATGTGTGTGTGTGTGTGTGTGTGTGTGTGTCTTTATTTTTACAAGAGAAAAAGGACAGGAAAAAAAATTGAAACAATAGAATAAAGGAAAGAAAACAGCGACAACAAAATTAGATCTAGAGATCATTAAGTATTTTAGATTAGAAATTAGATATTTTCAATAAAAGATTACTGCATTTCATTATCCGTACAGGTAGTCTCTTCCGATCATTCAATTAGCCATTATTTGAAGTCCCAACAGCACTGAAAAAAGTGATTTATGACTAGTCCTCATACTTATGACCATGGCAGCATCCCCACGGTCACATGATCAGTACTCAAGTGCTTGGCAATTGGCATGTATTCTACAACGGTTGCAGCATCCCAGAGTCATGTGGTCACCATCTGTAACCTTGCTGGTCAGTTTCCAGCAAACAAAATCAACTGGGCAAGCCAGATTTGCTTAATGGCTAAGTGATTCATTTAACTGCAGTGATTTGCTTAACAACTGTGGCAACAATGTTGTAAAATTGGGCACGACTCCTTTAATGACTGCCTTGCTTAGCGATAGAAATTCTGGTCCCAACAGTTGTCGTAAGTCAAGGACTACATAATTTTCATCTATAAACATTTCTTTTTTAAAAAACAAGAAACTGGGGGAAATCTATATTTCTATACAAACATCTAAATGAAATTAGTTTCACTAGCAAGTTACATTTTCATTTTTTTTTAGGTATGAAGAATTATTTGGCTCCTTGTCCAACTATAATATTTGTGTGACCAATGCAATGAAAGAAGATCTTCAAATGAACTGTAACATCAGGTACTTCAGTAGTTTAAAATTACTTCAGTTATGACATTGCTGTCAACCTATCTTATTCTTTTTATTACAGAAGGTAGTTTGTATTTTTTTAAAAAAAAATACTTTTCAGTATCTCATCTAAACCATTTTTTAAAATGCTGCTCAAAATCTAAACTATTTTCACCACTGTCTTCTTGTAATAAATGGCTGGATCTATAAACATTTAAGCAGACACATCAACTCCAAGGAAGATTCCCTGTTTTTTAACCTTAAGCTTTTCCCATTACACCTCAAAGGAGTGATTTTTGCTCTGTAGAATTATTAGTATTTTGTTCAGCAGGGTAAACAGATGTAAATTAATGACGTATGAATTCTTCCAAATAGATAAGATATATTTCTGAATGTATATCTTTATGACATGTGTATTTCTTTGGTCCTAGTATCTTAGTCCAATATTCTGAGCATTGTTTTTATTTTTTAAAAAGAGTACGAAGATCAGTGTAAGTGGTCATTGAGAACAGTGTCATGCAATGCACAAATATTTCATTCTGGATATTTGTGAAGGGACTCCATCTCTCCAGCCTCTATGATCCCTGAATCAATGTTTATGGCTGGTCCTCTACAAACTGCATGGAGTCACTGTATGCAGTCTACAACTTTAATAAACAGATAAAGTAAACATTCAAATATATCAGCTTGCAAATATGATGCATTCTTTAGCTGTTTCACAATATATATGTTCTCACCCCAGGAAATCTCCTAGCTAACTTGTCTCATTTTTACATACGTCTTTTACATTTCCAATGAGCTGAAATTATTCTTCTCTTCGAGTTTTATTGATATTATTTGACCATTAAAACCTTGCGTCATTGCGTTCTAGAGCAATAACCCTGTACGACAAGCCAGCATCTTTCTTTAAGGAAACACCTCTGAGCGAACAGCACAAATTGTTCATCAGGCTCTCCGAAGACTATGCTCCTTTTAAAACGTGAGTTGAAACGTGTTTTGTTTGTACTCTCTTAAATGAAAAAACAGGCCTAATTTGAAACACGTCTTTGCTTCTAAGTATTGTGCCTTCTTAAATATTGTGGCATGTTTACAGGTAGTCCTCCACTTATGACCACAGTTGAGACTGGCGGCCCTAAAATGAATGATCATGTGACTGCACCCATTTTTTTGATTATTATTATTATTTTTGCTGTTAAGCAAAATTACGTGGTTATTAAGTGAATTTGACTTCCCCCAGTCACTTTGCTTGTTGGAAGTCAGCTGGGAAGATCACGTGAGAACGCCAGAACACTGCTACCATCGTAAATGCATGCCAGTTGCCAAGTGCCCAAATCATGATAATTTGATAGTGGGGATGCTGCAACAGTTGTAACTGCGAGGACCGGTGGGCGGTAAGTCACTTTTTTCAGCTCCGTCGTAACTTCGAATGGTTTCCAAGGGAATGGTCATAAGCTGAGGACTCTCTGTATCTGCAGTGCCTCATTTAAAGCTATTGGAGCTTGGATATTAGAGCCCTGGTGGCGCAGTGGTTAGAATGCAGGCTTGCAGGCAAACTCTGCCCGCTGCCAGGATTTTGATCCTGGTCAGCTCAAGGTTGACTCAACCTTCCATCCTGAGGTTTATTTATTTATTTATTTATGAGACTTATATACTGCTTTAAGTGCAAGCACTCTCTAAGCGGTATACACCAGTAAGCAATGTATATATTTATTTACATTGCCCCCAACAATCTGGGTCCTCATTTTACCTACCTCGGAAGGATGGAAGGTTGAGTCAACCTTGAGCCGGTGAGATTTGAACCGCTGGCCTGCTGAACACAGTCAGCTAAAGTGGCCTGCAGTACTGCACCCTAACTGCTGTGCCACCTCGGTTGGTAAAACAAGGACTCAGATTGTTGGGGGCCATATGCTGACTCTGTAAACTGCTCAGAGAGGGCTATAAAAGCATATATTAGACTAAGTGCTATTGCTCTTCCCTCCCTCCCCTCCTCCCCCGTTCCTTCCTTCCTTCCTTCCTTCCTTCCTTCCTTCCTTCCTTCCTTCCTTCCTTCCTTCCTTCCTTCCTTCCTTCCCAGTGGTTAGAATGCAGCATTACAGGCTGACTCTGCCCACAGTCAGAAGTTCGATTCTGACTGGCTCAAGGATGACTCAGCCTTCCATCCTTCTGGGATTGTTCGGGACAATAGGCTGACTCTGTAAACTGCTTAGAGAGGAGTTTAAAGCACTGTGAAGCGGTATATAAGTCTAAGTGCTATTGCTACCCGTAGGTAACAAAATGATGCAAACGGTTTGGTCCTTTGTAACACTGGAATGCACATGGGGAGTGATTGCCAATTGATGGATGGCTCCTCCTTTCCATATGAACATTCATCTCTGCCTGATATCCACTCCATTAACAAATTAATAAACTTGAAACCCCGACTCTCAGATGGTGTCATAAGTGTGTTAATCTACAGTAGCCAAAAATCAGGATTATTATCTGAATCTCCCAAATGGTTCATTCAGTAAATGGGCTAAGGTTGCTATGTGGAAGGGCTCTGTTGCCTCATTGATTGTCCTGAGAGTTGTGTGTTTTGTACAGAGGTGCATGTCTATGTGTACATTTGCTAAGAACATCCTCTGGCTAATTTTTGTGTTCTCAGGGTGGAATCCTTCCCTCCAGATCATGTTGAAAGATCTGCCTTTACCCAGTTTGATGCCATCAGTGGAAATGCCACACACCGTCCAGGCCGACCAGCTCTCCTTATGAGCAGCACCAGCTGGACAGGTTTGACTCTATATCTTGTCATTGAAGTAAGCCATGCTTAGTTAAATAAAGCACACTTAGCTGAATGTTCACAACATGCTAGATTTCAACCCAATATAACCCAACCCAATCCAATATAACCCAACCTAACCCAATATAACCCAACCCAACCCAATATAACCCAACACAACCCAATATAACCCAACCCAATATAACCCAACCCAACCCAATATAACCCGACCCAACCCAATATAACCCAATCCAATATAACCCAACCCCTTGATATAACCCAACCCAATATAACCCAATCCAACCCAACCCAATATAACCCAATCCAATATAACCGAACCCAACCCAATATAACCCAATCCAACCCAACCCAACCATATATAACCCAACCCAATATAACCCAATCCAACCCAATATAACCCAACCCAATCAAATATAACCCAACCCAATATAACCCAACCCAACCCAATATAACCCAACGCAACCCAACCGTATATAACCCAACCCAATATAACCCAACCCAATGCAACCCTATATAACCCAACCTAATATAACCCAACCCAAGATAACCCAATCCAACCCAACCCAATATAACTCAATCCAACCCAATATAACCCAACAACCCAATATAACCCAAACCAAGCCAACCTCACTGTGGATTAGGACAGTGTATGGCTCCAGATGTGATCTTTGAAAGAGTTCTGCATGTTCATCTCAGATTTGTGATGATTCTGGACCATTCTGCTCTCTGTGGCAAGAGGAATTAAAAATAAGCTTTATGATTGCCTTCCATCCCCTCTTGGCTTAGCTGGCATGCAAGTAGAATGATCAAATGGGAACTTAATAATCATAGACTTCATATAGCCATTGCTGAGATTGCTTGGCTGTGTTGTCCATGTATATTTCAAGGTTGCAATGTAAATTTAATAATTTGTAGTTTAAAATTTTGTTATTGCTCTGTGATGTGATCTACGGCTGTCTGTGTGACTTGTCATTTGAGTTGTTCTGAATTGACATCCATAAGAAGACAGTTCCTCTCTCATACACATCCGTCATACACACTCAAAAACCATCAGCTTTGCTTGGTGGATTTTAATCCCTCTCTAGAGATGAGAATTGAGCATGATTTGAATTTCCAGGCTGCTGTAGATGTCCTCAAATACCAGATTGTCTCATCAAATTTGAATGTGGTTCTTATTTTCTGTCCTTTTCTCCATGTAGATGTAGGATTAATTAATTATATTTAGAACATTTCCTTTTGATGGGAAGTGAATTTGTTCTTCCTTGGGCCTCATAACTAAAATTGGACACCAACCAGTTGCTCTTAAGATATAATATGTATAGATCAACTTTCTCCAGTTGGTAATCTCCATACGCTTTGGGATTATCATCCCCAACTTTTTCAGCCAGCCTAATGAAATTGAATTTATAACCATGATATTTGTGTAATCATTTCTGGTTCTTTTCTTTTTCTAGAGGATGAAGATTTTTCCATCCTGTTGGAAGCTTTAAAAGGTGAGCTGTCAAGAAAGCTTTTAGCGTTTCTTAAAAGCCAGCCGTCTTCATGTTGAATCAGCTAGTGATTTCTCCTTCGCTGCTCTGCCTGGAAGACATCAGGTTAAGAGTTGGGTGGTGAGATGAACTTTCCTATCAAATCTTTGTCTTCCTCTGGTAATAAAAATCCACTTCCGAAGGCCCAAAGTTGTAATAATGCCTTGCCATTTTATATTCTCACCAGAACTCCTGTTCTTCTCATTTTGCAAACCGTACTACGGCCAAGCTTGATGTATAAATTCAGTTGGATCCTTTTTCTGAGTCTTTCTCATCATGAAGGAAGATCACTTCCACAGATGTTATCCCTCCCAATAAAGCTGTCTTTGGCTACTTTTGACCCCACTTCACCCCATCTTGTTCTCTTAAAACAGCACCCCTCATTTGGCATAAGGTCAACCTGCTGGACTTCAACTCCCAGCACTTCCAGTCAGCCTGTTGGATGGTGTTTATAGGCACCATGGCGGGCAGTCCCACCAAGGAAATACCTCCCCTTCAAATTCCAACAAGACAAAGAGTCCTCAACTTGCAAACATTCATTTAGTGACCATTCAAAGCTACAACGGCACTGAAAAAAGGGACTTCTATCGTTCACACTTAACGGTTGCAGCATCCCTGCGGTCATGTGATCAAAATATGGATGCTTCGTAAAGCGACACATACTTATGACGGTGGCAGTGTCCCGAGGTCATGTGGTCACCAGTTGTAAACTTCCCAGCGGTTTCTGACAAAGCAGTCAGTGGGGGAAGCTAGATCTGTTTAATGACAGATTACAGATAATGACATGATTAATTTAATGACTGCATACTTAAGAACTGTGGCAAGAAAAGTAATAAAATGGGGCAAAACTCACTTAATGATGGCCTTGTTTAGCAATGAAAATTTTAGGCTCAGTTGTCGTGAGCCGAGGACTTTAGTTAGTTAGTTAGTTAGTTAGTTGCTTGCTTGCTTGCTTACTTATTTACTTACTTACTTATTTACTTGCAATGTCTGGTCAGTGTATTGTTCGTTACCCCTCGAACGATTTTATGGGTCAAGAGTTTTTGAAAAGCGTAGAAAGAAAACACTCCGAAAATAGATGTTCAGGTTTTATGTTTGTCTTGTTTATTGGAAGTCTTTCCAATTTTGCCTCTTTTCTTTTTCCCTTTTTCGTCTCCCTACGCAAGAAATCAGACAGAATCGGCTGTACCAAACTGCGCATGTGTTCCCTTTAAAATTTCATTGGAGTCCAGCTCACTTTTCAAAATTCTGGGCTTAGTTTAAAAGGGAAGTTGCCTTTTGTAGCCTACGTAAATAATTCCATACTTTACTCTTTTTTTTTCCCCCTACAGAGTATGAGCATTGTGTCAGCAACGGAGCAAAACTTCCTTCTCTTGTGTGTGTGATCACAGGTAGCATCTTGAGTTGTTTTTTTTTTTTTTAAAAAAAAACAGCCTTTGTTTCTTCCAACATTTTGAGCTGTTGCATAAAATACTTTAATTTAGCAGTGGGAGCATCTAACATTCAGCTGCTTGAATGACATCAGTTCTTGCTCTGAGTATTTATAATACCAGGTCATAAAAATGATCTTTTGTCCCACAACCCTTTTGAAGAAGACTTTTTCCTTGGTGCTCTCTGAGCGTGGTTGTTTCCATGCAGGCATTTCATTACCAAACTAGGTAACATCATCAGTGCTAGAATAGCGTTGAGCACATCCACGAACAGCAAGTAACAGTCGGAAGACGTGATGAAAATTGTTACTTTCACAACACCTGGACAGACTCCACCATAGTTTCAGTTGGGGAACAGTGAACATCCTAAACCAAGCCAATTGGAAAAATGCTATAGAATTCCTGGAAGCCTGGCACTCAGTCCAAACAATCTTCCACAGGCACAAAAAGATAAACAATATCTACATACCATTCAAAAGAGACAATCAGACATCCAAAAAGGAATGAGAAGATCAAGACATCTCCTCACTAGCAATCAACACCTGGCTGAGCAGAGATTAACACCACGATTAACATTAGACCCCAATCAAGAAGCAAATAACAACACCCCAATCAAGGAACTGCCAAGCTAGACAGACAAGTTAACAGTAAACAATAGCCCAAACCGAGACCACTCCCACCCAACACTGACATGGCAAGCTACTAGCATATAGAATGTGAACAAACCCCACCCTTTACTAGCACTGATGATGTTACCTACCTTAGTAATGCAACGTCTGCAAGTTTCAAGTAAGTTTATTACAGTCAAAGACCAGAGACAAGTTAAAAACACACCTAAGGAATATTCGGTAAACAATTCTAAAATAAAATAATAACAGTTAAAATCTATATTAAAATCACAATTTGGCATCCAATCTGTGAGTTACCCATGAGCAAAACACAGCATGGTCTAGCTGTACTATAAATACCGATCCTTAAACCATGAGGCCCATGGTCATTAAATGCTAAAATGCAAAAGAATAGTAATTTGAAAGGGTTTGCTGCGTTAGTTGTGTAAAAAACGTGTGTAAGAAAGCCCCCAAGCTCAGAGAGCACCGAGGACCCCTCAATTCAACCCTGAGCTATGAATATTCTCTTCTGTCAGCTTTTCTTTACGTGTGGTTTTTCTCTTACAAAAGGCAAAGGGCCTCTGAAGAATCATTACATCAAGTTGATGGCTACTCTGCACTTCGAGCACATCCAGATTTGCACCCCCTGGCTGGAAGCAGAAGACTACGCCCTGTTGCTTGGCAAGGAAATTTATTTCTTTTTCTTTGGTGGGACGGTACTAATTGGATAAATTCAGGACCAGGGTGCTTAAGGTATCTTTGCCTTTGGCGAGCAGTTCTACATCCACTGAACTCTCCCTTTCGAAGTATTCCAAGTAGGACTACTAGATTCTTCAACAGATTTGTTCCTTATGCCATCCATCTTGTAAAAATGTTTTTGCCATGCATATATCTATGGCTCAGCTGACAAAGCGAGTAGAACCTGTGGCCTAGAGGTTAATACAGCTGCCTAACGTGCAGTCGGCCCAGGTTCGAATCTCAGAAGGGTATCGCTAGCTGATGAGAGCTAAATTGCTCGAAATAGCTATTCTAGTTTCCCTTTAATTCTTTGTCAGTAAATCTAATATATATCTCTTATATCTATCTATCTATCTATCTATCTATCTATCTATCTATCTATCTATCTATCTATCTATCTATCTATCTATCTACATATATACACACATACATATACATATATATACACACACACATATATAGTCAATTACCAATAAAACGTGAACACCAGGTATTTTATTTTCACTATTCTTATTAATACACACACACACACATATATATATATACACATATACACATACATACACATAAATATTTTTTTTTTGTTGACAAAGAGTTAAATGGGAGACTAGAATAGCTATTTCAAGCTTTTTAGCTCTCATCAGCTAGCCATACCCTTTATGGGATTCGAACCTGGGTAGCCTGCATACTAGGCAGTTGTATGTGCGCGCGCGCACACACACACACACACACACACACACACACACACACATCTATATATCTGAACTAGACTGTTGTTTCTATGTTGTGTGTGTATGTATGGGCATATGCATAATCTTTTGTCATGTTTATGTATTGGAGGTGGTTACCCTTTGAGAGCTGAATGCAACGACATTTCATTTTAATGTACACTGATTCATGTACATTTGAAGTGACAATAAAGTTATTCTATTCTTCCATTTCTCTTCCAGGCTCCGCCGATTTAGGGGTTTGTCTTCATAAATCTTCCAGTGGTTTAGATTTGCCGATGAAGGTGGTAGATATGTTTGGCTGCTGCTTGCCCGTCTGCGCAGTGCAGTTCCAATGGTAAGGACCGTGTGTGTGTATATGTGTGTGTGTGTATGTTACAGCTTGTCCCGCTCTCCTCTGCCACTCCCAATGGCGGAGGAGAGGACTACTCAACTGGTCGTAAGTCAAGGACTACTCAACTGGTGCAGCAGCGTTTGCAGAATGGGATTTTGGGCGGGCTCAGCAGGGCAGAGACAGCCTGGATAATTCCTATTGGCTTTTGAAAGCCAATAGAATTAGACTCTATTCAAGAGAGTCTATTCTATTGGCTTTCAAAAGCCAATAGAATAAAAGGGAGTAGCACAGGTAAGGAAAAGGGGAAAAAAATGGCGGACTGCGTTGTTTGGCAACCCCCGTGAAATGGTCGTTCGACCCCAAATGGGGTCCCGACCCACAGGTTGAGAACCGCTGGTGTAAGCAGTAAAGAACTGGAATCGATTGGATCTTACTGTGTTGTCGTTGGCCCAACCCTTGTTGAATGCCTTCCCCAAATTTTGGAAGTTATGACTCCGATCCACCCCAGAATGCACCAGATTGGAGAAAATCAGATTGGCGGGTTGCTCTGTGAAGAGCAAAGGGGGGCTTCCAGGTTCAGAAATAGCAAGGACCAGCTACGCACATGCAGGCAGAAATCAAGTGCGGACTTCTTTGCATACTTCCAGACACCCCCTTTTGATTCAGAATGGCCTTCCATATTGCAAACTGATTTTTTTTCCCCTCCTCAACTACTAGGGAGATCTTTTTCTAAACACCCCCCCCCATTTCTTTCCAGTTTACAGGAGCTGGTGAAGCACGACGTGAACGGCTTGATATTTAAGGATTCGTGTGAACTTGCAGAACAGCTGAAGGTTTGAGAATGCTTCTCAGATTACTTCTTAATAGTGCTGTTTGGGTCATTTATGTAATTATGGTATCTTATGATGTATGATTTATCACTTTGTTGCTTATGTGTGTACTGGGAGCTTATGCATTGGAGACAAATTCTTTGTGTGTCCAATCACACTTGGCCAATGAAAAATTACTCTACTCTACTCTACTCTACTCTACTCTACTCTACTCTACTCTACTCTATTCTTATTCCTCCTTCTTCTTCTCTTCCTCCTGTTTCTATTCTTTACTTTTTGGCTCGAATCCCCACTTTCTGCAGTATTTCTCGACTTCCTTTGAATCTGAGAATGGATGTCTAGCACCAACTATGTTTTTCTTCTGTTAGACGTTCCTTGATAATCCTACAACTTGTCATGTTATGGTGCTGATGTATGCCCCAGTTATTGAGGTGGCACTAATCCCATATCTCCCTAAGTCCCATTTGGAAAAAGAAATAATAGCAATCTCACTTAGACTTATATACCGCTTCACAGTGCTTTACAGCCTTCTCTAAGCGGTTTACAGAGTCAGCATATTGCTCCCAGGAATCTTATATTTGCCGACCTCGGAAGGATGGAAGGCTTGGTCAACCTTGAGCCGGTCAGGGTCGAACTCCAGGTTGTGGGCAGAGTTTGCCTGCAATACTGCATTCTAATCACTGCGCCACCACGGCTCCTATTATTTTTTTATTATCTTAATTGGTGGTTCAGGAAGTCTGATCTTTACAGGCTAAAGATGGCAGGTATTCCTAGACCGGGCTGGTCACATTTTGCAACTTCTGTTGATTTTAAATCTGCATTTGATGCAATCTGTAGACCAAATCTGTGGTCCAAAACTTAAAAAACTCTTTGATAGATTGCTGGTTTTGAGATTTAAATATCACAAGAACTTAAGGCTGAAAGTTAGAGGTAGCATTCAAGGACATGTTACCAAATACCTGCGAGGAGAAAAGTTAAGTATGTAACTATCTTATAAAGTCCCTGGGGCCTCATCTAAACAATATCACTTTCCATCCTCTTAAACCAGCCCATAGCCATGCCAACATCACTGTATGCCAGTGATCTGGTAATTTTCTCCTTGACCCTCTTACCCTTCAAAGAGTTTTGCTACTTTTTTATTGCAATAATTAAGAATTAATTAATTAACAATTCGTTTTGCTAAGATCGAGATTATGGCCTTTTCTAAGCCTTTTCTGAAAGCAGTAAATGTGGCATTGATCAAAACCTTTAAATGTCGAGGGTGTGTGTGTGATTAGGAGGCAAACAGAATTGCCCTTCTAGTAGATAAATTTAATTCTCCTTGAGAAAAAAAACAGCTACCCTAAGAAAATGGAATGAGTGTGTGATGGTGTGTGATTTTGTGCTGCTTTTCCGTAGTTAATTTTTTTTTAAATCTATGAACATTTGCAATGCGCAATTTTGGACCGCACAAAATTATACAGGTAGTCCTCAATTTACAACCACAACTGAGCCCAAAGTTTCAGTTGTTTTAAGTGAGACATTTGTTAAGTGGGTTTTGCCCCAGTTTGCGACCTTCCTTGCCACAGTTGTTAAGTGAATCACTGCAGTTAATAAGTTAGCAACACAGTGGTTAAGTGAATCTGGCTTCCCCATTGATTTTGGTGGTCAAAAGGTCGCAAAAGGTGACCAGATAACCTTGGGACACAGCAGCGGTCATAAGTATGAACCAGTTTCCAAGTGCCTGAATTTTGATCACATGATCACGGGGATGTACAAAGGTTGTAAGTGTGAAAAGTAGCCATAAGTCACTTTTTTCATTGCTGTTGTCATTTTGAACAGTCACTAAATGAATGGTTGTAAACTGAGGACTACCTGTACTATAGTTTTCCTAATCCTAATATTTTAATTATACAATTTCATAGCTTTTATAGTTCTCAATGTTTGTTTGTTTTTTGTAATACATTTTATTGAATTTTTTAAAAAACGTAAATCACTTAATAATTGGTGAACCGTGTGTTGTCTGGGTTACATTTGTAAAACAATCATTAACAATTAATTTCTATAATCCATATTCCACATAATAATTTTAGTTGGTTTCCTCTTTCCTCCAAATGTCCTCTTTTGCAAACATCGAATTAATACAGTTCTTATTCTTTTGATAAACAACAATTGAATATATAATTTTTTCCCCAATATTCCTAAAAATAATAATCGTATCAGTATAATATTTCTTTTCTGTTCAGTCATTCTGGGTTGCCTTATCATAGATCCTGTTACAAACCTTATCTTAGTTTATTTCTCTCGCCAAATTCTAAATATTCTTACTGCTGAAGATTTTCTCAAAAATTAATTACATTTACATTTACAAATTTAACTCTTTATTTTTTCCGTATAAGCCATCTCACGCTCTTACATTTCTTAAGAAATAGATAAAATGACGAAAAGAAAAAGAAAGGAGAGCAAGAGTAAAGAAACATACGAAGTAGCATACTACTTATTTAGTAGTTCTCAATGTTATTTTGCCATATTTGATGGGCTAGACCACAGGTCGGCAACCTGCGGCTCCGGAGCCGCATGCGGCTCTTTGAGCCTTCCCCTGTGGCTCCCAGCCTCCTCTGCCTTTGCAGAGAGAGACAGAGACAGAGAGAGGCAATTGCCCTTCCCTGCTTCTCTCTCTCTCTCTCTCTCTCTCTCTCTCTCTCTCTGTGTGTGTGTGTGTGTATGTGTAAAAGAGAGCGCACTCACAGTGTTCTCCAAGGAGCTGAAAAGCTTACTCGGCGGAGCTCCTCCCTTTGCTGCGTCTCTGCAGGAAGCAGGAAGGGCAGGAGAGAGCTAGCTACCCCAGCTAGGCTGACTCAGGAATTCTGGGAGTTGAAGTCCAGGAGTCATAAAAAGACGAGTTGCCTACTACCCCTGAGATTGTTGGAGAACACTTGAAGCTTGCAGGTTGAGCAGCAGATGGGGGGGGAGAAGAGAGGGAGAGAAAGAGAGAGAGAGAGGGAGGGAGAGAGAGGGAGGGAGGAAAGAGAGAGAGAAAGAAAGAGAGTGGGGGAAGAGGAGTGCAGACCAAGGGCAGATAGAGAGGGAGGGAGGGAGAGAGAGAGACCCTTTTGACATCTAAAATGAAGATAACACTGCATATATTCTTTTTTTTTACCTGTGTGTGTATGTAATTTTATTCTCTTAAAGCATTCTCTTGGTGATCATTTTTTTAATAGTATGAATATTCACAAGAGTCATATTTTTTACTTTTATTTTTAATGTGTATATATACATACATACACACACACACACACACACTCTCATCTCTCTCTCTCTCTCTCTCTCTCTCTCTCTCTCACACACACACACACACACACACCTATAATAAAGATAAAAAAGGATATATGCAGTGTTATCTTCATTTTAGATATCAAAAGGGTTTTGCGGCTCCCGGTGTTTTGTTTTTGGTGGGAAACGGGTTCAAGTGGCTCTTTGAGTGTTTTGGGTTGCCTACCCCTGGGCTAGACTACCCATATTGGATTGGTTTCAAATTTCATCGTCCACGCTGTTCGTTGCATAACGCTCTTTTTATTATGTTTGGTTTTTTTGCCTTACAGATGCTTTTTTGGGAATTTCCTGCTGAGGAAAGCCAGCTTGCTTTATTCCGAAGAAATCTTCACCTGGCCAAGCAGCAGCGCTGGGATGAGAGCTGGGAACAGACAGTATTTCCTCTGTTCAGCGATGGCCAATCTGATTAGCGTATAATAAATTAGAAGCTAGTTGATAAATGATGGTTTTTTTCCCAATTTTGTATTATCCTGTCGGTGTTTGAAAATTAAAAAAAACAGCTTAAATAAGAATATCATGACTTTTATGTTTAATAAAAATATGACATTTTATTTTGCTAAATCAAAAAAAAAAAAAACAACCCTACATGAAGCTTGGTCGCAGTCCTTTCCTATTTTCGTCCATTAATTGGTCACATTCTATGCCAGTGTTTCTCAACCTTGACAGTTTTAAGGCATGTGGACTTCAACTCCCAGAATTCCACAGCCAGCAATGCTGGCTGTGGAATTCTGGGAGTTGAAGTCCACATGCCTTAAAATTGTCAAGGTTGAGAAACACTGTTCTATGCAAACTGAGGTGCCAGTTCATGGATGGAAATTAACTTTATACAGGGAGTCCTTGACTTACAGCAGTTCATTTAGTGATTTTTCAAAGTTACAACAGCACTGGAAAAAGTGACTTATGACCGTCTTTCACAGTTACGATCTTTGAAGCATCCCCATGGTCATGTGATCAACACTGAGATGCTTGGCAACTAACTCATATTTATGATGGTTGCAGTGTCCCGGGGTTATGTGATCATCTTTTGACAAGAAAAAAGTCCATGGGGACTTATTGACCGTGTTACTAACTGATCAGCTGCAGTGATTTACCTAACAACTGTGGCAAGAAAGTTTGTAAAATGGGGCAAAACTCACTTAAAAATGTCTCACTCAACAACAGAAATTCTGGGCTAAGCTGAGGACTATCTGTACTTGAATTGCAACTGGCATTGGAACAACGGTTTTGCCTGCTGGGAACCAGCTTGCTGCCTCATAATCATAATTCTTTTGGATGGGGACCCAACATTCTTCAGATGTTGAGCCACCACTCATTTCCTTCCCGTTGGATGTGCAAAGGTAGATTAAATCGAAAACAGGAATGGGGAAATCACTTTTCTTGAGAATCTTAAGTGCCAGAGCAACGTACTTCTGAATTGGGTCTGTGATAACACAGCCAACTCGCTGTGGCCATCTCTCCATGGCCAACTTGCACAGCCAACTTGCCATGGTCAACTTGCTGTGGCCAACTCACCATGGGGCAACTTGCCACAGCCAACTTGTCATGGTCAACTTTCTGTGGCCAACTCTCCATGGCCAACTTGCACAGCCAACTTGCTGTGGTCAACTTGCTGTGGCCAACTCGCCATGGCCAACTTGCCACAGCCAACTTGCTGTGGCCAACTCACCATGGGGCAACTTGCCACAGCCAACTTGCCATGGTCAACTTGCCTGTGGCTAGCTCTCCATGGCCAACTTGCCACAGCCAACTTGCCATGGTCAACATGCTGTGGCCAACTCTTCATGGCCAACTTACCATGGGACAACTTGCTACGGGACAAGAGTTACACTAATATCAAAGAAATGGAACAGAATCATTAAAGGATGCAAAAGGGACAGAATGAAATACGAATGACAAGAATGACTTTTTTAAAAATTTGTTTTAAATAAATTGTTCAATTGTCCTGAGTTGGCCTTGTTGAGTTGGCCATGGGGAATCGGTTGTAGCAAGTTGTCTTATTCCGTTCCAAATCACCCTACTCACTTCACGTGACCTTCAAAAGTATTTGCAAAACATTTAGTTTCCACAATGAATTTTTCAAACAAAAAGTACTTGAAAATAAGATGTCCAAAAGTCGATATTTAAATGCTTATCTGTACTGGGGGGGGGGGAAGGTAGCTTATAAATATTTAAATATTTTAAGATGTATGTATGGTGCGTGCAATTTCCTTTCCTTTCAAACTGCCAAATGCTACGTGCATGAACGTGTTTGTCTCAGCAATACTATACTCTATATAAAAAACATTCTTTTCATTGGGGTTTATCGCCTGCTTTTTCATCTCTATTAATGGAAAGACCGATATCTGAAAAGCTGATCTCTGTTTTTTGAAGTCTTTAGGTGAAAAAAGAGCTATTGAATATAACACTCCTGTAGTGGATAAGACTGAAAGATATCTTATTCACCCAAGATGCATAATTCATGGAAGGCTGTTGGCATTTAGTTACAAATTCTTGTTCTTGAATCCTTACTGAGAATATTGCTTTTTCCCCCTTGCTTGTAGAAGAAGTTCTTTTGTTGCAGCAAACCGTAAGAAGCAGAACTGTCGGTTATTTAAATTCGTTGCAAAGTTAAATAAGAACAGAGAAAGCAGAATTTTTTTTGTTATCCACTAGGACTGATTGGATTCCACTATAGACTGATTGAGCTGCAAATCTTACAGGAATGTGGATTTTTGACTGCCCTTGTCTCTTTTTCTTAATGGAAAAACGCAGAACATAACAGGCTTAGAAGGGACCTTGGAGGTCTTCTAGTCCAACCTCCTGCTCAAAGCAGGAGATCTTATATCATCCCAGACAAATGGTTGTCCAGTCTAATTTTGAAAACCTCCAGTAATGGGGCCTCCACAACTCTGGGAGGCAAGCTATTCCTTTGATGGTTCCCACTGTCAGGAAATTCCTCCTTGATTCTAGGTTGCTTCTCTCTTTTAATGATCTTCCATCCATTACTTCTTGTCCTGCCCTCAGGTGCTTTGGGGAATAAGAACCCCCTCTTCTCTGATGGCCCCTCAGATATTGGAAAACTTCATGTCCCCCTTAATCCTTCTCTTCAATAGGTTAGAGACCTAGCCTAGTTCCCTTCACTGGTCAAAATACAATTTAGCTTTCTCGTCATGCTAAGATTGTCTGTCCTCCTGTAGCCTACATCTAATGGACTGCTAAAATGGATCGAACTCTTGTCAGTTGCCTGCTGTATGACCGATACTCAAGTAGTCCTCAACCAGTGGAACGGCCTGCCTCCAGAAGTTGTGGGTGTTTCATCGCTGGAGGCTTTTAAGAAGAGATGGGACAGCCACTTGTCTGGAAATGGGACAGGGTCTCCTGCTTGTGCAGGGGGTTGGACTAGTAGACCTCCAAGGTCCCTTCCAACTCTGTCATTCTGTTATGATTGAAATGGAGAAGGCCCATTAAGGTTGTTGACAGTCATAAACTGGGCTACCCACGCAATCGACTCAACTTTATGACCTCTCTTGAGGTGATTGTTAAGGGAACACTGGATTATTAGATGAACCAAAATAAATGCTGATTTGGGGCACAAACGTCATAAAATGCAGTCGTGTGGCCATGGAACACTACAAACAGCCGTAATTGTGGGGCGGTTGCCGAGCACTCAACATGATCATGGAGGGCAGCCATTAGAACTTCTTCAACTAGAAGTGGGTCATAAGGACTCCAGTGCGGTCCATCGTTACTTGAAACATTCACTAAGCAACCAATGATAAGTCAAGGACTCCTGTATATGGTTGGATTCATGCAGTATGTTTCCTAGATCTATGATATTGGGTCCATCTGCTCAGGACAGGAATCCAGAATATCAATTAGTTTGAATAAAGAGGACTTTTTGGGTCATTGGTTCCACCATCAAGGTTTCTTTAACGCTGGGTGGTTTATTTTGAATTAACACTGGAATCTGCCTTTTAGCCATTGTGTAACGAAGGATATTTCATAGATTCAAATCAATATCTTACAGAGCAAGGCTTCTATTAATCTTCATATACAGTGCATATGTAGTCAATTTACATTTATATTTTCTATATAAATAATGGGATGTAGATGGCTGATTACATAGGTTGATTACTATTTTCATCATTAGAGTATTATATGAAATCAGACCATATGGGGGGAGGTGGAGAAATAATTTTCTCTCTTATTTTTCTTTAACTGGTTTCAATTTATATGTTAATTTTTCTGTTAAGGCAATGGACCATATTTATCATGCCAGTTTTTCTAAGATGACCCTTCTTGATATATCCAGCATTTTCTGTTCCTAATCTAGCAGCATTAATAACAAGGGTAATCGTGCCTTACTTTTCAAATTTGTATTCTTAACAGATAATAATAACAAAAGCTGTAAGATGTTTTCTTTTTTACTTTGATTAATAATTAACGGGATTGTCTGCACTACCATATCCCCAAATTTACAAAAGTTTGGGGATCATCACTGGATAGGTAGAATGGATTTTTTTTTTCCCTTGCTACCTCTCCAACATTTATTTCAATTTCTTTTTTATTATGTAGGAAATGTTAACTGGGATAAGTGCCGACAGTATGCAGACTTGAAATGTAATTTCTGCAAAGCTATTGAGAAAAATGTAGGATTTTTTTTCCCCCTTCCGTATTTATAATTCATTTGGGGGTATTTTTCGCTCAGCAGCTAAGGCTTTCTCCCGGTTTCAAACTGTAGTAGAAGTTTGTGAAATTGTGCACTATTAGGATGTTGTTATTAATTACTAATAATATACATTGCTGGAGGTACATGTATGTATGTGCAAAGCAAGCATCTGTAAAAAAAAAGTCCATTAGCTCTTAATATTTTGCAAGTTTCTGTCCATTCATACGATTGGAGATTCTTTCAATTCAATGTTGCCATATTGTAGGACCATACCTTCTCTGTTGCAATGGATTTTCTCAAATTTAAGGTGTAGTGCAAGTTGTGTTAGTGTACTGATACAGAATATTTGTAGTTCAGGGCTGAAATGAGGGGTCCTTGGTGCCGTCTGAGCTTGGTTGTTTTCTTGCAGACGTTTCACGACCCAACTAAGTAACATCATCAGTGCTAGAAGGGAGTTGGGTTTGGAGAGTGGAGGAAAGAGAAGGACGTGGATAACTGTAGGAGGTCCTTGGTGCTCTCTGAGCCTGGTTGTTTTCTTGCAGACATACATGATAGAAGCCTTTGTGTTTTCGGTCAATTTATTGTTTCATTCTGTTGCCATTAAAAGTTTAGAGGGTGAACTAGAAGCAGAAATATCAGGAATTATTTTGTGACTGGGGAGATAGATTTGTAAGTTCCTGCAGGCTACTCCTTCTCCGACTCGCCTATCTTGAGAAGTTGTTACGGGGATAAAACTAGATAAGACTGTGGGTATTAGTCTAAGCTGGGTGGAAAAGATGGGGACGCTTAGATATTCATGTGACAAGATCAGATCAATCCCTTTTCTGTTTTAATATTGGCTACCTGTTTCACTCCCACAGAAAAGAACTAAGGAATGCTCCTTCTGAAACCTTTAACTTTTGCAAAGTTAAAACTTCACCCTACAAGAAGCACCTTCTAGAATGGCGAACCAAGAAAATGTGCGTAAAGGAAGGAAGGTGTCCTTGACAGAAATGTGCAGAAAAGGTTACACAGACACAAGGGTTACACCGATCAACTTGTTAAGCGCTCAGAAACAAGACACCATTTGGAAGTGGCTGAGGTAGACACGCCATGGCTTCCCGATTCACAGGAGTATAAGGAGGAGGAGAGAAGAAGGAAGGAAGGTACAGAACATCACAATGCAAGATTCTAATAATCTCAATAAAAAAGATTTGAGATTTCTGTAGAATCGACTACCTACTCTGATCTACTTTCCCAGGTGGACAGGGTTGGCAACAGACCCCAGACAGAAGTAAAAACACATCCAAAAACAGAGGTAACCTCGTGTTTATTATACCAAAAATAACAGCTTCCGAGTTCCATCGTTCGCGTGAGTATATAAACAGGACAGATTAGAAGCATTCTCTGAGATCGCAAGAAGGTAACTTTAAATGTGTAAACAATACAATACACAAAGGTTTTCGGTAATGTATCTCGTACATCAGTGTTCCTCAACTGTGGCAACTTTAAAGATGTGTGGACTTCAACTTCCCAATGAATTCTGGGAGTTGATGACCACACATCTTCAAGTTGCTGAGAAATTGAGGAATTCTTGGAATTGGTCTTAAAGTTGAGAAGACTGAAAGAAACTCCCTTGTAGACCCATTGGTTATAACAAAAAAAGTGAATCGTTTTTAATGCAGCTATAAGAGACATTTTGATGCTTCCAACAGTGGACACTTGAGAGCGAAACCAGCTCACGATGGCCAAAGTTATTTCCAATCATAATACTTGGGAAAAGCTTTCCAACTAAGAGTTTTTGGGGAAAACTCTTAAACATGCAGCCTTAAAATTACTATAGTTGCATGCTGGTCATATGGAAAAAGATTCTTCCAAGAGGTAGGTACTATTTGCCATCCAATCTCCACTTTATCTGAAAAAAATAAAAAAACAAAAAGGGAGGAAGAAACAGGGTTAAATGTAGGGATATTTCCACGTTGCCTAGTTTTTTCTAATTCAAATGATTTGGTTTCATTTGCAGAATGGACCAGAATTGTTTATTGCTCTGAAAGCAACTTTGATAAATCAGCCACAAAGAAGAAAGTTTTTTTTTTTTTTTCAATCTCCAAACCCGATACTTACTCAAGATGTACGTGGCTTCTCTGGAGCCTGGCCAAAAAGACTGTATAAATTAATCGCACAGATTTGAATACGCAAGCAAAATAAGAAAAAGTTCCATCAACTCTGGGCAACTTTCTCCGTGGCTGAATCTTGCTTATGGGAAATGCAACTCCTCTGAAAGTTAATTGGTCCCTTGATACCAAGTTTCTAATGCACATTAAGTAGGAATCGGCCGTTCCTTTTTTGGCTTTATGAAGTCCTAGCAATGCTATCCCTCTCTCTGGTAAGACCCCCTCCCCCAAAAAAGCTGCTGTGTATGCAAACATCTTCATACCCAAAACACGAATCTCAACAGTGGTTCATTTTTAAATGTCCAGGTTTTGAAAAAAAAAAAAAAAAACGAGTTCTTTGTAGATGCAATATATTAAAGCTTCCTGTGCATTTTATTTCCCTATCTATTTTCCTGCAGTGTGTTAAAAACATTGCAAAAACAATTCAGATGTACGATTTATCAAGGCCAATTTTCTGTGACTGAAGCAAGGCGATTGTTAAATGAGTTTTGCCCCATGTTATGACCTTTCTCACCATAGTTGTTAAGTGAATCACTGCAGCTGTGAAGTTACTAACCCAGTTGTTAAGTGAGTCTTGCTTCCCCTCCTTGACTTTGTTTGTCAGAAGTTCGCAAAAGGGGATCACATGATCCCGGGACATAGCAACTGTCATAAATGCATGCCAGTTGTCAATTTTGATGACGTTACTATGCAGATGCTGCACTGGTCTTAAGTGTGAGAAACAATCGTTAAGTCACTTTTTTCAGTGCCATTGTAATTTTGAACCGTCACTAAACGAGCGGTTGTTAAGCCAATGATGGCTTGTCCATTATTCTGAAAAACGGGACAGCCAAGAGTGGTGGAAGCCTTTAACACACAGCTGGTGGCCTTGGGCCAGTTACTCTCTCTCAAACCAAATCACTTCACTAGGTTTGGCTTGTGGGAAAAACAGAAAGAGGAAGGAGTATTAGCTACATTCACCGCCCTGAGTTGTTTATAGAACTAATAAAGGCGGGGTATAAATTAAAGAAATAAAACGTGGGTGAAAGCAGGCCTAAGAAACCAGCCACGCTTGAGAAATTCTAGGCTTATTTCTCTCATGTTCAACTTTGGTTCTGGGCCATGGAGAAGCAAGCCCACATCTCAACCACCATCCAGGGACGCTTACCAAGTTGCATCTGGAAGTCGCGATATGTATCTGGGTTTCGGATATTGAAGGCGATGTAAACGTCAGGTGTTTCTCTATTCCTGCGGTCCCGGGGAACTTTTTGAAGGACACCAATCAAGTGCTGGCTTACCTCCGGATCGTATACCACATCTGATAGGAATTTAAAGGGGGGGGGGGAAGAAAAATGGAACAAATGAGGTAGCAATTTTTTTTTTTTAAAAAAATGCAAATTACAAGCGGTATCGATTGGAGAGAGTGGATCACTGGATAGGATAGGGATAATAATAATAATAATAATAATAATAATAATGATGATGATGATGATGATGATGATGATGATGATGATGTTGGAAGGGACCTTGGAAGTCATCTAGTCCAACCCCCTGGTCAGGCAGAAAACCCTACACCATTTCGGACAAATGGCTGTCCAGTCTCTTCTTCTTCTTTTTTTTTTTTATTAAAAATTTTTAAGTTTTACAAAAAAAAATTTCCCTCCCCCACACCCTCCCACCCCTCCCCTACCCTTCCCCGATCTTCCCAGAGCTGAATACAGGCTTGATTAAAAAATTTTTTAAAAAAATCTTAAAACACATATAAACCATAAACAAATCTAAATACATTAATTAAACAAATTATAAAATAATTAACAACAATATATATAAAAAAAAAAATACAAGAAAAAAGAGAAGAAAAAACAGAAAAAGAAAAAATAAAAAAGATAAAAAAAATATCTATGAAATATCTTAAACTTTAATTATAAATTATTCAAAAACTAAATAATATTTTTTTATATCCAACTTATATTGTATAAAATCTATCCATCTTTTCCATACCAGGAGGTAATAATAATAATAATAATAATGATGATGATGATGATGATGATGTTGGAAGGGACCTTGGAGGTCATCTAGTCCAACCCCCTGGTCAGGCAGGAAACCCTACACCATTTCGGACAAATGGCTGTCCAGTCTCTTCTTAAACACTTCCAGTGTTGGAGCATTCACCGCTTCTGGAGGCAGGTTGTTCTACTGGTTAATTGTTCTAACTGTTCCAATTGTTCTAACTGTTAGGAAGTTTCTCCTTAGTTCTAGGTTTCCATCCGTTGCTTCTTGTCCTACCTTAAGGTGCTTTGGAGAAGACAAGAAGCAACGGATGGAAACTGATCAAGGAGAGAAGCAAGCTAGAACTAAGGAGTCCTTCTTTTCACCAGATGAGACATACCCAATTTCTGCAACTGTTCTTCGTATGTTTTAGTCTCCAGCCCTTTAATCCTCTTTGTTGCTCTTCACTGCAGTCTTTCCAGAGTCTTGATAGGGATACCCACGTACCAAAACCTCCGTGCGTAGAACATGTTTGCATTTACTCCTAACTCAGCCAGCTAAATTTGATCTGAGGACATCCGTTACCTGCAGCAAGAATGACGTCAGCTTGCAATTTCGCAAGCTCGTCTTTGGAAACGAGATTCCAGTCTAGTTCTTTTACTGATGTTCGGACCTGATGTTCATCTTCAAGGTCATCATCGAGATGGTCCTGATGATTGCAGCTTTCTTTTGCACGGTGGCTGCAAGAATCAGGCTGCAAAGTCAAACCATTCAGCTGGACATTCTCAGACAGCTGTTGAAGGACACCCCCATGGTGATCGCTGAAGATGTATTCTCTCGGATGGCAAGCCTTGCAAATGGCAATGCCCGTCAATCCAATCCCACTTCCCAATTCCAGAATTCTTCTAAAGAAGGAGAAAGAGGAGGAACACGGAACGAAACGGATGAAGGGATAGTTTCGGGTCTATTGTTCATTTCACAGTTCTTCTCAATGTTACGGAACTAGGAAGATGGCCTTGGTCCAAATCCATCCTTAGATAATTGACTAGGCATCTTTGGCCCAGTCAGTATTGCTCAGCCTACCCTATCGAATAAATAAATACGTAAAATAAGGAGAAGTTCTCCATACAACCTGCTTCACCTTTCAGAGAAAGCAGAAACAAAATTACTCCTTGACTTACAACCGTTTAAGAACCCTTCAACGTTATAAGAGCATTGGAAAAAAAATGAGTTATGATTGGTCCTCACCAGTAGGAGTATTGCAGCAGCCCTGCGGTCAGGTGATCAAAATTCAGTTGCTTGGCAACTGCTGTGTCTTTATGACAGTTGCACTGTCCCAGGATCACCATATGGAATGTTCTCAAGTCAATGAAAGAAGATGAATCAGAATCGGAATAGAGCTGGAAGGGACCTTGGAGGTCTTCTAGTCCAGCCTCCTGCTCAAGCAGCTGACCCTATACCATTTCAAACAAGTGGCTGTCCAGTCTCTTCTTGAAAACCTCCAGTGATGGAGCACCCACAACTTCTGGAGGCAAGCCGTTCCACTGGTTAATTGTCCTCCCTGTTAGGAAGTTTCTCCTTAATTCCAGGTTGTTTCTCTCCTTGATTAGTTTCCATCTGTTGTTTCTTGTCCTGCCCTCTGGTGCTTTGGAAAATAAGTTGACCCCCTCCTCTTTGTGGCAGCCCCTCAAATACTGGAATACTGCTCTCAAGTCACTCCTACTCCTTCTTTTCTCTAGCTAGCCAAGTCTAGGTTTGCTTAACAATCACAGTTCGCTTCGCAACCGCGACAAAAAGTTTGTAAAATAGGGTGCAACTCACTTTATCAATTCACGGTTCAACTGCGGTCGTCAACGGAGAATTACCTGTACAGGTGGCCCTCGATTTATGACCACAATTGAGTCCAAACTTTCTGTCGTTAAGTGAGACAATTGTTAAGTGAGTTTTGCCCCGTGTTATGACTTTTCTTGCCACGGTTGTTAAGCGAATCACTGCGGTCATCAAGTTAGTAACACAGTTGTTAAGTGAATCTGGCTTCCCCATTGACTTTGCTTGTCAGACGGTCGCAAAAGGGGATCACGTGATCCCAGGACACTGTGACGATCATAAATACGAACCAGTTGCCAAATGTCTGAATTTGCATCACGTAAACACGGAGATGTTGCAGCGGTCCTTGAGTGTAAAAAACGATCATAAATGACTTTTTTCCAGTGCCGTTGTAACACTGAACGGCCACTGAGTAAACTGTTGTAAGCTGAGGACCACCTGTATCAGATTAACCAAAGCACACGTCACGCTGGGGGCTTGATGCTTATTTGCTTTCCATTTTATCCCAAAAGTATATCCTTTGCCAAGTTTCCCCAACAGGTCCCCCTTTTTAGCGAGTCCAGGCCAATCTTCCCAAAGGGCTCACACTAAGCATTAACTGGAGTTATATGCTGAAGAAGCAGAAGCTGAAATGATACTTAAAAGAGAGGCAGAACCTGGACTGGTCAAAGCTAAGGTGGTTAGATGTTGAAGAAGCAGAAGCTGAGGTGACAGTTAAGGGAATAGCAGAAACTATAGAGGCAGAATCTGATCAGATAGCTCAGTGGTTCTCAACCTGTGGGTCGGGACCCCATTTGGGGTCGAACGACCATTTCACGGGGGTTGCCAAACAAGGCAGTCCGCCATTTCCCCCCCCTTTTCCTTAGCTGTGCTCCTCCCTTTTATTCTATTGGCTTTTGAAAGCCAATAGAATAGACTCTCTTGAATAGAGTCTAATTCTATTGGCTTTCAAAAGCCAATAGGAATTATCCAGGCTGTCTCTGCCCTGCTGAGCCCGCCAAAAGTCCCATTCTGCAAACGGTGCTGCACCAGTCGAGTAGTCCTCGACTTACGACTGGTTGAGTAGTCCTCGACTTACAACCGGTTGGGGGTCGCGGCATTAAAAAGGTTGAGAACCACTGAGATAGCTGAAAGGAAATTAGAAGCTGAGGGGAAGAGGGCAGAAAGCAAGGTTGCCTTGAGATGGAAGCCAGAAACTGGAGAGGTAGAGGCTGATGTGGTATCTAAAGGGGAATCAGAAGCTGAAGAAGCAGAAGCTGAGTTGACATTTAAAGGACAGTCAATAGAGAAAGCACTTAAACAGAAGGCAGTAATTATAGGGGAAGAGGCTGATGTGATACCTAAAGAGAAATTAGAAGTCAAAGAGGCAGAAGCTGAGGAGACACTTAAAAGGAAGGCAGAACCTGGACAGGCCAAGGCTAAGGTGGTGCCTACCTGGGAGTTAGGTGCTGAAGAAGCAGAAGCCGAGATGACACTTAAACGGAAAGGAGCAACTATAGACGCAGAGTCTGACGTGACAGGTGGAAAGGACTTAGAAGCTGAAGATGCAGAAGCTGTTCAAGCCTAAATGGAGAAGCCGTACCTGCTCCTGAAGACCTCCGAATTCTCCAGAGCCCATTCGGCCAGGTAGAGACCGGCGTCCCAGGTGACCAGACCTGTTGTTCCTTGTGAAACGATGGCCACATTTTCACGAAGCGTAATGGCGTCTCCTGAGGGCTGAGAGGAACATATTGGTAGGAAGGATCCATCCCATTTGGAGACAATAAAGGGAAAGACACCCTTGAGTTGAATTAAGATTCCTGGAGATGTTGTACAAAACATCTACGCCGTTTTCTCCGCAACAGCACAACGGGGAGTTGACACTGCCTTCTTCCGGGATAGCGTTGGTTTGCCAGTCTGGCGTTCTGCCCTGGTGTTCCCTGATGGGTCCCATCTGTGCATTTAGGAGGCCTAACCCTTCTGTTTCCCAAATTAGCTAGAGGCTGGTAACTGCTCTGGGGTTTTATGGCAGCCAATTTTGTGAAGCCTGTTATGAAAGCGAGGAGAAATATAATTGCTTCCTTAGGAACAAGTGAGCAGGGTTTTAGCATCTTCAGAAGAATTCATGTCTTGGGTTTTAACAGAACATGAATCCGGTAAAGATTGGAGTGGCTAAGCCAGCTGTGGAAATAAAAAAAAACACAGAAAAATTTCAAGGCTTGGGTTATCTGTAGATGGCACGGCTTTTCATGGAATTTTGGCTAAACATTCATGGGTGGGCTTGTCTGCAGATGGGCTTATCAAGGCTTATATATATGGTATCAAGTATATACGGTAATTTGGATGGGCTTATGGGATAGACTTAGCAAGGCTTATATATACCGTAACAAGTATATACGGTAATTTGGATGGGCTTATGGGATGGGCTTATCAAGGCTTATATATACGGTATCAAGGTAGATCTCTGAGGTAGATCTACCAGAGCTGGAAACAGCACTATTAGAACTTAACTTTACTATACAGCGACAAAATCTTCAAAACTTGGAAGAGATTCTTTCTTTCCCCCCTCTTTTTACACCCAAAAAAGAGGTTCAAAATAAGTCAATCTTGAGTTTCTTTCTCAACCTTTCCTGTTTTCCTGAGCTAAACTCATGTTTTCCTAACCATTGCTGAACATATTCTTTAAGGCTATGGCCATAATCCTCTACAGAGACAATTTTAACAAAACCATTGTAAGTTTAGTGTGTGCTGTGATTTCTAGCTTAGGCTCCAGGTTCCAGCAGAATCCATGTACAGTAGTGGCCAAAATTGTGGAAACCTTTTGGGAAAAGTGTATTTTTGAGGTTTGATGGCTAATTACACCACTTTTTGGGGGGAGTAATACCATAAAATTATATATCAATGGAAAGATAATTTAATCAGGAATGTAATGTAACATACTTTGTTCAATTATCTGTACTGTATTCTATGAAAGATTATAGCCAAATAACCAGAAAAAGGAAGCACAACTTGCTTAGGTTGACCTCAGGTAGCTTTCCTTCATCCGATTGTAGCCAATGAGCACAAGTGTTTAGAGAGCCAATCAGGTGTCATCTTGGTTTGGCAATGAGCCAATCAGATCACAGTAGGATCCAGTGGTGGATGTCGTGTATTGAAGCTGAGAGGAGGACATTTGTCAGTGTGTTGTGTGATCGCTATCAAGTTGGTTGGGTTTTTTTGCATTCTTTCATTTAGTGAGCTTGTAAAACGTAATAAAATTAAAGTCATGGTGCAAAGAGTTGATTGGTCGCCCAGGAAGCGATGTAAAATAGTATTATTAAGTGAACAAGGCTACAGTTATAAAGAAATGAGAAGAAATTTTTTTTGGGTGGAAACTTAACCAAAGGTGGCATTTCTACTGTACACTTTCCCCAGAAGGTTTCCACAATTTTGGCCACTACTGTAAGGTGAACATGAAGACTGAGCCCGAAGATTTAAAGACAGCTGCACAGTTCACACTTGATTTTTTTTTTTTAAAAAAACAAAAAACAAGAAACTTCCTACTTACCAATAAGTAGTTTTTGTAACAATGTGTGGTTTCTTCAGTCTTTAGGACATCCCCAAGGGCTTCGTAGAGTTGATCCAGTGGCTCAGGGCATGTCGATTCATGCTGCAATGAAGGAAAAGACAGCAGGAGATGCTAATTTAGGAAGAGGATCCAGACAGAAAACAAACAAAGTTTGGTCTGTCCAGTAGTCAGTAAGCCTTCCTGATGTACTAATTTCAGTGCATCTTCATCACTGTCCTTCAGATATTCTTCCACAGCCATTTTTTCTTCTTCAACCATCTGATGTACTTGCAGCATTCCACGCCCACCTATTTGCCTTGGTAGATATTATTATTGTTGTTGTTGTTTCTACAAACCCAACCGTACCTTTTTGATCAGCTCTGATAAGAACCGTCTTCTGTATTGAACAGATGGAGGATACTTCAAGCAGAGTGGATGAAACACCGTCTGAAACAAGGAAAACAAGAGCAGATGCCCACATGAAAAAAATGACCTCACATCTGAGGGTCCTTGGTGCTTTCTGAGCTTGGCTGTTTCACTGCCCAAACTAGGGTCTAATGTTACCTTGTTTGGGTAATGAAACGTCTGCCAGAAAAAACCCAATATGTGGACAGAGTAAGCTGTTCAGAGAAGGCTATAAAGCACTGTGAAGCGGTATACAAGTCAAAGTGTTATTGCTATTGCTATAACTCAAGATTTGCAAAACTACAAGGGCCATGTCCACAAAACACATAAAAAGAAAACTAAAAAAACTTCACATCTTAGCTTTGAGGGAGGCGTGAACTCAGCCGCGATACTGTTTGTGCATAATCGGTGCAAAACAGTGATGTAAGAATGACTTGCACCCCCTTTTTTACTAGGGGTTACCCCTTAAAGCCCCACCGCCTCAGTTTCTCCATCAATTTTCCTGGGAAAATTGTGGAAAAAATAAAGACCCCTTTCCAAAGAAATCTTTACCTTCTGCAGGATAGCTAAAAATGGAGAGGAATCCTTTGAATGTTTCAAGATTTCTTCAAGGCTCTAGAACAACAAACCACACGTACGATTTAATGGAAAGGAAAAGCGGTTAAATGAATTATAGCTTGTGGAAGCATCGTTTTATTTTTTAGATGCAACAATCAGCAATTTCTGTGTTCTTCTATGAAATCTAAGGTTTTTTAAAAGTGATTTTTCATTTTTTTTATTTAAAAAAATCACATCTGTGCAGGGCAGAAAAAATGGAAATCTGGAGTTAGGGGCTTCTCTCTCGGTTCAGCTCAGGGAAGAGCTGTTAACAGAGAAAAGGGGGGGGAGCAGAGGAATACAGTAGCTGCGAGCATGTGCAGAGAGCCTTTTCTTTTGCGGAAAAGGGGGAATGCTGTGAGGCCACGTGGTTTTCAGCCGCAACACCCCCACAATTTAGCACTAACTGGAGGGGGGGCCAAAGTGGTTAGTGGGAAAGGCAAGGAGATGAAGCGAAAGCCAGAGGCAGGATGGGAGGGACTAGCCGCCTAAATTTCATTTTCAACACAGGTAGTCCTCGCCTTACGACCACAACTGAGCCCAAAGTTTCTGCCGTTAAGTGAGCTGTGCTGCATTTTGCAATCTTTCTTGCCCCAGTGGTTAAGCGAATCGCTGCAGTTGATAAAGTTAGTGACCCAGTCGTTAAGCGAATCCGGCTTCCCCCCTTGACTTTGCTTGTCAGAAGGTCGCCAAAGGGGATCATATGACCCCCCCCCCGACGTGGCAACCGTCATAAATGTGAGTCGGTTGCCAAAGCATCCCAATTTTGATCAGGTGACCGTGGGAATGCTTCAAAGGACGTGTGAAAAAGTGTCAGAAGCCACTTTTGACAGTGCAGTTGTATCTTCCAACGGTCACTAAACGAACTGTTAAGTCGAGGCATCAGGAATTCTCCTTTCCACGCCTCCGAGCCACGATTGAAGTCAAGCCCAAAGCAGGGGGCAAAAGCCCCGCGATGCCATCCAGATGTTCAGGGATCGCAATTCCCAGCAGTTCTAGATACTGCAGCATGAACAGCGCATCTGGCAGGCTAATAAAACGGGGGGGGGGAGGCATCCAGAAGGGAAGATTCCAGCCCCCTCCTCGCTTTCCTAACTTGCAATCTCTTCTCCACCCCCCCCCCAAAAAAATCTGGTAACATTTTAAGTCCCTCCCCCTCGCACGCTCCGCCTCCGGCAGCGCTTCTCTTCCCCCCCCCCAACGCGCGTCTCTCAATAAGCGCTAAGGCGTCCCGCTGCTGGTGCAACCGAGCGCCCCCGGGCGCCGCTGTGCGCTACGTTGCGCTCACCTGCCAGGGAAGCTCAGACAGGCGCTTCCCGGCTAGGAAGCCCCTCTGGAAGCCGAGCGCTGCCTTGCCTTCCAAGGCTTGCCCTCCTTCCTCCATCGGCTCCTCCTCCGTGCCTTTGGCCTTCCGGAGGTGTGGTGGGGGAAGGTTCCGCGGCGGGGGCGCGGGCGTGTGTGCCTTTGGGAACGCGTGTGCGCGCATTTGCTACGGTGCAAGCCTGTGTGCGGGCGGCGAAGCGGCTGCGTCCATTCCAAGCGCAGCACTGAGCTTGGAGATGTTTTGGGGTGGATAACGGAATAACGCAGAAGGACCTTGGAGGTCTTCCAGTCTAACCCCCTGCTGAAGCAAGAGATCTTGCAGCCTATCAGAGAAATAATGGCTGTCCAGTCTCTGCTTAAAAGTCTCTAGTGATAGAACACCCACAACCTCTGGAGGCAAGTCGTTCCACTGGTTAATTGCTCTCACTGTCAGGAAATTTCTCCTGAATTCCAGGTTGCTTCTCTCCTTGATTAGATTCCATCCGTTGTTTCTTGTCCTGCCTTCTGGTGCTTTGGAAAATAGGTTGAGTCCATGATCTTTGTGGCAGCCCCTCCAATTTTGGAAGACAGCTGTCATGCCTCCCCTGGCCCAGTTAACTATTTTTGAGCCAAGTTTCACCTAATCTGTACCTGTGTATTTGGTTTTTCCTGCCTAAGTGTAACACCTTACTTTTCTCTATGTTGGATTTCATTTCAATCAAAGAGCTGAGCGATCCCAGCCTGACTAGGAAATGGGTTGTCTGCCATTATCAAGGCAACAAGCAGAGAAACATACTTATTAAACCCATATAAAGATACTGCTTTAGGATACAGTTTTGGTTGCCACGATATAAAAAAAGATGTTGAGACTCTGGAAAGAGTTTAGTGAAGAGCAACAAAGAGGATTAGGGGGCTGGAGTCTAAAACGTGAAGAACAGTGGCAGGAATTGGATATGGCTATTCTAGTGAAAAGAAGGATTAGGGGTGATATGATATTTGAATATTTCAATATTTGAAGGGCTGCAACAAAGAGGGAGTCAACCTATTCTCCAAAACACCAGAGGGCAGGACAACAAGCAATGGATGGAAACTTAATCAAGGAGAGAAGGAACCTAGAACTAAGGAGAACTTTCCTGACAGTGAGGACAATTAACCAGCGGAACAGAAGTTGCCTTCAGAAGTTATGGATGCTCCATCACTGGAGGTTTAGAGACTGGACAGCCATTTGTCTGTAATGATATAGGATCTCATGCTTGAGCAGGAGGGTGGACTAGATTAGAAGATCTCCATGGTCACCTCCAACTGCCAAAAAGGCCAACACAGTGCTAGGCTGCATTAACAGAGGGATAGAATCAAGATCACGTGAAGTATTAATACCACTCTTCAATGCCTTGGTAAGGCCACACTTGGAATACTGCATCCAGTTTTGGTCACCACGATGTAAAAAAGATGTTGAGACTCTAGAAAGAGTACAGAGAAGAGCAACAAAGATGATTAGGGGACTGGAGGCTAAAACATATAAGGAATGGTTGCTAGAATTGGGTATGTTTAGTTTAACGAAGAGAAGGACAAGGGGGGACATGATAGCAGTATTCCAATATCTCAGGGGCTGCCATAAAGAAGAGGGAATTAAGCTATTTTCCAAAGCACCTGAAGGCAGGACAAGAAGCAACGGTGGAAACTAATCAAGGAGAGAAGCAACCTAGAACTAAGGAGAAACTTCCTGACAGTGAGAACAATTAACCAGTGGAACAGCCTGCCTCCAGAAGCAGTAAATGCTCCAACACTGGAAGTTTTTAAGAAGAGACTGGACAGCCACTTGTCCGAAATGGTGTAGGGTTTCCTGCCCGAGCAGGGGGTTGGACTAGATGACCTCCAAGGTCCCTTCCAACTTTACTACTATTATTATTATTAACTCTGTTATTCTGTTATTTAAAAATGCTTCGTCAAAATGCTGTTAACTTCTTGCGGCGGTCCTTAGCCCCTTCAGCCTAAACGGGGGAATTGGTTTCTTTCTTCTGTCCAATGAGCCCACAATTTCTGTTGTAGAAGCGGGACAGTTGTTAAATGAGTTTTGCCTCATTTTATGACCTTTCTTACTACAGTTATTAAATTAATCGTATCAGTTTTTGGATTTGAATTGGATATTAGGACACAGCACAGAAGCGTTGCTTGGGCAGGGTCTGCAAGATTGCCTGGGACGCTACACCTCCTCTCCATGACTTGTGTTCCTTGTCACCTGGGAGGAGGGGGCTCCGTGGTATCCGAAGCAGAACATCCAGATTCAGTCACAGTTTTGTTTCATACAGTATTAACCTTGTGAACTCTCAAGCTTCCTCTTTCCGTTATGTATTCAAGATGGACAGTAATATTTATATGTTGCTTATATGTAAGGGTGGAGGTCTATACATATGTTGTATATAGTATGTTTTAAATGTGTGTTATGTATGTGTACACTTTGAGACCAAGCAACTAAATTTCATTTTTAATGTGTGCCATTGTGCCCACAGTAAAAAAATGATAATAAAGGTTGTCTGTCTGTCTATCTTACCTACCTACCTACCTATCATCCATATCTGTCTCTATCAATCATCCATCATCTCCATCATCTATCTGTGTCTGTCTATCATCCATTATCTCTGTCCCTATCTCAATCATCCATCATCTTCATCTTCTGTCTGTCTGTCTGTCTGTCTATCTATCTATCTATCTATCTATCTATCTATCTATCTATCTATCTATCTATCTATCTATCTATCTATCTATCTCAATAGGGTTGGAGTTGAAGAAGGATCTCTTGGTCTTCCCAAATTCAGGTATAATCTTTCTCCTAATCTGTGCCCCTTTGTTTGCAAAAGTTTTTCTTAGCAAACGGACAATTTTATCTGGTCTTAAGTTATCTCGAGTGACGCAGTTTTGCTTTTTACAATTCTATTATTCCCTCCGTTAACGCTGTTTATGGGGGACGAAGGATGCTTTCCCATTTCACAGTCCACAAAACCAGCCCGCAGCATATGTGCCGACTTTGAAAATGAGTTTTTTATGGGTGCATTTTACCTCTGTTAGTTCAGTTTGTAGGTAGCTTCTAACAGATTGCTGAAACGGTCTTAGTACGCTTTTTACCCGGAGATAGATGGCATCCCAAATAAAGCATCTGCTGTCCTATGTTTGTTAGGAATTGAAAATGTTTCTCCAAAGTGAAGGAAGAGGCAGTGAAGATGCCGTACAACTAAATCACAAGAGATTGGATTTGCACGGTAAGCAAGGTTAAAACAAATTGCAATATGGTTTAGCTCAGTGAGTCAAGTGTCCGTTTCTGATCTGTTCAATAAATCTAAATTAGGCTTTAGTTCAGAAGTGTCCAGCCTTCACAGTTTTCGAGATTTGTAGACTTCGACTTTCAGAATTCTCAGAGTTGAAATCCACAAGTCTTTAAGTTGCCAAGTTTGTAGACCTCTGGTTTAGTGTAACCTATGCATCCAGTGCTCACTCTCAGGCTCTGGACACAGTAAAGGTGGCACATAACAACAAGGATTGGTACTTTCTTTGAATCTTCATTGTTGTCAGCTGCCACCTTATGTTTGCGTGTGCTTCGCTATGTGGTGACAGGTTGCCATGAGCTGTGGGGAGAAGGGGGGAATGCTTGGGGAAATGAAAGTACGTGCTGTATCTTCTTGAGACGCTGCCTCAAGGACACCTGGATGAAAGAAGGAGGGAGCTGCATACCAAACTGTGCTTGGACTGACCGTTGTGGAAACATCTTGCCTGAACTTGATTGGTTACACCGGGGTGGACAATGAGAGCTCGTGTGGGAAGGCAAAGGCCTATTGGAAAAGCATACATATATGGTTAGAAAAAATATTGGGCGAACAAGTAGATTTTAAACCTGAACTTTTTTTTACCAGGCATTATGTCTGAAAAGACTAATAAGCAGAAATTATATTTAATTCTACACATCACCACAGCAGCGAGAATGATTTTTGCACAATACTAGAAGAATGAAGGATTGCCATCAGAGGAAGAAATAATCATGAAAATATTGGAATGTGCAGAGATGGACAGACTAACTCTGAGGCTGAAAGACAAAGAAGATATGGGCTACTATCAAATTTGGAATTTATTTTATTCTGGGTTAGAGAAAAGAATGAAGGATTAGGAATTGAACATGTGTTAGCTTAGCAAACTCCAGGCAACTTGTTGATTGGAAAAATTAACATATGTTGATGGAAAAAAAATTAATAAAAAAGATTGATATAGGAGAGATCGTGAAGGGAGGGAAAAGTAGAACGTAGGGATTTTGGCACGCGATTCTCGGTTCTGGCTTTGCAATACTGCAGTGCACTTAACCTCTAATAGAAGTATGCCTTTCTCGACATATAGCGCCAAGGATCGTTCTTATCTAGAGATTTAAGTTGTTGCAGGTCCGACAATTGTCTTCTCTAGAAATGGGGTGATTGTCCAGTGTGGGACAGTTTAATGCACGTTAATATTCATGGGTTTGATATCTATGCCGATTTAGTTTGTACAACTCAAGATGGTGCACCTATTGCTACCGCCTCCTATTTCCCTACTTCTACAACAGCTTGTTGAGGTCAGTTGGACCCAGTTTGACCAGCCCAAAGTCCCCCAGCTGGTTTCTGCAGAGAATCCTTGACTTACAACCATTCATTTAGTGACCGAGGCTACAACAGCACTGAAAAACAAACGACTTACAAATGGGCCTCCCATTTACGACCATCTCCCCATGGCTATGTGATCAAAATTTGCATGCTCAGACCCTGCATGTATGACTGGAGTGTCACATGATCAGAATTTATGACTTTCCCATCTGCTTCCGACAAGCGAAGTCAATGGGAGAAGACAGATTTGCCTGGTGAACGAACAATTTGCTTAACAGCTACAGGGATTCACTTAACAACCATGGTTTAAAAAAAGGTCGTAAAATCTGGGGTAACTTATTTACAACTACCTTGTTTAGCAACAAAAATTCTGATCCTAATTGTGGTCGTACTTTGAGGAATACCTGTGCGTCCAAGAAAGGGACTGGAATTCACAATCTTCCAGTTTCTGGTCCCAGACATTTAAAGAACCAAAGAAAAACCAGAAATGAAGCTTTGGGACACATGAAGAAGAGGAATAAGAACAGAAATGAGCAGCCCTCAAAACTGCAGGTTGATTGAAGTTATGTACAGATCCAGATTTTTTTCACTAGAATAGTTTTATCGAGCTGAAAAAGTGCCGACTCTGGGGTTTTTTTTTCATTCCGACATACGATCTGAGTAAAACACAACCAACTGGGAAATAATCATTTTTTTAAAAAAAAAATTATTTATTGAATATTTACATCAGCTGACTCTCAACAACTCCAGCAATTCACAAATAAAGACACAGGAAAAAAAAATTAAAAGAATGCAATAATACAACAAAGGATCAAAAGATGCAAAAAAAGAGGTAACAATGAGAAGCAATTCCACACAAAGCAGAAGAGGGCTACATCAATGTCCTAGTCAAAGTCCTGGGTGAAGGGCCAAATCTTCGGGGCCATCCAATGCATCAGCATGGCAAGGGGGGGAAACCCTAGATCTCATGGTGGGGAGACCTCATTGTAGAAGGTAAGTGCTGTGACACAGATGGCCTGCTTCTGGGGTCCCAAAAGATGGCATGGTTTAATCAAAGGAACCTAGAGCGTGCTAACTCTGTTGAATCAAAGTGATCAGGTAGCTATGGAAATAGGATGGGCCCTATGCCATGTAAGGCTGTATAGGTAGCTACCAGCCTCTTGACTTGCACCTGGAACCACACGGTGCAGCTCATGAAGCAGAAGTGTTTATATGAGCACACCAAGGCATGTGCATCCATCTGCTGCATTCTGGAACAGTCAAAGCTTCTGGGAAGTGTTCAAGGGCTGCTTTCAGATCTCGAAAGATTTCGACAAATACAGAGATAAATATGTTTCCCACCAATGATCTTCCATAACACATCCATTTTTTTTTTACAAGGCAAAGGAAAAAAAGCATGGATTAGCTTTGATGATGGATCGCGCCCTATGTCAAAGCTAGATGGAGATCAGGAGAAAGAGGAGACTTATGGTCCCAAAACTTAGGAAAGGAACAAGGCATTTGCCCGATGCAGATGTCCTGAGCATCTCTTCAGTAACTGCCAGGGACCCATTGTTCAGTTCTGGCTGGACTCTGAGGAGCTTGCACATCAGAGGATAAATGTGGATGCTGTCAAAAGGTTCTGCTAAATACCCTTTCTTGAAATCAGGACCGAAAGCTCTAAAGATGGTCTTCATGTCCATGCCTTCATTGTCGAAACCATGGTCCCCTTTGTTGACGTAGATAATCCACCTCTGAAAAGAACATTGAAAGAAGCAATCTTAATAACGCACCTGGCAGAAGATTGGGAGAGGAATGTATCGTGCTTATAATTAAGCCACCTCTAACTTAACTGTGGAATTGATAATTACAAGATGTGGTGAGGGCTACTAATTAGAACTGCCAGTGATTGATAATCTTTCAGATCACCAGTTCTCCTCCCCTGTCAGAACTATATTGGTGGGAACGGAAGAAACCCAGGGAAGGTATACATGGATCTCTCCAATGACAAAATCAGAGGTGGGGAACGATGGCCCCTCTATGACTTGTGGACTTCAACTCCCAGAATTCCTGGCTGGCTCAGGAATTCTGGGAGTTGGAAGTCCACAAGGCACAAAAGAGGCATGGTTCCCCATCCCTGGACAAAATGAACGGGAAGGCAAGAAGTCCCATCACCCAGGATGAATGGCAGGAAAAAAGGAGCTGGATTTGAAGGAAGAAGAAAAAATAAGTTCCAAATCAGTTTTGCCCAGATGGTGTTCACTGTCTGTAATGGCTACCTTCCTGCAGTGTTTCTTCGGTTGTCTCTTGACTGAATGTTCTTTTAGAAAGGCACAATGCTGTCCCTTTAGCTTGCATCATGCCGATTAATGAAAACATACAATTAAATAATGCCAAGGGCAGGGGCATCGTATTGTCTATCCCACCAAGGCTTCTGCTTTTCATAAGGGCAAATCAATGATTAGCAGAGTCTAACTCTTTTCACAGTCCCACTGACCAAATTGAGCAGCCCTCTGGACTTGCTACTGTAGTGGCCACTATATGTCACTGTTGCTCTACTCAAAAACTACAAAGGTGAAGAGCAAAGAGCCCCCTGCTTAAAGTAATATTAGGTGTAGCCCTGGAGATGTGAAGAGAGGCTTTTGAGCTGTGCGATGGATGGTTGGAAAGATGGGCTTGACAACCAATATTTGGAGACCTTCTCATAGTGCCCCTTATCAGAACCCTAAATTTTGATCAATTGACCACGGGGATGCTGCAATGGTCGTAAGCGACAAAAATGGCCATAAATCATTTTTTCAGCGCTGCTGTAACTTCGAACGGTCACTAAACCCAACGGTTGTAAGTCAAGGACTACCTGCATGGTAAAGTAAAGTGTCCCACCATTTCCAATAATTATGGGAAGGAGCTGTTTCTATCAGACGCCAGTGGCAAACGCTGTGATCTACTGCAGTTTGCAGATTTCTGTTGGTTTTTTTTTTTTTTTAACAACATCTCCCAAGCACTGGCATGGTTATAGATGACAAGAACAGCGAAGCACATTCAGAAGGAAAGGTCACCGTGTGAGGAATTAAAAAGCCCGTTACGCAATGGCCACCTTTCTGTGTGAAATTACATTTTATTGTTTATTGATCAGTTGAGGATGTCAAAGCCTATGGGGGGAATGGGAAATGCTAATAGCGGTTAATAGGCTAAGGAAAGAATGCTTTAAATGAAAAGGGTTTGCATTGATTTCTCTTGCAACGAGAGTTAATGTATTAACATTACTTCAATATTAGACCAGGAAAATGTGACCTTGTTTTAGACTGGTGTGCACTTTTGGAATCTCAGAAGTGTCAGTGACCAAACACCAATTCACCCTCAAAAATAAATAACAAGAAATAGATGGGGTTGCTGCTTGCCCTGACCTCAAGTCTCCAAGGATGGTCTGTACCAACTAAGCTGATATTTTTTGCCTGGTTGTTAGGCTTGCTTACGAGCACAGTCCTGGCTTTTGCAACCCACCGTATTTCTTTTCTCTAAGAATGCCTATGGGAACTGCGGGATCTTAACAGGAGGCATGCTTACATTCTTGAAAATAATGATAATGCCGCAGGCTGGAAGCTATTTTGTTTTACAGTGGGAAGAGGAGGAGGAGGAGGAGAGGAAAAAGAAGGAAGAGAAGAAGAAAAAGAAGAGAGACAAGAAGGACTGGAGGAGGAGGAGGAAGAGAGGAAGAAAAAGGAGAAGAAGGAGGAGAAGGAAAAGAAGAGAGACAAGAAGAAGGACTGGAGGAGGATGAGTAGGAGGAGGAGGAGAAAGAGAGGAAGAAGAAGGAGGAGAAGGAGGAGAAGGAAAAGAAGAGCAAGAAGAAGGACTGAAGGGGAAGGAGGAGGGAGAGAAGCCCCTGAAGGCAGGACAAGAAGCAACGGATGGAAACTAATCAAGGAGAGAAGCAATCTAGAACAAAGGAGAAACTTCTTGATGGTGAGAACAATTAACCAGTGGAACAGCCTGCGTCCAGAAGTGGTGAATGCTCCAACACTGGAAGTTTTTAAGGAGAGACTGGACAGCCATTTGTCTGAAATGGTATAGGGTTTCTGTCTGAGCAGGGGGTTGATGATCTCCAATGTCCCTTCCAACATTGTTGTTGTTGTTATTATTATTATTATTATTGTTATTATCATTATTATGGATCATCACACAGTCAGCCAGATGTTCAGACTGGATTTGGCATTTTGTCTACCTATCGAGTCCTTACCCAGGACCTGGGATAGGCAGATGTGAATGTTTGATGGTATTACAGATATCGTCGCAGGATGGAAGCAGTTCCTAGTAAGGCCGCCTTTTGCAATTGACTAATGGCGAATTTGTCAATGCCGATGATGGTGTTCAAATGGTGCTCCAGTTGTTTTGGGATTGCACCCAAGGCGCCTATGACTATTGGGACTACCCTTGCTTGCCTTTGCCACAGTCTTTTTATTTCTATTTGTAGGTCTTTGTATTTTGTTATCTTCTCCAGTTCTTTCTTGTCTATTATTATTATTATCGATCATCGCACAGTCAGCCAGATGTTCAGACTGGATTTGGCATTTTGTCTACCTATCGAGTCCTTGCCCAGGACCTGGGTAGGTAGACAAAATGCCAAATCCAATTATTATTATTATTATTATTATTATTATTATTATTATTATTATTATTACGATGATGATGATTATTATTATTATTTGTAATTTACATCAGTTAGCTTTGCCTAATTCCTCTATGCTCTTTTAAAAAATAACCAAGTTCCTACATATGATGAGGCGATATTTCCATATCCACCTCTGATTTCCACACAAAACTTACCCCGTTGATCACGTAGCCAGAATCGCCATAAATCAGGATCGGTAACACACGTTCATGCCGGGCATAATGGAAACGTTCAGGAAACTCTTCCTTTTTGTAGACATGCAGTTGAGGAGGGGCCTTTTTTAAGTCCCGGTAAATTTTTTCTTCTTTTCCTGGTTTGGGTAGTATCATCCCAAACCCTCCATAATCAACAATGTCAAACTTGGAGACGTCTTGGAATTGAATGTAATCTTTCAACAAGATCTCTTTGACCTGCGGGGCCTTTTTGACAGTGGTCATACCGTGGTCAGACGTAATTATGACGTTGAGAATATCGTTCAATCCGTGTTTTTCGATTGCACTGAGGAGGTAGCCGAGCGTTCGGTCAATTTGTTGGATGATTTTTTTCCTCTCCTCAGTCTCCGGGCCAACGTAATGTCCAGTATGGTCAGGTTCCCCGTAATAAAGTGTGACAAAATCAAAATCTTCTTTAGCAAACCAGTTCATGACAATGTCGATGTTCTCTCGCCACTCGGTCTCGTTGCTGTCGGGGTGATTGGGGGATTCGGCCAAGCTCCTTGTGACTGACTGACCACTGTAGTTGGCGTTGCCGCCTGGATAGTGAAAAGAGGCAGCTTTTTTCCCCTAACCAAGACAAAAAGAAAGAAAGACATTAAGGAAAAAAAAAAGAAATAAGAAAGAGAAAGAAAAAAAGAAAACAGGAAAGGAGGACGGATGAAAAAGAAAGGATGAAAGAAAGAGAAAAAAGAAAGAAAAGGAAGGAAGAAATGAAGAGAAAAAGAAGGAAGGAAGGGAGAAAGAAAAAGAAAGAAAAAGGGAAGGAAGGAAGAAAGAAAATAAGGAAGAAAGAAAAAAGGAAGGAAGGGAGAGAGGAAGAAAGGAAAAGAAAGAAAGGAAGGAAGGAAAGAAAGAAAAAGAAAAAGGAAGGAAGGATGAAAAAGGATGAAAGAAAGAAAGGAAAGAAGAAAGAAAAGGAAGAAAGGAACAAAGAAAGGGAGAAAGAAAAAGAAAAAAGAAAAGGGAAGAAAGAAATGAAATAAGGAAGAAAAAAGGAAGAAAGAAACAAAGAAAAAAGAAAGTGAGGAAGGAAAGAAGAAGGAAGAAGGGAGGAAGGAAGGAAAAAGAAAAAAGAAAAGGAGGAAGGAAGAAGGAAGAAAGGAAAAAAAGAAAGGAAAGAGAGAAAGAAAGAGAATTGATGGCAAGTATGAAAATCATAAAACTCGCTGCATGCAGACACTGTGGCCAACTTGGTAGTACAAATATTGATCACTTATTTTTCTGTCATTTCTGTACTCAGGAAAACTGTTTTCTGTTGCAAGTCTTCACTATAAAACTTAAGGCATCCAGAACAAATAAACAAAACACTCAAAACATCTTACAATTAAATTTATGAGCACGACTGCAAACTACTTCATGATTATCTGGGAATAAGTGCCATTGAAATGAATATTGCGTTCTTCTGAATATAGGAGTCTAACCTGAAAACACATTAAGCTTGAAGCAGAAATAATTTTTTTTCCTCTCAAATTATAGAGTTTTTAAAATAATAGTAATAATAATAATATGAATTTCAAAATAGCAGTAGTCAGGCATTATTCTTCTTACCACTCGTATTGTTATTCTGCTGAATTTAATTTCTAAAGTGCTAAGCTGGGGTGGTAAAGTAATAATATTCTTACTGACATTTAATATCCTGGGAAAAGGTCAAATTCAGTATAAAATCTAAGCTGACAAAGCAGACAGATCTTGCAAAGGAATAAAAGAGGAATTTAAGTTCTTAATGTCAGAGCAAGAGTGATGTCCCACATATTTCAAAATATTGCTTTTTGCAGGGGACAAGCCTACATTTCCCCCATAGAAATAAAACCTACTATATTCAGAGAATCCAAATCCAGATGAACGTTCACAGAGTCCTTGCTATTGGCGACACAAAAGTAATGCAACTGTTCTGGAAATTTAAGTGGCTGCGTTGGTTGGTATGCATTGGTAGGGAGGAAGTAAAGAGACTGGGGAGGTTGAATTCCTCCAGGAGAGGAAACAGTGGAAGTTGGATCCTCTTGAGATCCCCAAAGCCTTTATCTGCCTGATCCTAAGAGAACGCAGTTAGTCTGGTGAGATTCTTGTAAATAGGGAAACAACAATGAAAGAAGCTATTCTGATCAGCTCACAGTCTTGTTCTGGTTCCTTCTGCCTGACATGATGTGAACCAAAGTGGAGGGTGTTCTCTACTTACAACCCTTGGTAGAGATAAACCAGACTTCTCCAACTTGTGTTTTCCAAATGTAGCTAGATAAAGAAGAACCATCATTTCTAGCCAGAATGAGAGAACTTCTAGGCCTAGGGGGACAGCTGGAGAGCCCCAGCACGGGGAAAGCTAACATATAAATAGTATATTGAAGAAGAATCCAGAAGGACCCTATTGAACTCTACGGTCAGCTCTGCTACTCAGTTCCTTTACGGGTTTTGTTGGTAGGATAAAATAGGTCAATCATTTCTGGGGTGTATACAATTATGAGTTTGGAGGAGGACAATATAAGCTTGAATAATTATAGGATGTGATTCCCAACAGAAATGAGCAGAAGACAGCAGCAACGTATATTTGTCCCCAGCAGTATTTTTATGAGGTCGAAGAGATGTTATAGGACAATAGTGGCCAGCCAACTGTTTTTTAAAACATTGACTTTTTGAGCACTAAAATGTCACCAATTGGCAGAGATACTGATAGCATTGTACAGAACCATTAATATCCCCGGAGCCTTATAGACTTTTGCAGGTTGAAATACTTCCATGTCAGCTCAAATATTCTTTTCTAAATTTATTTACTTGTTTATTATTATTTTTTTAAAAAAAGAGTAGGCTGTTCTTTCTTTTTGTGATTTGCTAAGTTCCATTGCAAGGGAGATTTGATCTGAGCATGTAGAATTCATTGAGAAAAATTCCAAAACAATTTTCTCTTTTATGAGGGTAGAGAAAAATGTGTGTGTGTGTGTGTGGGGGAACACCAATGTTTGGCTGAATAAGGCTTCCCAGAGAGTAGTGGTCAAGCTATACTTGATTGCCAGTCCTTGATTAACCCAGCAGTGTCTTGTAGCTGCCAAAAAAGCCAATGCAGTCCTAGGCTGCATCAGGACAGTATCAAGATCACATGAAGTGATTGTATCACTTTATAATGCACTGGTGAGACCACTCTTGGAATATTGTGTCCAGTTTTGGTCACCATGACACAAAAAAAGATGCTGAGACTCTAGAAAGCGTGTAGAGAAGAGCAACAAAGATGATTAGGGACAGTGGTGGGATTCAGCTGGTTCGCACCACTTCGGCAGAACCGGCAGCTAATTTTTTGTTGCCCAGGCCCAGAATGGACTTCTGGATGCGACATCTACACAGAGAATCAGTTGTTCACATATTTGAATCCCACCACTGATTAAGGGACCGGAGGCTAAAGCATACAATGAACGATTGAGGGAACTGGGTATATCTAATCTAATGAAGAGAAGGGCTGGGGTGACATGATAGCAATCTTCCAATATTTGAGGGAGTGTCACAGAGGAGGTCAACCTATTCTCCAAAGCACCTGAGGGCAAGACAAGAAGTAATGGACGGAAGCTTATCAAAGTGTGATCTAACCTAGAATTAAGGAGAAATTTTCTGTTGGCAACAACATCAGTGGAACGGCTTGTCTTCAGAAGTTGTGGGTGTTCCATCACTGGAGGTTTTAAAGAAGAGATTGGATCTCTCCAGAATGGTATAGGGCATGGGTCGGCAACCCACGGCTCTGGAGCCGCATGTGGCTCTTTGAGCCTTCTCCTGCGGTTCCCAGCCTCTTATGCCATTTGCAGAGAGAGAGAGAGAGAGAGGCACTTGCACTTCTCTCTCTCTCTCTCTTTCTCTCTCTTTGTGTGTGTGTGTGTGTGTGTGTGTGTGTGTAAAAAAGAGAGTGGCCTCATGCTGTTCTCGGACAAGCTGACAAGCTTATTGGGTGGGGCTCCTGCCTTTGCTGTGTCTCAGCAGGAAGCAGCAGAAAGTAGCCTCTCCCCCCCCTCTCTCTCTGTCTGTGTGTGTGTTTAAGGTTGCCGACCCCTATAGGGTCTCCTGCTTAAACAGGGGGATGGACTAGAAGACCTCCAAGATATGTTCCAATGCAATTATTATGTATTCTGTATCCTTCGTTGAGAGTCTTTGGGATTCCCTTCTTTCCGTCCTTAGACTGAGGAGCCCATTGAATTTCCAGTCAGTCAAAATCTGACCAGCGACTTCCTTCCTTTCTTAATTCCAACCGAACAATTTAATAAAACTCTCTTACAACCTAATTATCTTGAAACTGGAGAGTATTTACTGTTCCTGCCTCCCTGTTTTATTAACATAATCAACTTTACGAGCAGCTATACACTTGCGATATTATCAGTTTTACTGGGAACATTATTTCCTTCCTTTTATTACCACAATTCTTATTGTTCCTGAAAAGTTTTTGCAGTGAGACAGCTGGTGGGTTTTCTCCGATGCTATTCCCTATCTCCCACCCTCATTCTTTGCACTGTATCCTTTGCTTATTCAAATTAAAGTGTTTTGTATCTCCCAGCTTCTGCTTCTCACTATGAGGATGGTTTTCAATTTGACATAAGCTAGATTTAAGCTGCGTGAGCTTTTCAAAATTCTTGTTCCATGTGTCATTTGAATTAGCATCACCCTTTTCCCCGTGTGAGGGCAAAGAAACCATCGCCACGTTCACCGTTGCTAAGCAAAAGAGTGCAAGTAATTGAAAAGAAAAGAAGAAGAAGAAAAAGAAAAAAAATAAACCTTATTGTTTTGTAGGAGTTTTTCCGAGGCTGCTACGTTGTCTGATGGCCTACTTAGCCTTGTGCTAAACAATGTAACATACATTCTGAGGAATATATTTTGCTCCCAAAATGATAGATCAATGCATTACTAGAAAACCAAATGAAATCAAATCATATTTATTTCATTTAATCGTTCAAGTAACATTGGTTGATATCCCATTTCCCTGTTCAACTCTAAATTGCACACAATCTGGCAGGTTTAAAGATGCAAATAGTCAAGCTGTTTAGGTGATTTCTCAGAGTTCAGATAACAAATAAATGCAATTAACAGAATACAGAATAATAGAGTTGGAAGGGACCTTGGAGGTCATCTAGTCCAACCCGCTGCTCAGATAGGAAACCCTATACCATTTCGGACAAATGGCTGCCCAGTCTCTTCTTAAAAACCGCCAGTGTTGGAGCATTCACCGCTTCTGGAGGCAGGTTGTTCCACTGGGTTAATGGTTCTCACTGTCAGGAAGTTTCTCCTTAGTTCTAGGTTGCTTCTCTCCTTGATTAGTTTCCATCCATTGCTTCTTGTCCTGCCTTCTGGTGCTTTGAAGAATAGGCTGACCCTCTCTTCTGTGACACCCCCTCAAGTACTGGAAGATGGCTATCATGTCACCCATAGTCCTTCTGTTCATTAAACTAGACATACCCATTCAGCAACCATTCTTTTTATGCTTTAGCCCCCAGTCCCCTAATCATCTTTAATTAACCAAGCAGATGCAAGAAATAACCTCAGCGAAATAAGGAGGGCCACAGCCTAGTACTGTATAGCACACCATAAACTTCTAAGACTGGACACATTGCATTAAACCGCTGTGTAGCTTAATTTTGTTTTGTTTCAAGCCATATTTTTTCAAACCATAGTGGAATGTAGTTGATGCTTCAGTTGGATGGACGAAGCATGGAGCTGTGCTGAGCAAACCAACTGTAACTAAGCCATAGCTTAAGGCAGTGATTCCCAACCTTGGCACGTTTAAGATGGATGGACTTCAACTCCCAGAATTCCCCAACCACGTAGAAATCGTGCCATGATGATCATTGGATCCATTACCTGATTTTGAGCTGTGATCCAGAGGGGAAGAACTCCATTGTCCCACCATTCAGTCTTATTCTGGGTTTCTTTATAGCCATACTTCCGTAGAGTTTCCGTGTTGAACATCATATTATGGATGACTCCATGATCTTCAATCCAGCGACCTGGAAAAATAAGATAAGAAAAAATGAAAAGTGGCAAAGGACAGTTTTCCAGGAGTCCTGCAGCAGCCATCCACTTTAGCTACACAAAGGAATGGCACAACAGCTTGAAAGTGTGGCCGAAGAAATGTGGTTTAAGTTGAAGGCAAAGGAAAAGAAAACTGTTCAGTTTTTTGAGTCTAGAGAAATGGAACAGTGGGCATAAAGTTTGCCCTTTGGAGAAAGAGAGAAGACCTCCACAGTCCAGGTTCATCTTCAGAACTTGAGGAACCATATGGATTTCTTTGTCGCCCTACAGAATTTCAGCTTGTTCTTCATCCTTGGGCTTCACAAATACTTTCTTCATCTGAAACTTGGAAGCAGCTGCTGTTAGAACCCAACCGTCTTTGTCATCAGGAAAACAATAAAGACAAGAAAACCTGAACAGACACTGCCTAGTGAGCAGATGTTTACTCAGCAATGAATGGGAAAAGCTTTTATCTCCTCTAAGCAATTGAGAACAAAAGGAGAATTCCTTCTCCAGAGGCTATTCTCCAGCATCTGTTGCTTCTGTTGATTATGAGGGAAAGGAGCCAAGGCAAGCAGTGTAGGGACAATGCAACATCAATGTCTTCTGCATTAAGCCTTCTTAGGGGCCTACTTAAAGCAGTTTAGCAGTATCTTCTAAATGGCTTGTGGGGTGACCTACTGTGTAGATGTGTGTGCAAATCAACTATCTTCCAAAGAACAGAGGAACCCAGCACATCCCAGCAGTACTGAAGCTATATTCAGCTAAGGCTTGTACACAGCTATTTTTTGGTGCCCAACTAGGACTTGATACTTCCTTTCTACTAATGAGTATGGTTCAGGACAATCTCACAAAAAAGGCCAACATCTGGGTCCCAAAAGTGCTTTTCCAAAAAGCAACTGAGCTTTCTTGGTTTTTCCTTGAAGACATTTCACTACTTATCCAAGAAGCTTCTTCGGTTCTTCAGTTTCTTCAGTTCTCCTTGAAGCTTCTTGGAGGAGAAACTGAAGAAGCTTCTTGGATGAGAAGTGAAATGTCTTCAAGGAAAAGCCAAAGAAGGCCAGTTGCCTTTTGGAAAAGCAGCTTTGGGACAACCATGACCCAGATGACTGAGAATTTCCATAGACATCAACATCTGGGCTTTTCCAGGGAAGCATTCCTAATGATGGGTTATGAGTATGCACTCAGCGCATTTAAACAACATATCCAAAACCTGGAAGTTCAACAAGGTCAATGAAATCTTTATTATGGTCATACACAACACGACCAGTCTGCTGTATTCAAGGGCACTGTTTTCTGAGCAGCCAAGTCCCTTTTTACAAACCAGTGTGATACTTAAAACCCGGTTAACTGTTGTCAGATTTCAAAGAGCACTAACTTCAGCAAACTTCAACATTCTCGTCACCATAGTTTTGGAGAGCTGATACAAAAAAGTTGAAAGTGTGCCCCTGTGGAAAAGGAGCTGCTATACAGTATTGTACCCTCTACCAGGACTCAAGAACCAACCTTATAACTCCTTACTTGGTAAAAAAACACCAAACCCTTGGAAATTCTGATCTTTTTTTTTAGGTACAGTTATTGTTATCCGATCACCTCAGATGGGGACTGCAGCCAAGTAATTAAAAGACGCTTGCTCCTGGGGAGGAAAGCTATGGCCAATCTAGACAGCATACTAAAAAGCAGAGACATCACCCTGCCAACAAAAGTGTGTATACTCCAGGCCATGGTTTTCCCAGTTGCAATGTATGGCTGTGAAAGTTGGACCATAAGAAAGGCTGAGCGCCAAAGAATTGAGGCCTTTGAACTATGGTGCTGGAGAAGACTCCTGCAAGTCCCTTGAACTGCAAGGCGTTCAAACCGGTCAGTCCTAGAAGAGATCAACCCCGACTGTTCTTTAGAAGGCCAGATCGAAGTTGAAACTCTTTGGCCACCTAATGAGAAGGAAGGACTCACTGGAGAAGGGCCTAATGCTGGGAAAGATTGAGGGCAATAGAAGAAAGGGATGACAGAGAATGAGATGGCTGGATGGAGTCACTGAAGCAGTAGGTGTGAACTTAAATGGACTCCAGAAGATGGTAGAGGACAGGAAGACCTGGAGGAACGTTGTCCATGGGATCGTGATGGGTCGGACACGACTTTGCAATTAACAACAACAACAACAATTGTTATCCGATCAGAATGATCCAGTCTCCTTGAACGTAGCGAAATTTTGTTATACTGCTGGCAGAATTAGGCAGACTTTGATTATCCACTGAGGAAGCCACCGCCAATTGCAATATTTTATAATGTTTTGCTTTATTTATTATTTATTTTTGTATACAATTTTGTTTGTAGTTCTGGTCAGTGGCTGTAATAAAGACCATTCATTCATTCATTCATTCATTCATTCATTCATTCATTCATTCATTCTTCTAAAGCAGTGGCTCCCAACCTTTTCTATACCCTGCGCCCCTAGAACGCTTCTGATATATTCTCATATCTCTTATAAAAGTTTGAAATAACGGCAACGAATTATGCATGTACACTATAATTTTGAAACTTCTCAACCCAAGTTTTCACACCCCCTGGAATATCATTTCGCACTTGAAACGTAATGATTCTTATTTAAATTAACTGAATAATTACGCTATCTACCCAATGGCAGTTTGTCTGCCATATGTATATAGATAGTCCTCGATTTACAGCCACAACTGAGCCCCAAATTTCAGTGAGACATTTGTTAAGTGAGTATTGCCTCATGTTATGACCTTTCTTGAGGCTACTATCTGTACTGTAGTTCCTTGGTACTCAACAGCTTTGAAACTCATCGAATTTAGTACTCAATGCATTTGGATGCAAAAATTTTGTCCCAGTACTCATTGTTTGTTTAGTATTCAATGCCTAAGCTCAGTAGTGGGATTCACTCAGTGGTGGATGCTGCTTCCAGAAGTCCATTCTGGGCCTGGGTAACAAAAAAATTAGCAACCGGTTCTGCTGAAATGGTGTGAACTGGCTGAATTGCACCACTACGTAAGCTAGAACTTGTCGTTGTTGGCTGCCTTGTGACTCACTAAATTATTCCTTATGGGAAAAATTTGTTTCATGCTCATCATTTTTGATACTCATTGTATCTCCCAGAACCAATTAACAATGAGTACTAAGGTACCACTGTATTCATTCATTCATTCATTCATTCATTCATTCATTCATTCATTCATTCTGCAACTTGTTGGTCAATGTTTAGAGTGGTTTAGATTGTTCTGTTTTGTTACTAAGATACAAAGTGATTTTTGGATTGGGCCCACATGTGAACATCTGAAATTTCACCGTAGTTTCTCTCCCCACTTCTGCCAAGAAAAAAAAAAAGCTTGCTAACTGCTGCTTTATTTTATCCTCATGAAATTATACTCTAGAATTAATTAGGTGCAGACGTTGCCCTTTCTAACCAATCACATTCAAACACTAATTAAATCATTATCTTGGTAATGCATTTACTTTATGGGAAAGTCTTTCTAATGAGGAATATTAATTAAAACCTGTTGAATGACTTGTAAGCATATAAGCATATCGCCTCTCTGCTTTAATTAATTTCCAGTAAATAATGAGCTCATATAAATGTGTAATTTGCCTTACATATTTTTAGAGCTGTCTTGAACTTAGTCATCCTTAAAGAAAAAAATAATATCTCAATTTTTTGGAACTTGTCTTTAAGGAAAATATGGGAAATGATTTTTTTTACTGTAAACATAAAGTACAGAAAGAGCAGATTTTCTACTATCTCTTAGCTATAAGGATTATGCTGGGTTCACACATTATATTACTGTATAGGGTGCGTGTTTGTGGTTTTGACTTAGCATATCAGCCCTACTAGGTAGACTAGAACAGGAAATCAACCCCATAAGAGTGGCTAAAATTACTTTAATTGAGATTAATAAAAGAACAGGATGTTGCAAATCGGATTGTCACGTACTTCCTCCTCCTCCTCCTTATAATTCAGTGAATTAGGGAAACAGCTACTTGGGTTCTTTCCAAATGTTATCTCATTTTTCTAGACTTCAAAAATACTTCCTCCTTTTTAGCATGGAAAAAAAAAAGCAGTTTCTACCTATTTCCATCAAGGCCATCTTCCTTATTCTCTAGATGGGCTGATAAAAAGCTGGACATTTTGAAAGAGAGGTTCACTTGTGAATTGATTAATTGATGACCCTTCCTTTGGAATTGATCAATGTCAGCCCCATTAGATAGACCAGACCAGAAAACTTAACTGTACAGGATGGCTAAAACTACTTTTATTGATATCAGCAGAATTTTGCAAGCCTGATTGTGCTTTATCTCCTTAGTTAAAGTCCTTGATTCTAACCAAACATGATTGTTTTGATAAACATCCCTCCAGATTTCAGAATCTGAAGAAGAATTGTGCAAGTGTAATTGTGTTGTACCTCTTCCCTGCTTCTTAGTTGTTCTGTGAATTAGAGGGAGAGTTGAGCCACCTGGATCAGAGACCCCCCCCAACTTCTATTCTCAATATGGAAATTTTCAAGTGACTTTTGAATAAGTCAGACGCTCTGTGCGCCATGTCCTTCCTAGAAATGCTGGAGCAAAACTGTCGTGTTGATCTCTGAGATACAAAGTGGAGTGCAAATCATCATCATAGACTTCTAGGGAATGTTCCCTGGAAAATAGATATCTGAGCATCTTCCAAATATTATCTGTTGGTTATGGAGTTAAGGCATTGCTCATTGCTTTGTTAATAGAACTCGCATATCTCTATCAATGCCATCTCCCTCACTGTCCATAATGGACTAGCAATAGCAGTTGCCAAAATTGGATTCCTTACAACTTCTGTTTACCTGAACATTGAGTGTTTGACCTGGACCATAGAACACAGAACATAGAATAATAGAGTTGGAAGGGACCTTGGAGGTCTTCTAGTCCAACCCTCTGCTCGAGCAGGAGACCCTATACCCTATACCATTTCAGACAAAGGATTGTCCAGTCTCTTTTTGAAAACTTCCAGTGATGGAGCACCCACAACTTCTAAAGGCAAGTTATTCCAGGGGTCGATTGCTCTCACCGTTAGGGAATTCAAGCAGGAGTCCCTACATCATTTCAGACAAGTGGCTGTCCAGTCTCCTCTTAAAATCCTTGAGTGATGAAGCACCCACAACATATGAAGGCAAGCCTTTCTACTATTTAATTGTCCTCACTATTAGGAAGTTTCTCCTTAATTCCAGGTTGCTTCTCTCCTTGATTAGCTTCCATCCATTGTTTCTTGTCCTGCCCTCTGGTGCTTTGGCAAATAAGTTGACCCCCTCCTCCTTGTGGCAGCCCCTCAAATACTGGAATACTGCTCTCATGTCCCCCCCTTGTCCTTCTTTTCTCTACACTGGCCATTCCCAAATCCTGCAGTCGTTCTTCATATGTTTTAGTTTCCAGGCCTTTAATCATCTTAGTTGCTCTTCTTTACACTTTTTCCAGAGTCTCAACATCTTTTTTGTAATGTGGTGACCAAAATTGGATGCAGTATTCCGGGTGTGGCCTCGTTAAGGCTTTATAAAGCGGTGCTAATACTTCATGTGATTTTGGTTCTATGCCTCTGTTTATACAACCAAGGATTGCATTATGTCAGAATCCAATTATACTTCATCTCCTGTTATCAATTATAGAAAACCCCATTTCTGCCCTCTCTGGATTCTGTCATAAAGAAAGAGAGGGGGGTGAACAAAGGGGCTTTATGGCCCTCACTTCCTTTGGTACAACTTCAAAGGGTTTGAATGTGGTTAGCACCAAAAGGCCTTATCATAACAAAGGAGGCTATTTACCTTTCATGTAGTTTATCTGAAGTCTCCATCCAGACTGAAGAAAGGAAAAAAGGGGTGGGATTGTGATGCCTGAAACTGTCACTGGAAGAGGGGGTGATTGGGTGGGACTACTGGAGAACCCCTTAAAACCTCAAATGGGAGAGCTTGAACCCCAAGTCCTGTCTAGAACGCCTGCAACCATTTTCTCTTAATAAAGGATCCCTGTTGGAAGAATTATTCCAAGAGTTCTGTCTTCTTAAGATGCAAAGTGGGGTGGGTCCTTAAACATTAGCTCTTTAGGCCACACACTGCTGACTCATGTTAAAATGATCGTATGTTTTAGTCCCCAGGTCCCTAATCATCCTTGTTTCTCTTTTCTGCACTCTTTCCAGAATCTCAACATCTTTTTTCTATTGGGGTGACCAGAACTGGATCCAGTATCCCAAGTGTGGTCTTACTAAGGCTTTGTAAAATGGTACAAGGCAAATCAGGTAGACCCAGCTTCTATCCTCAGCTATGGAAATGCTCAGGTGACTTTTGAATAAGTTGTACGCACTCTGTGCTCAATGTCCTTCCTAAAATTGCTGGAGAAAAAAAAATGTCCACGAGGATCGCTGTGAATTTCATGAGATCTTCCTTCTCATCCACCTCTATGGAATCTTCGGCAGAAATCAGGTAAGACTGGAAAAATACAAGATGGCCTTACCTGTGATAATTGTAAAATGCGAAGGCGAAGTCATGGTCACAAAGGGAGGTGTGACGTATTTTGCTTTCACTCCTTCCTTAACCAAATAATCCAGGTGTGGGGTATCGACATCCTCATCGTAATTCCATCGGAAGCCATCAAAGGAGATCAGGAGTAGTTTGTGGACACCTGCTGTCTTCTTCTGGACAGCTGGATAGCAAACAACACCAGCCAGAAGGATCGAATTGAGAGCCAGGATGTTTTGTGTCTTCATTGTGTTGTTCTGGCTTGCAGTTAAAAAGAATGTCTGTTCAATCATCCTTCTGCTTTTCTACTCTCTGATGGTTGTAAATTCCCAATCTTATCAGAGCAAAGCTCAACCTAGATAAGATTAGTCCTAGTTGTGTCAGCATCTTGTTAATATCACGGGAGGAAGAGGAGTGAGCCAAATGTTAAGGAAATATATCTATCTGTTAAGATTGCACAGATTGGAGCAATGGGGGGGGGGAAGCAGGAAAGGACGGAAAATTACATTATTTGTTGATGCTGAATGTTTGGGATGCAACAGTTCAGTGATTAATTATTTGAGATGGTGGTGATGGAAGCCAAAAAGTAGCACTGATTCATTGGGTGGTACACTTTGTAATCATCATCATCATAAAAAGAAATTGGAAAGAGGGATTTGATTTAGAATTTATGTATAATTGCCAAGAGGGATATTAGAAGCTATTTCTTTATATATACTTTTCCCCCTTTATATATACTTTTTTTAAAAAAATAGTCCTTGATGTATGACTACAATTGAGCCCAAAATTTCTGTTGCTCATCTGTGAAGTGAATTTTGCCCCATTTCATGACCTTTCTTGCCACAGTTGTTAAGTGAATCACTGCAGTTGTTAAGCTAATAACACGGTTAAGTAATCTGGCTTCCCCCATTGACTTTGCTTGTCAGAAGGTCGCAAAAGGGGATCACGTGACCCAAAGATGCTGCAACCATCATAGATATGAGTTGGTTGCCAGATGTCCAAATTTTGATCATGTGACCATGGGGATGCTGCAATGGTTGGGTGAAATGATCATAAGTTGCTTTTTTCAGTGCTGGTGTAACTTTGAACGGTCACTAAGTGAACTGTTGTAAGTTGAGGACTACCTGTATGTTTTCTCCCTTCCCTTCCTTTCCCTCTCCTCTCCTCTCCTCTCCTTCCGTTTCCCTTTTCCTCTCCCTTTCCCTCACCTCTCCTCTCCTTCCCTATTCCTTTTCCTCTCCTCTTCCTTTCCCTTTCCCTTCCCTCTCCCTCTCCCTCTCCTCTCCTTCCCTTTCCCTTTCCTTTCCCTCTCCTCTCCTTCCTTTCCCCTCTCCTCTTCTCTCCTCTCCTCTCCTCTCCTCCCCTCTCCTCTGCTCTCCTCTCCTCTCCTTCCCTTTCCCTCTCCCTCTCCCTTTCCCTCTCCTCTCCTTCCCTTTCCCTTTCCCTCTCCTCTCCTTCCTTTCCCCTCTCCTCTTCTCTCCTCTCCTCTGCTCTCCTCTCCTCTGCTCTGCTCTGCTCTCCTCTCCTTCCCTTTCCCTTTCCTTTCCCTCTCCTCTCCTCTCCTTCCTTTCTCCTCTCCTCTTCTCTCCTCTCCTCTGCTCTCCTCTCCTCTGCTCTGCTCTCCTCTCCTCTCCTTCCCTTTCCCTCCTCTTCTCTCCTCTCCTCTGCTCTGCTCTCCTCTCCTTCCCTTTCCCTTTCCCTTTGCCTTTCCTTTCCCTCTCCTCTCCTTCCTTTTCCCTCTCCTCTCCTCTTCTCTCCTCTCCTCTGCTCTGCTCTGCTCTCCTTTCCTTTCCTTTCCTTTCCTTTCCTTTCCTTTCCTTTCCTTTCCTTTCCTTTCCTTTCCTTTCCTTTCCCTTTCCCTCCCTTTCCTTTCCCTTCCCTTCCCTCTCCCTCTCCCTCTCCTCTCCTCTCCTCTCCTCTCCTCAAGATGGAAAAACTGCTTATCCTTGCATTAAAGACAAATGCACCTGGAGTCAAGGCCCCCAATGAAATTCTAATATCCTTTGGTATTTACACTTTCCCAAATATTGAGACATGGTTCTTGAAATGTGTGTGTGTGTGTGTGTGTGTGTGTGTGTGTGTCTTTATTTGGAGGGGGAAAAATCCCCCTGACTGTCCAAAATGCTCTGCTTTAAGGTGGGAAGCATCGTGGTGCGTTCCTAAGCTAAAGTAGAAATGGAAGGAATTACATTCACGACTCGAAATGCTTGGAGGACTTGAGAACCCCCACTACTTTTGCTACCCAAAGATAATGTAACTTTGGCAGTTGAGCTTCCAGCTTTAATTCCTATTGCTTTAATTAGCCAACCTGGTTTGCCGATGACTGGCTAACCTAGATAGATGCCCAGTGACCCCCTTATTTGTGGGAGGAGGGGGGCTATAAGGGAAATCCACTCCCTTTGGAAGATGGGAAGCTGAGTAATTAAAAGTGGGGCTAGTTCTAGAGGAGGCAGAGGGAAGAAAATTAAACTGCCAACAATGAATAATGAGAAATCTTTGATGGAATTAGCGATGCTGACAGATGCATAAGCCTTCCCGATTTCCTCTGGAAACTTAAAAAGTTTTAACAAGCAGAGAGAGAACTGATGAAAAGTGACCATGAGCAGAGAATGCAAACCTGGAGAAGATTGCTCCCTCCTTGCCCAATTGGAGGGGGGGGGGAACTAAGAGGAGTTCATTTCTGGACATGGCAAATAGATTACATTTTCTCAGGAGTGTAAGATTTCACCTACAGGTTAATCAAGAGCTGGTCACATTTAGTTAAGTAATTGATTGGGGCAGCTTCCAGGAGGCGATTGCATATTTCAGGAGGTGTTCTGGGAAAATAAAAAAAAATCTCACTGCTTCACTTTTCAAATCTAGTGTGGTGTTTGTTAGCCTAGGCCAGGGGTGGGCAACCTTGGCTCTTTTATGCCTCGTGGACTTCAACTCCCAGAATTCCTGAGCCAGCATGGCTAAGCATGGAAACCTCTTCCTTTCCCCTCAGCGTGCCTGGCTCAGGAATTCTGGGAGTTGAAGTCCACAAGTCATCAAAGAGCCAAGGTTCCCCACCCCTGGTCTAGGGTCAATGCTCTTCAATCTTAGCAGAATTCAACTCCCAGAATTCCCCAGCCAGTCACGGCTACCTGTCTAGGGAGATTCTCAGCCATCCAGCTCATAATTGTCCCAGAGGTGCTTCCCCCCCCCTCCCCGGGCAATTGGACTTCCTTGATTTTTTTTTTCTTTGAAGCCGATATTTGCTTCTCATCCCAGAAGCTTCTTCAGTTCTCTAAGATTGTAAGATTGGGCATTTCTAAGCTAATGTAGAAAAGGAAGGAATAGAATAGAATAGAATGGAATAGAATGGAATGGAATGGAATAGAATAGAATAGAATAGAATAGAATAGAATAGAATAGAACCAAAGACAGGATGTAGGAATAGAATAGAATAGAATAGAATAGAATAGAATAGAATAGGATAGGATAGGATAGGATAGGATAGGATAGGATAGGATAGGATAGGATAGGATAAGATAGAATAGAATAGAATAGGGAATAGAATAGAATAGAATAATAGAATAGGATAGGATAGGATAGGATAGGATAGGATAGGATAGGATGGAATGGAATGGAATAGGATAGGATAGGATAGAATAGGGAATAGAATAGAATAGGATAGGATAGACTAGACTAGACTAGACTAGACTAGACTAGACTAGAATAGACTAGAATAGAATAGAATAGAATAAGACCTTTGAGGTCTTCTAGTCCAGCCTCCTGCTCAAGCAGGAGAACCTATACCAGTGGTGGCGAACCTATGGCACGCGTGCCAGAGGCGGCACTCGGAGCCCTCTCTGTGGGCACACGCGCCGTCGCCCCATCCCCGCCTCCTCCCACGGCCCCTTCACCAGCATCCCCCTGGAGGACAGTCGCCCCCGGGTGCAGCCCACACGGAGCAGCGCAGCCAAGGACATAGCCGGGCAGCAGAGACAAGACTCCACCCTCGTGTCCCATAGCATGCAGATGATGCTGTGGGGTGTGGGCGGAGGGTGTGCTGCCATGGCACTGCAGGGCTGCCTGGGTGATCTGCGGCAGGCCATGGAGGCAGTGTGTGGCCCTGCAGGTGGGCGGGGCAGGGGGCAGGCAGGGGCAGAGCAGGCAGGGTGGGAGGCGCAGCGGGGGCGGGGGGCGGTTTTTGGGCACTCAGTCTCTAAAAGGTTTGCCATCACTGACCTATACCATCTCAGACAGTTGAATATCTAGTCTCTTCTTGAAAATCTCCAATGATGCCCACGATTTCTGCTGGCAAGCTGTTCCATTGGTTCATGGTCCTCACTGTTAGGAAGTTTCTCCTTAATTCCAGGTTGCTTCTCTCTTTGATCAGTCTCCAACCATTGTTTTTCGTTCTGACTTCCGGTGCTTTGGAAGATAAACTGACCCCCTCTTCTTTGTGGCAACCCCTCAGATCCTGGAACACTGCTATCATGACTCCTCTATTTCTTCTTTTCCTTAGACTATCCAAACCCAAGTCCCGCAGCCGTTCTTCATATGTTTTAGTCTCCAAGCCTTTGATCATCTTGGTTGCTCTTCTCTGAACTTTTTCCAAGGGCTCAACATCTTTTTTGTAGTACGGTGACCAAAACTGGCTGCAGTATTCCAGGCGTGGTCTTACTACGGTTTTATAAAGCGTTACTAATACCTCACGTGATCTTGATTCTATGCCTCTGTTTATACAACCCAGGATTGTATTAGCGTTTTTGGCTGCTGCTGCACACTGCTGGAATTAGATTCAAGACTGAAAGTGATTGGAAGACTTGAGAATATAATATATACTTTTGCATACGCAAGTAGCCCTTAACTTACAAGAGTTCATTTAGTGACCGAAGTTACAATGCCACTGGAAAAAGCGACTTATGGTTGTTTTTCACACTTATGGCCATCGCAACATCCTCCATGGTCACGAGTTCAAAATTCAGATGCTTGGCCACTGACTCATATTTATGACTGTGGCAAGAAAGGTTGTTCAATGGGGCAAAAAACTCACTTAACAAATGTCTCATTTAACAACAGAAATTTTGGGCTCAGTTGTGGTCTTAATATGAGACTACCCGGTATTATATTCTACTTTTGCAGAGCAACGATGTTGTAACTTTGAAGAACTGAAGAAGCTTCTTGGATGAGAAGCAAAACGTTTTCAAAGGAAAAAAAAAACACGAAGTCCAGTTGTCTTTTGGGGGAAAAAAAGCACCTTTGCTTTTGGGTATTAGCT